GACGGGGAACGACGACGGGTATATACGTACCTGGGCAGAAGTCAGTCCTAGCTATTACGACTGCCCAGGATTTAGCTATGCACTCTGGTATACAATAAGAAAGGAGACTCACACGCACACACAGACACCTGAGCTATACAGCAATAGGGCAAGAGACGGGGAACGACAACGGGCAAAGAAAGAGAAGCCACGTCGACGTTCCACCAAGTCCCCGTCTGCGCGTGCGGCGAGCTCCGCGAAACTCTGAAATGATGTGGCATTACACATTACGTAAACACAAGCGGAGGCGCTTTTCATTTGTTTGAGTTCTTTCCGCTCTTCATCCCACAGCTTTATCAGGCCGCCTCCTGCATGCATGCATAGCAGGAGCGCTTCTGATTTGCTGGGTCAAGGCACTCAAACGCAACAGGCTGCCCTCCACCAATGCTTACTTGTATGCAGTCCAACAATCAAGACAAGGAGTCGCAACCAAGAGGGTCGACGGGTCGTATATCAGGAAGGGTACGAGGCAAGCCTCTTACAAGCTCGGGGAATCTCATTTGGGGAAGCCCAACCAGCTATGCATGTCAAGTTGGATATACACAAGTCTGCTGGTGTCCAAAAAGATGCTGCTCTCCAGATACACCCACAAGAGGCAGACTGCAATATTGTTGTAGATACTCTCTCTGCAACCCTGGTGACCGTGCGGCCAAGACAAGACGGCCATCGAAACAAGTGAGCGCGGTCCCACGGAATGCATAATCATATGCTCGATATCACCTTTTGCTGATAGTCAAGGGAAAAGATTCATTCAAAGGCGAGAAATAATTGGGCTAGACAGCGATGAAAGAGGGCTTGAACGGCCATTTGAGCACCCGGGAGGACAGACGAAAAAGGGAGAGCGGCAAGGAGAACGGATTAAGGAGACTTCTTCTTGAGGTTGGCGGAGAGCTGATGAAAAGACAAGTCAGCACAGCCATATGACAAAGCGGAGCACGCACCCATTCAAGACCCTCGTAGAGACCGTCACCAGAAGTAGCGCAAGCGGCCTGGATATACCAGGATCGCTGGCGGAGAGAGTGGAGACCGAGCTTGTCGGTGATCTCGGCAGCGTTCATAGCGTTGGGCAAATCCTGCGGATGGATAAGCGTGTTTTCGCGCATATATATCGGCTTCGCGACTAACCTGCTTGTTGGCAAACACGAGAAGCAAAGCATCCCTCAACTCATCCTCGCTCAACATCCGTTGCACTTTTCAAGGGTCAGCACCAGAAATGTTTGTGCGGGCGGATGGCGCTTACACTCCTCACGAGCCTCAGTGATACGCTCCCTGTCGTTAGAGTCGACAACAAAGATGATACCCTGGGTGTTTTGGAAGTCTGTCGTGTTGCTGGTGAGCCACAGCCGGCGCGCGACATTCGCATCCACTCACAGTGCCTCCACAGAGGTCGGATCTTGTCCTGACCTCCGACATCCCAGACCGTGAACGAGATGTTCTTGTACTCGACCGTCTCGACGTTGAAACCTAAGAGCGGTGAGTCGCGTGCGAGTGGCTATTACGCGTCGTGGGACGTACCGATGGTGGGGATGGTGGTGACGATCTCGCCGAGCTTGAGCTTGTAGAGGATGGTGGTCTTACCGGCGGCATCGAGACCGACCATAAGGATTCCTGCGGGGGGTCAGAGGCGGGGCGGGGGGGCATTCAGTTAGACGCACGCATCTCCTTCTTGCCGAAGAGGCCGTTGAGGAGCTTGGAGACGGAGAGACCCATGTTGACTTGTGCGTATACTGTACTGGACGGTGCCACGCGATCAAGAGAAGGCGACGGCGGACGTGGCCACGGTGATATCGTTTCCCCGCCCAGTGGCAGTCGCGTGGGAGTCGCGTCCCGGCGACCGCCGCCGGGTGTTGATGTCTGCACGTGCGTCATCACTTTCTCTTGACTTTCTCTCTGCATCTAAGTATAACCCGATGAGCCACCTCGCAGACGCATTCTGGCAGCCCTTCTCGCAGGGGGCCCTCCGCCTCCTCCCCAAGCGCGGCGACGGCCTCAGGTCAAAGAGCAAGCGCGCAGACAGGATCCCAGACCAGTCAGTATCCAGTACAACCCCGCCCCATGTCTGACCACATCCCAGAGCCGAACGGCCCCTCGTCACAGATTACCATTCTATCAATGACCCCTCTATCCGTATCCGTGTCCCCAGTACGTCCCTCTCGCCGATCTGCACCCCGCTCACATCCCCCAGAAAAAGTTCCTACGCCGGTCAAGGTAGAGGCCAAGGTCTGGTTCGCCAATGAACGAACCTTCATCTCCTACCTGTCCATGGGGCTGCTACTATCCACCATTGCCTCTGGACTCTTGTTTGGAGCCCACGACTCTCCGTCCAGGTCGTTCGCCTTCGTCTATGCTGCCATGTACGTTTCCTACAACGACGATGGAGGCTTCTGCTGACCCCAGATAGCTCTGCCGGCGTACTGATCTATGGCTGGGCTGTATTCCAGAAGCGACTGACCATGATCTCGGCCCGAGACGCTGGAAGCTTTGGTAAGTGCCACGAGAAAGCCACGGGAAACGTCGCTCATATCCGGCAGACTTGCTCTGGGGTCCCCTACTCATCTGCGCCGCCCTCTTCATCGCCATCCTTGCCAACTTTATCTTTCGCCTACAAGACGCCAAGAAACATACAGGGATCAACCCACTATCCTTCCAGAACGCCTGGTACCAAGCGGGCGTAAAGAGTACTTGGCTATGATGGCAGTCCAGCTCGCCCCTTCATTTCTAGCTTGTACGATGCATCACCTACTTTATACCACCGCTCAGGCTAAAATGACAATCAAGTGCATTGGAGCTTTATATATACCGTACATGGATCACTAGCGACGACCCGCAAACACCCAAACCAAGAGCCTAAGCAGAAGTAGTCTGCTTGTAGTCCTACAGCATATCAGCGCGTGCTCCTTGTACGACAGATCACTCACAGCCATCTCAGCGTCCAATTGCTCGGCAGTCTTCTTCTGGGGTCGGGCAGGACGGGGCTTGCTGGGACCAGGCGCACGACGCCTCTGACCCTGGCCCTGCTGACCCTGCTGGCCTTGAGCAGCGGGGGCAACGCGGTTGGCCAGGGGAGCCTGGACAGCGTTCAGGTCGACACAGAGCTCAACCTTCATAGGACGCTCTGTAGCGAGTGATAGGATCGGTGGGGGGATAGAGTATGCGATATAAGGGCGGAGTGGAAGTAGGTTTGTGACGATATAGGTAGGATGGTATGGCCAGTGAGAACAGTCGATAGCCAGTAGTCGATAGAGGTAACAGTGTGGAGCAAAGAGGAGAACAAAGGTCGTCAGTTTGTTGTGAACCCAAAATGATGGATTGCCGTTCCGCCGCCCGCTGTCTTAAGAGCCAGCTACCGCGAGTGCTGTTGACAGATGCTCGCCAATCTCCCTCTATCGCACAAGCATCGCTGCGTGCAGCGCTCTGAAGACGCTATAGGCCCCGTTTTCCCACATCTATACCGGACCAGGACGGTCGTACGGGGGCGGGCGACGGAAACACAGAACCAGGCCAAAAGAATACTAACGGTTGTCGATCATCCTGTTGTGGTCTATCCTCATTAGCCACATTTCGTCCATCCCTGAAACCTACATGAAGCATGCGCCTTCCTCGCGTCTCCCTTGTTCTTGAAGACGACGGTGGCGATACCGTTACCCTTGCCGTGGGCGGTGTAGGCCATCTGAACACTCTTGACAGGCCCGACAGTCGATTGGATCAAATCCTGTTACATGGTCAGCCTCCCCTTCCATCCATATCGCCTCCAGCACTCACTCTCACGGCAGCTTCTGTGACATCGCCGGGGAGGTTGCTGATAATGATCTTGAACACTTCGGGGACGCCAGCCGGGACAGCACCTGCCGCCTTGGGTACCGTTGATGCGTACCGGGCTCGGGCACCACCGGCACCCGCAGCGGCAGCCACACCACCACCAGCTCCACCTCGTCGGCCTCGGCTAGCGCCACCTTGTCTTTGCTGTCGTTGAGGCTTGGGTTTGGCGGCGATGATCTGTGTGCGAACGGGGGATGAGATTAGGGGTGTCAACTGGGGGAGCGGGGCGAGGAGGACGAACCTCGTCGAGAGACTTGTCGATGTCCATCTTGGAGGCCATGTTGGATGATGGGAGGATGCAAAGAGAGCTGAAAGAGCAGAGGAAGCAAGAGACGCGAACAAGGGAGCCATTAACGGGACGCGTATTTAAAAAGGGTAATGAAGCCGGAATCCCCGCCAGAGTGGCACCGCGCGCACTTTCAAGTTGAAACCATTAATCCTGATATGCATACAGAAAAGAAATACGTAGACGTAATCATAACTCGCATCTTCACTGCCCTGCTACAGACATTCTCTCTACTAGTCGATACACAAAAAAAGGAGCTGAGCGAAGTACGAGCGTACAACATTTCACACCCACCCGTAGTCCATGACTCGTTCAAACCACAAGAGGAAAAAGATACCAAGCCTCAATCAAACCTTTTCACGGAGCTTCCCTGACCGCCAACGCTCGCCTCTTGCTCAGTCCAGCACCAACCTTGGCAGGCACAGTCTTTCGACGGGACAGCCCAGTGCTCCCCTTACTCGCCGCCTTGTCCAGCTCCGCCTGCTGAGACTTTGCGAGTAGGGCCGCTCTGGTGGCAGCAAAATTTCCTGTGCGCACCTCGTACCCTCCAGGCGGAACATCATCATCAGAGTCGGACGGATCGATGAGATCCATCAGCGAGACTGTGCGTGGGGCAGCAGGTGGTGGCGAGTTGACCCTTTCAGAGTTGATCCTCTGCGCGAGCGATGGTGGCAGAGGACGAGGGGCGGGAGAAGGTAGCGGCGGTTTCTTGACAGAGGCCTCTACCACGTAGTAGCCACCCGAAGGAGCCTCGTCGTCCGAGTCGGAAGGAAGCATCAGGTCGGTATCGGCCTTGACCAGTGGCGGGCGTTGCGGCTTGGCGGGCTTAGACTTGCGACGTGGCTTCTTCTTGGCGCTCTTCTGTCTCGGCTTGCCCTTGAAGGCATGTCAGTCTGGTCCCGAGCAGATATTGAACCCCTCACAATCTCGATGGTCTCGGAGATACTCTTGTAGTGAGTGATGATGAATTCTAGCACTTGTTGCGACAAGACGTTCTCGCGAGGTTGTAGAGCGTGATCCTCATGAGACAACAGCCCCGGCTGAAAGATGAGTGCAAGATCTGCCAAACGGGTCAGTCGAGATACTTGCGCGACCGCCATTGGACTCACTCGCAGCATTCATCAAGTTTGTGTCGGAACGTCTGTCAAAGACGCTCAGGAGGTCAAGCACATATAATAGCAGATTGCGGTGGACCTCTGGAAGTGCCTTGATGAGGTTCTTGTACTCTTCGAGCGCTTCTTCAAATGCCGTTTGCTGGGAAAGATGCCTCTCCATGACTAGTCTGAAGGCGCCGTAGAATCGGTAAGGTATAGCCGGTTCCTAGGATAGTCATGAGCGATAGACGGGTGCAAGGGAGGATGCATCATACCGGCAGTTGCGTTAGGAACCTGCCCATGTCAGTTTAGAGTCCTCGCCACCGGCAAGACAACATACCTTCTAAAGATGGTTCCAACGTCATGGGATGTATATGGCAGCTTCTTCCAATCAATATTCCGGCCATACTGCAAACTCAATCAGTGACACGTCCCCCACACAATAAATTCACCTACACTGGGTCCAGTGTCGAACAATGTCTGCAAGTCTCTTATCCTCTTGGCCGAGCCCGAAACCCGAAAGGTACCCTCTACCAGAGTCGCATTCTCTTTGAGATAGAGCCCACACTTTGCCATGACAATGGGTATGACACTGTGACCTGTCAGCGGAGAAAAATCCCATGGACTCGACAATAACACACCCAAACACGTAAAGAGCACCGTCTGCCCCATCTGCCGAGACCTGTGAAGACGCGTATTGCATGGACACTTCCAGTGGCACGCCAAAGACCACTCGTCCGTCTGAGTCCTTGATCAGTTGCACCCGGCGCAAGCAAGATTCCGCAGCTCACCATGGGCTAGCTTGTCTGCCTCGGCAGCTTCCTTCTCTCTGAAGCCCTTCCACCATGTCTTGAGTCCTTGTGCGCGCTCCTTCTCCGAGTCGCGCGAAGTCACCGGCTTGATGGGGGAGAACGGTTTCAGGTAGGCGGGAGAGTTGCTGGCGTCTCCTGGGGTATAGCTGGCCGCATTGGGGTACGCAACCCGGCCCTTGGGCGGTGCGGGGGATGGTCTTGTGGATACCATGAGGGGGGATGACCCGCCCTGGTGATGGGAGTTGGTCGGTAAAGCCAGTAGTGGGTGTAAGCGGGAAGGCGAGACTGGTGGCGGGGGGACTTGAGCGGGGCAGAAATGGATCTGGTTTGGAGGGAAAGGGAGAGAGAAAAGAGAGAAATGGAGAGATGATTGAGAACAATACACGGTTAGCATGCGGCATCCGTTTTGTTGTCCTCGGTGCATTCGATTATTGTTCCCGCCCTGCCCTACGCCGCCCCTCTCCATTCTTTTCGCGGTCTCTCTTTCACCCAGAGCGCCCAGCTTGCACCCCGTCTCGGCCCTCGTCACCCACAGTTACTCCATACGTTCTCCGAGCCTAGAACCCGACCATGGGCCATGCCCTGGGAAAGTGACAAACAAGGGTTGTCAGGCCCTTGATCTGTGCCTCTTCCAGACTTATCAAAGTTGTCGCTTTCCTGTCTTTTCTTGTCTTTGGCGATTCGCTGCGTCTTCATCCAGCATCAAGCTCCTGTGAAATTCATGCCCTTGTATCCATTGTATTGGCGAAAACAATACATGTCGATGCATACATTCCACCAGCGAATCAACTCTCCGTGCGCTCTTCTGCGCCGCTTATCTGCTACAGTTCCGTCGCACATCGCAGGTCAACCCAATGCATCTTTTTCTCAGGCCGAGGGGGTGCGGTGAAAATAAGCACCGAGCCGACGAGTGACTTGACCTAGCAATTCTGAATTTCTGATACATCAAATGATGAACCACATAGAGAAGTTATCGAGCCGGCCTTCCCGGACCATCTGTCAGACAGCGGTGCATTCGGTGACCTTAATGGACACGCCAATGACGTTCCCGAGATCTTACATTTGATAGACAATCTGAGACTGATTAACGTGACTGAGCAATGATGTCGGCACCTCTAGCTGCTTACATGGAATCTTGTGTTCCTCTAGCTGCTTTGAGACCACGGCAAGCGAGTTGAACATTCCCTCGTACACAGATCACTGTTATGACAACTTATAATCCTCACGGATACATGAATAGGGTATGTTACAACCTGGAACAAGATAACTACTATACTACACGGCGCTCATCATTTGGCCCACTGCATCTTCCTCCTGTCCCCTCCTGCCCTTATGATGTTGTCGCTGATCGCCTTTACCGCCGTGTCTACTCCGTTCTCTGACCTTATTCTCTCCCCAATCCTCGCCGCCTTTTCGATCATCACCTTGTCTGATGTGGCTTTGGTCAAAGCCGAAGCGATATCATCAGCATGCAGAGATGCCACCTTGAGTCCAACGCCCAGCTTTGTTACACGGATGGACCAGAAGAACTGGTCACTGTGGCATTGTTAGACATGTCTTTCCCGGATAGACGTGTTCTTACCCAAACCAAGGTTTAATGAGAGTGGGAATACCAGCTCGTAGACTTGCCCCCACTGTTCCCGCTCCTCCGTGATGCAAAGCCGCTTGCACTACATGCTGTCAGTATCTCACTCATGCATGTAGCAACATTACTTACCTCTGGGGAAGAGCCAGGCATGAGGGATCTTGTCGACACCATAGCAACTTGCTGGGAACTCGATGTGCTCGCCTTCCGTGGCTGGATCACCACCTCGAGAAGACCACCCCTTGGCAATGATGGCGCGGACGTCGGCTAAAGCATGATGTCACTTCGGTGCATCCCTTTTTTACCCAGGGCAAAACTCACCTTTCTCGACAGCCTTGATAATGCTTTTGGTCATTGCGTTTGGTCGGGGAACGACAATCGACCCAAATCCCTAAGAAGGCGATGAGACGGTTTCGACACACAGGCCGCGACAACTTACAATATAGACCAAAGGCTTGCCATCTTCCTTGGCCTTTGCGATAAACTCATCAAGCTTGGCTGGAGGCGACCAATCCGAGTCGCTGTCCTCCAAACTCCAATACCCAGTGATCATGATATCGTCATGCCAATCCAACGGCTTCGGTACCACTGAAGAGCTAAAGTTGTACAAGAACGGCACCTTGGTTACTGACAATGCAGCCATATCTGTGCCCTTGATGCCCAAGTGCTTTTTACGCCAGCGATTGATCTGCGGCGCTGTAGCCTTCCAAATGATATTATCGTACAAGACGTAGGTAGAGTAATTGAAGCTCGGGCCCATCTCAAAGGCTGGCACAAGGAAAGCTTGCGGGTAGGCCGCGGTTCTCGTCCAGGGCATGGTGAACGCCCGGAAATACGGAATCTTGAGAGCCTCAGCGATATGTATACCGGCCATGGCGGATGGGCTTTCAATGAGAACATCCGCGTCGTGGCAAGCATTCCAAGAGTCAAGCAACACTGGCACATAGATCAGCACGGTGATCAATGATATGTTGATCCAGCTTACAGTCGTCGAGCCACTGCCTAAAAGCCCCTAGAGACTCTTTGAAAAAGCCGGGTGAGAACATTCGGTGCTCTTGACTGAGCTTCATCAACGCCGTCGGATCCCCTCCTGCCTGTCGATGCTCGATCCCATACCCCTCAACCCATTCCTTGAATTCGCCGTGCGTAACGATGACGACCTTGTGACCGTCCTTCATTAGGCGCAAACCAAGAGCAATATACGGCTGCACATCGCCACGCGAACCAATCGTCAAGCATGTAAAAGTCCTTGGTTTGATGGAAGTCAATCCCGGTGGTCTATTCGCCACAAATGGCATGTACGATATCACTTCGTCGTTCATGGGCACTGGCTTGATGAGAAGATCCTTTGGAGGAACGAGAATGTCGGCAGGGTGTTCGAGGAGAGGGTCGCCGACGGGGGATGCGACGCGCTCAATACCCTCGAAAGAGACGGGTGTGGCGGGCTGGGACTGAGAATCTTGGTGAGAAGGTGAGTAGTCTCTCCTGTGTCCCCGTCCTCGAGTAGCGCAAGTAGCATTTACTCGAAGAATGACCTGCTCATCGTCAGCCTCGTAGGAATTGAGATCATTCTGTAGACTCACTTCGTCTCTAGCTTCCTTGTTCCAAAACTCGAAGCGCACATCTTTATAACCATGTACCTGCAAGGCAAGGCCATGGAACCTCGTACGGAGACTCGGCGCTGTGGCAGCACCCTTGACGTCCTCGATTGGGAACCGATACTTGATGTCTGATCCAACCGTGACACGTCGCCAGAAGCAGATATAGCGAGGCGTGACGATGATGTGGCCGCGTGCAGGGATGAGAGCTGTCGCAACATAGCACCGTTTGACTATTGTATGTTAGTATCACACCTCACGACAATGATCATGCACTCACTCCAAATCCCCTCTTCCTCTTTGAGCCCAAACACTTTTGCCGCCATCAACGCCTTTTCCTTCTTTCTCGTTTCTTGCACCAAACCCCCATCATCATCATCCTCTTCGGCCTCCTCCGAGTCCATCGACCCGCTTTGAGCCTTCTCCGCATCGAGCTCTTCGTCTGTCGCCAGACAATCATGTCCTCCAACTTCCCAGACGAGCTTGGGACGCTTCATGGCAGGCTTGCACTTGCGTCCTTGCGAGGCATGAACCGCCGAGCGGATCGCTTGCGCAAACCATGCTTGCTCATTTAATACCCCGATATTGAAACTGATTGTACCTTGGTCAGAGGACTGCAAGCCGAGAGTCTCTAGTGAATCGTAGACAGCTGCGTCAGAGGATTTGGGAACGTCGCTTCTGGCCGGAGATTGTGGCCTGCGACCGAGAGAAAGACTGCGCCGATGGAGAAAGGATCCAGTCTTCTGCGTCCTTATCAAAGATGGGGACAACAGCGGCTTGTGTCCTTCCGACCCAACGGGATCCTCTGTCGACCAATCCCCTTTTACAACCGGCAACATGGCCTTGCTTATCCTCACCCCGTCCATCGCAATATCCATCCCGACGAGGGTGGCAAAGGAGTGGAAACTGTTGACACCGCGGAGGGTAACGCGGTCGAAAGGGATGCAGATGCGGATGACGGACCAGTCGGAAGAGTCGGGAAAGTTGGTGCTGGGGGCGATCTGACGCCATTTGTGGCGTATCTGGCGAAAGATGGCCGCGTCTAGAGCTCGACGCCACTGAATGGCGGATTGCTGCACTCGTCAGTATCGATAGTAGTCAAGAAAAATATGCTCACCTCGGTGTCGACTGTAAAGTGACTCTGTCGAGGACCGGATGGTGTGTCATAAGTGACGTAAAAGTCACAAGGATGGTCAGGGTCCAAGGGATCGCATTTCTTGATAGACGATACTGCACCCAGTCAGCAACATGGCTGATGCGCAGATGCACGCATGCTTACAAAGAACACATCGAAGAGGCCGCACACGTCCCGCTTCGTCAGCACTGGGAAAAGTTGTGACCATCTCCGAGCTCAACTCCATCCACACCCGCCGACTGGTCCTGATAGGCCCTGGCCGGTGAATAGTCACAGGTCCGGAATGCAGGAGATCGGGCTGGTGAGAGACGGCATCATTGGTGACATCAGCTGTTTGCTGAGCCGACAAGTTGGACCAAGTCTCGTTATCGGGCGGCAAGTAGGCATGAAACAATAGTCGGTGGGTTGTCAGATGGAGATTACCGACTACCATGACGCTCCTGTAGCAGCATGAGCAATGCCAACATAACTGTACACATCGCTTACTTGAACAGACTGCCCTTGCTTTCCGCCAGGATACGTTCGGGCTCATCCCCCTCGTAGATGCTTGACACATCGCCAAATTCGTTCACAATAGCAGCCAACTTTTCTTCCGGCGATATCTCTCGGTCGCCGTCAAATGTCGTACCGACGTTGGCGAGCTCGTCGACATCTGGGGCCTCCTCTGAACTTGCCGAAGAGGTGGAGAATGACGATTGGGACCTTGACAATGGCGGTGGAGCAATCGGGGCTGCCAGCTCGGGCGAGTCGTCCATGGTTGCGAACGGGAGCGGCGGGTGGTTCTTGTTGACATGCTCCGTGGACATGGATGCCGAGAGATTGTTCAGAGACAAGGCTGGGAAAGGCGTATTGTCAGTATAGATCGAGGACGTTCCGAGCATTGAGACTCACCAGTAAATCGCGAGCTCATAGTGTCCCGTTCTCGATTGTTGCGCATCGTCTCGTCAGCCCACGTCCGCCTGAGGTCATCGTGGGCCTCGGTAGATGACTTGTCTGGAGTGACCGAGGCTGAGGTATCTGGCATGCCGCTGGGGTCGGCATCTGAGGCCGAGGAGTCTGTGTGAGCTGCGGCCTCGTCTTCGTCGCTGAGGTCGGCCATGGTGAGGTCAGCGGGTGCGCCGCCGCCGCCCGCGACAAACTTGAGGAGATCGAAGAGCTGGGCGGAGCAGGGCATGGAGTTGCCGCGGTCGAGGGCGGGGGGTTCCGCTTGTGGGGTGAAGAGGCGGGAGAGGGTCTTCTTGCAGGGCATGGCGTAGAGGGAGGCGGAAGAGGCCGAGCAACAAAATCAAAACAAAATGGCAGATCGAGCCAACAACATCAGACCGAACCTCCACCTCCATCGCCAGGCACCGATAACCACTCTTACGTAACCCCGTCCCTCTATCTGTTGATTTTTTGGATCCTCGTCCGTCAGCGCTGTACGCAATGCAGGCCGGCCCCTCGAAGGACATCCTCCGCTTCACAGGACACAGACACCTCCGCCAGCGCATCCTCCTTGCCGTCCTCTCCGGCAAGTCCATCCGCATCGATGCCATCCGCTCAGACGACGTCCATGTCGGCCTCAGAGACTATGAAGTCAACCTCCTCCGCCTCGTAGAAAAGGTCACAAACGGGAGCACAGTCGAGATATCTCTGACAGGTGAGTGTGTATCTGCAGGAGCGTCCGCTGACAGTCAGGTACCTCATTCCTCTTCCATCCTGGATTATTACCTGGTGGCAGCTTTACGCACACCTGTCATATTGGCAGATCGATAGGTTACTATCTCGAAGTACTCGTTCCCCTTGCGCCGTTCTGTAAGAAGCCCTTCAACATCAACCTCTATGGTGTCACTGGAGAAGAAGGCAAAGACATGACTGTACGTAGTATGATTCCAAAAAGCTCGTGTTCTAACAATGCCCAGGTCGACATGATCCGAACAGTGACTCTCCCCCATCTCCACCTCTTTGGCGTCACCGACGGCCTCGAACTGCAAATCAAAAAGCGCGGTGCCGCCCCTCTTGGTGGTGGTCAAGTTATATTCAAGTGCCCCATCGTCCGCCAACTCAACACCCTCCAATTCCTCGACAAGGGCAAGATCAAGAAGATCCGCGGCGTCAGCTACTCTACCCGAGTCTCACCGCAGTTTGCGAATAGGATGGTCGAGTCTGCGAGGTCGATATTGAATAGATATATCCCCGATGTGTACCTGTACACGGATGTTTACAAGGGAGAAGACTCTGGAAAGTGAGTACATTCTACCAGAAGGAGTGCGCAGCTGACATATGGCAGATCACCGGGGTACGGCCTCACCCTCGTAACACAATCCACTACCTCTGTCGTCCACTCTGCCGAATGCCTCTCTCTCCCCAGTACCGTCACCACCCCCGAAGATATCGCCCTCCACGCCAGCCGCCTTTTATTAGAAGAAATCAGCCAAGGTGGATGTGTGGATAGCAAGCATCAGTGGATGGTTGCGCTTTTGATGGCACTGGGCAAGGAGGATGTGAGCAAATGTCTGTTTGGCAGGCTGACGCCTTATACGTGAGTGTATCCTTCGGCGAAGTGGGTGGGGAGCTAATTAGAGCACAGGGTTCAATTCTTCCGAGACATGTTTGTCTTCTTTGGCACAAAGTACAAGTTGAACGAGGAAGAGAGCACAGGAGAAGTTATGGTCAGCTGTATTGGTACAGGGTACAGCAACGTCAACAAGACGATGGCGTAGAGCGTGTATGTATATCAGCATTTGCATCCTGTCAAGCGAAAGTGTTACAGAGGACCAGTAGGGAGCTCATTCGGTCTTTTCTGTCAGGCCTCTTGTCGGTTTCCGGCTCTCCCGCAGAGTGTGACCATCAGCAACGGCCCACGATTGGAAAGCGCCACAACGAGAGCGCGCATGCAACCGGCGTATGCATGACCAACAATAATCTCTCATAAAGCATCCAAAACATCAAGTCATATTATAAACATAACACATTACACATAAGAATCATCACAATCAGATCCATCCGACTTTCCAGAAAGTCGAAGAACCTGCAGATCAAGACGGCAGCGGGTCTACCGTCCCAGCAAAACGACCTGTTAAAAGCACTTTTTCCTCCTCTCTGATCCTTTCTGATGCGGAAAAGCCGCTTCATGCACCTTTTCATGAAACGCATCCATCAACCTCACTCTCTCTTCCACATCACCCTCATCATACACTTCCTTGCCCGCCACATCTTTCCGTCTCTGATACAGCGTCTCCAGAAACACCGCTCCCTCCCCCAATAGGTCTACCGGACCAGCGTTGGAAGGGAATACAACGTAGGTCCCTTCTGTTGGGGACAGGAGGGGATAGCGTTCGTAGAAGAAGGTGGCAGCTGGGGATGGGGGCGGGGGTGCGGCTTGGAACTCGTCGAGGGTGGTTGAAAAGCTCGCAAGATAGTCAAACATCATGTCAGAGTTTGCAGTGTTCTATGACCAGTGTCAAGTCATCTTCTTTGACAACCTGAGGAGAAACACACCTTGATGAACCGCCCATACTTGCCCAACTCCGGATCCCTGCTAATGTCCCGATCGGAAAAGAACGCCATGGCATGCAAGATCTTGGCGAGTGTTGTCAGGGTGCGCTGTATACCCGCGCGAGGCAAGCCGCGAGCTAGGTCAAAGAGGTGGGGGCGCATAAGAGCAGGGCCGATCAATCGAAGCTAGATGTGGGATAAAAGTCAGGGCATGTACAGGTTAAACGAGTTGAGCTTACAAAGAGGAATGAGGATACTGATTTGTAGTGCAGCATTTGCCTGTTGAATGTGTCAGTCGAATTTCCCGGAATCGGTAAAGTACCAACTCTTCATGATTTTGCTTGACCGTCTTGTACAAATGAGCAAAGACCTTCCGCAAAGGACTACTATTGTCAGAACATCACTCGTGTGGCAGCACCAGACCTACTTTGGAAATGTGCCCCTCTGAGCTGTATCTCGCGTCATCTTTTACAAGTCTCTCGATTCTGATCAACTCACCATACATATCCGCCCAGCAGCCTTTCACCAGCCGGTCCATCACATTCAGATTATCGCTCCTGACCTCTATATCGTTCTCCAAGATGGTCGAAATAGTCGGCCCTATCGACAGCCTCAAAAAATCCACGCACAGCACCTTCATAGCTGATTCCAAGCTCCTTGTCAAAGGTGTATTGTTTCGGAACAGAGTGGCTCCGTCTATCCGTCTATCAGCTATACGACTTTGCATATGATAGGGGAGAGCAGTACCTGATTTAGCCTCAATGTTGACCATCTCGAGCAACCATGGGAAAGTCGGGTTTTTGACTAGGCTCACTTTGAACAAGACATCATGTGTCTGCTCAAAGTACCCTCTCGAAGACATTACGTAGATGGCTCGAGCGCCCAGATCGCCTCCAGTATACAGCTGCCCACAGTCAATTTTCACCCCCAATAAGACGAGAACGCTTACCTCGGTGACATAGGTCGAGCGATGAAGGATGGGGAGCTCCTGGTATGATACTGCCATCCTCAGCTCGCCGACGACGGCCTCGTTGGAGAGCGACACGACGGGGTATCGCTCATCTCTGGTGGGAGAATAGTTGGGGACGAGGGATAGAGGGACGGTGGCTATCGGGTGGGACTTGTTGGAGCGGAGTATGCAAATTGACATTCCTACGAGGCATTAGCATGGCAGTTTTGTACCTCAAGTATGTATACTCGCTACACTCGGAAAAGCTGGGGAGGTCTTCGAAAACAAAAGGCTGAGCCCAGAAAGGAATCCCGTAATCCTCCTCGGCCTTTGCCCATGTTGTCCGTGCTATGAGCGTCTTGTCTGTCCATCTGCCCTGAGATTAGCTCTATCTACTTTTCCTCCGCCACTTACATTTCAACACATATATGCTCCTTTGCCGCCCATCCCGCCTTCAGACCCTTGCCACCAGGCAATAGCGCATCACTCGATTTCGAACTCCTAATATCAAACGACCCAAATCCCAACTGAGTACCATATGACGCCGTCTGGAGGGGAAACTCGGTAGGAGTTGCAGTTTCCTGCAGATCGAGGATACGCACATGCAGACGGCGTAATGTTCGCGGCGTCTCCTTCATAGTAAATGACTTGAGGAGGAGGTACCATTCGCCAAGGGACTCGGCGTCCTCAAAGACGAGTAGGACAACCGTGTCTGCGTTGGTTTCCGTCTCACTCTGATCCGACATGACAGTCGAACCGACTGATAGTACACTTGCAGAGGGCTCGTCGGGATACTCTCCCAGCGCACTAGAGTTGCCATTCTTTGCGAAAGAATCCGCGAGGGAGATGGTCACGCCTCTTCGGCGGCGGGTAAATAGGTTTGACATGAGCCCCGGCCGACTTTTGGAAGCATTCCGCTGGAGGGCATAGCTGGGTAGGCCATCTGCTGGCTCCGGAGAGCTGACAGTCGGGATTCGAAAAGAGAGGGTATGGAGATGGCCATAGACCGAGTGATGCACCTTTGTTACGTCCTCTATTGAGGGAGAGTGTCTGACCAAGGTGTTCAGAGGGTGATGGAATACGGTACAGTCGGGATTGTAGATGCGTAATTCACCTCCATACTTGCCCCCTGTACCTTCCAGATGGGCCTCGAGGGTACCCCTCTCCCATTTCGACGAGTACTTTCGCTTCTTCTCTTTCGATTCTCTTGGCTCCTGGGGTGGTGGGGGCAGGTCGAGGGGTAGTAGATGCGGTATGGACTTGGCATCTGCTCACGTCAGCCATAATTTCGGGGCGCACATCACTCACGTCTCAGAGTGGCCCTTTGCGTCGCAAACTGATCGTATTGTTCCTGAGGAGGCTCTGGCGGTATCGGGAAAGAGGCAAATGAAGTGTTAGGCTGGGCCGGGGAAAGAAGCGGGGGCAATGAGAAGGTTGGAGATAGTGGAGAAGTAGCAGTTGTTTTCGTCGCGGGTTTCGAGCGAAGCTAGACATGGTTAGCTGGGGGATATGGGGGATGCTAGTCACCAGTTCGAGGCCCGCAGACCGCTTGCGCTTTGAGTTGTTGTCGTAGTGGGGCGGCGGGGGGGGCGCAGTGCTGGAGATGCGGTAGGCGACGGGGGCCGCGAAGGAGTACGGGGGGGGCATCGTCGCGTGGCCTCGGAGCCAACATGCTCGCATCAAGACATTCAGCACGGACCACCTCCACCGCGCCTCCACCGCGCCTCCACCTCCACCGCCCGACTTATCTGCGCCCCCGCTATGCGCCTCGTCATCACGCATTCCGAATGCATTTGCTCCCGCGCCCCCCGGACCGGCCGAATGTTCCATCTTATCACTTTTCCTTATCCCACGAAAATCATCAGCGTAAGCCCCCCCCCGCCCCCCGAACGGCCGCTCACCGCCCCAGCATGCCCGCCTCCACCGACTCCAAATCAGGCTCCATCCCCTCCATGGAGGCTTCCGGCGAAGCTTTGAACGACGAAACCGTCATCATCGTTCTCGGTGCCAGCGGTGACCTCGCCAAGAAGAAGACCTTCCCCGCCCTCTTCGCCCTCTTCGCCCAGGGCCTCCTCCCCGCCAACACCCACATCGTTGGCTACGCCCGTACCAGTACGTTTCTTCCACCCCATTCGATGACGTCGCCCCGGCCACCATGACAAAGAATCCCACCGCACAAGCGAACGTCGTACTAATCATCGGCTGCAGAGATGGACGAGCCCGAGTTCCAGAAGCGCGAGGTCCAGTACATCAAGGGCGACGAAAAGAAGATCAAGGAGTTCCAGGAGCTGTCGTCCTACGTCGCCGGCCCCTACGACGAGGACAGTGGATACCAAAACCTGCTCAAGCACGTCGAGGAGCTTGAAAACGGCCGCGACACCCGTAACCGCGTGTTCTACATGGCCCTCCCCCCCTCCGTCTTCACCACTGTCGCCCGTGGCCTCAAGAAGAACGTCTACTCTGAGAAGGGTACCAACCGAATAATCATCGAGAAGCCGTTCGGCAAGGACCTCGACTCCTGCCGGGAAATGATGAGCGAGCTCAAGAGCGAGTGGGCCGAGAACGAGACCTACCGTATCGACCATTACCTCGGAAAGGAGATGGTCAAGAACTTGCTTGTCCTCCGTTTCGGAAACGTCTTTTTTGACGCTTCTTTCAACAAGAATTACATTAGCAACATTCAGATCACCTTCAAGGAGCCCTTCGGAACAGAGGGACGAGGTGGATACTTTGACGAGTTTGGAATCATCCGTGATGTCTGCCAGAACCGTGCGTGTCAAGCGCCACTTCCGTTGCGGCTTGTGTGCTAACACGCATCTAGACCTCATGCAGGCCATGTCTGTGCTCACCATGGAAAGACCCGTTTCATTCTCTGCCGAGGACATCCGTGACGAAAAGGTGCGTTTCCGCATCAGCTCGTGGACCATTGCTGACCCTTTCACAGGTCAAGGCTCTCCGATCCATCCCCCCTATCGAGAAGAAGGATGTCCTCCTTGGTCAATACGTTGCTACCGGCGACAAGCCCGGCTACCTTGAAGACGACACCGTGCCCAAGGGCTCCGTTTGCCCCACTTTCGCTGCCATGACACTGTTTGTCAACAACCCCCGATGGGAGGGTGTTCCCTTCATCATGAAGGCCGGTAAGGGTGAGTCAAAATTTTCTCTTTCCGTGACGAAGGACCGGGTCACTGACACGGCGCAGCTTTGAACGAGGCCAAGGTCGAGATCCGAATCCAATACAAGGATGCTACCCAAGGCATCTTCACCGACATCCCCCGAGACGAGCTCGTCCTCCGAATCCAGCCAGACGAGGCCGTTTACCTCAAAGTCAACAACAAGCTCCCCGGCTTTGAGACCCGATCCGTCCCCGTCGAGCTCGACCTCACCTACAAGAAGCGATTCACCGATGCCCCCATTCCTCAGGCATACGAGGCTCTTATCTTGGATTCTTTGAAGGGTGACCACTCGAACTTTGTTAGGGACGATGAGTTGGATGTTGCCTGGAAGATCTTTACCCCTATTCTCCACTGGATCGACGGCAAGGACGGTGGTAAGTTGGATACTGTGCATTGTAGAATTGTGCTGACTGGATCTGGCAGACGCCCCCAAGCCCGAGCCTTATGACTACGGATCTCGAGGCCCCAAGCAGATCGACGCCTTCACTGCTAAATACGGTTTCAAGCGAGCTTCTCAGAACTAGTGCGTCCTTGACTATTTCCACGCATGACATTTGCTGACCGAATCTCACAGCCAATGGCCGCAGACTTCTGCCAACCTTTAAACGATTCGATGTCTTGAATAGGAAATGATGTCTGAAGTATCTGGGGCTGTGAGAAGCTGGAAGTGTCAATAGATGGATTCTGAACGAGTTTTCGTTACTGTATATGATGCATCTCCACTGAGAGATGATAGCCTTCAAATGATGCGACCGAATTGTATTACAAGAAAATGGTGATTGACATGACTTCGTAACGCTGCGTTATCAAATGCTATGGACACGACAAGAAACTCCTCTCAGATGACATCTGATCACACTTCCCCACCCGACTGATGGACCCTTTCTCAACGCCTATGCCAGACGTGGGCTGCGTCATGCAGCCCCTTCATGTCAGCCGGCCTCAGGAGCACCAGGTTTCGCAGGCGTCAATGCACGTCCACACCTTCTATCGTAAGTGACAATCCCACCAAAAGTAAACTCACGTGCAGTGCCCATGCCCATCGTCTTCACAACCTTCCTCATCCTCATCCTCGTCGTCTTCCTCCTCACTCTCATCCTTGAACGTTCCCCTTCCTTCAGCGACATTCTTTGCCTTTGCCTTGATCGCTTCCTTCCGCTTCAGCTCAATCTTCCTGCTCCGAATGGCACGTCTGCGCGCCCGCTCGGTACCATAATAGAGGTCGTACTCGCAAAAGCAGCAAACATAGTCGTCCTCGCTGGGACGAACCAGCGTGCGTTTCTGCGGTGCGCCGGGGAGGGGAGCGGTCACACGTTCCGGCCGGGTGGCAAGGAATCGCATGGAAGGTGGAGAGATAAGGTCAAAATGATAGGCATAGGGCTCGAAAGGGTCGCCTTGAGGTGAGACGGTTCGGGAGGGGCGGTCTAAGCGTTGACATTAGCCGCTATAGCGATGGCAGGCAACAGGAACGTACAATTGTCTACATGGTGGGGGTTGCTTTGGTTTGCGAGAACACTCCTCTTCTTCTTCTTGGGCTTCTTCTTCGGTTTGCCATCTCCATCGCGAGAGACCGTCTGAGATATGGCAGGGGAGGCGGGTCGCTGGGGAGGAGCAGGCGTAGAGACAGGATCAGTGGAGATGGTAGTTGCGTCGAGGGTAGGCGCATGGACAGACGCAGACGCAGGAATGGGCGCAGAAGCCTCGTGCTTCCTGTCAATTTTCCGCTTGTTCTTGCTGGGAGGCTTGTCCTCGGCAGGAGGAACAGTGGTGGACTTGACGACAGCTGTGGGTTTATGAGTGGCGAGAACGATACCCCTCAGCTCGTATGCGAGCTTCAGAAGGGCGCCTTGCTCCTTCACCCGTGACCGCAAAGTCGTCGATGCTGGCATGCATGATAAGTAATGCACATTGCCAAAGAGGGGTGCAACTTACCCTTGCACTCCTTCTCAAACTCGAAACTACCCTCGGGCGCCCATCCCTTTCGCTCCACAGGTTTTCCGCCCACCTTCCTTTTCCTTGCCCTCACTCTCCACTCCTCCGCCCTGTCCTCTCTCCATCCCGGTCTGTCTGGCGTCCACGAGTTGACGCCTACGTCTTCCAGAGCCGGCAGCAGCTTCTCAAAGTTGGTTACATCAGGCAGCGAAGCCTTGTACTTGGCCACCGCCGCCGCCGCCGGACCTGTTGCCCCAGCAGCAGTCGACGTCGCATTGATAGCGGCCTGAGCGTCGATGTAGAGCGCAATGAAAGCAGCCTTCCTCCTCAAGAAGAGGCCCTTGCGGAACTCACAAAGGGCATAAGCGAATGACCTTGCAAACTTTCGCTTGAGGGGGAAGGCGGGAGCTGCGGCAGTCTTGGAAGAGGTGGAGAGGGCAGAGGAGTCGGGAGGGTTGTGATGGTGCTCTGAGCCGTCTGGGGATTTGAGCTGGCCGTACGCGGGGACCTTGCGCTTCTTGCCCCCGGGGGCAGCGGGGAAGTCGTCGTCGTCAAAGTTGTCCTCTGGGGGAGGCTCGCGGGGTGTACTCATGGAGGACGATGGAAAGAGGAGAAAGAGATGGCAAACGAACAAAGCCGAGAAAGAGATGGCAAACGAACAAAGCCCTCCAGCAAACCGGTACCCATTTGATCCCGTTCCAAATTGTGGCACCCACGCGTCCTTCAACGAACGTCGTCGTGGTCAGCCATCTCTCGTCGTTTTGCAGCCTTTGAGTGGCTACGAGGTGCTGTATGTGCTGCCTATAGTCACTCGATAAATTTCAACGCATGGTATAGCCTTGCAACTGCCAATGTACTGGTCAAGTCAGGCATTTTTACGGCCTTCTGCTCTCGGTGGTGACCGACGGCCTTTTTATTGAGCTTCAGGACGAATCCCCAGCTTTTGCGCTCACAGATACTAGAATGTACAGCACGAACTCAGATATGCTGAAGAGACAGACCTCGGGGACAGCCAATAAAAGACTCTAAGCTCTTATCTTTCCAAAGATCACCATGAGGGGATTATTCAGTGCAAGTGGACAGGGAAGCGGGGGCAGTATCTGGTCGTGTAGTACTGTGGAGTGTCTAAGATGTTCTTCATGACCTCATTTGCTTCCCTGTCAGATATCTGGTGACTTGGTCAAAAGCGACCGCTATGTCAAATGAACAATGCAACGAATATGTGCCATGAGTGGGCCAGCAGACGTCTGACCCATGAGTAGTAACAACAAAATGATGACCCAAAGCAAGGGGCATGATACCGTTGGCCACCAAAATCTACTCAAGAGTAGATATGTATGAAATTAGAGCACCACCCGTTTGCAAATGGGGATGAAGGGAATTGTAACCGACGAGTAGTACCGGATCACTCAACTTCATCATGATGCCAAGCATCTTCAACAGCATCTTTTCTGGCGCAACCTCCATGGAGGACAGGTGGCGATAGAAGACACATCTATCATATCATACTCAGCTGAACCGTGTAATTGACATCTGCTGATGTTAATCTTGGCGAGAGGGCGTCATCATCATCTGATGATTATTTTAAATATGCCCTTCCGCCTGCCGCCCGATATTTATTATCTTCCGCACATGCTTCTCCTTTTGCATTCCTTCCGTTACTAGCTTTCACGATGGCAAACAAGAACCCTTTTTCTGATGTGTATGCCCTTGCCACTCTCGGCCGCAGCAAGAACGACATAAACGCCCCTCAACCATCTGTCGATGATGGATACTCTATGACCACCAACCACTCAAACTTCGCCGCCAGTGCGGCTTCCGTCAATTCTCGAACGCACCTAAACACTGGAGCTACTTTTGGAAGTGTCAAGAGCCATGGCCAGCCTGATAAAGAGAGAAATGATGAGCGTATCGTGCTCATAATCATATATACCGCGGCCATTATGTTCTTCTGGAGTGGGTGCTTCGCCAAGTGGATTCTTGGCAGATGCTGATCTGTGAGCTTATCCACCAGTTCTTGGGTTCATGGTCATAAGCAAAGTATCTCTCTATAAAAGGGTAGACTGCAGCGACGACAGGGGTCTCTATTCAGTCTCCGGCTGGATCGCCACTACGGATAATTCCACAGACCTTCCTATTAATGTGTGGGCACAGATCGTATATGGTAAAGAGAATGCGTGTACAAAGTTCAGCCACAATAGGTGAGTATAGTCTCGTCACGCTTCAAAGACACCCTCCTGATATAGCACATGTCACTAGTTGCTTTTGTGACACAGAGACCTTGACTGAGCCCAACTGGAGGTTTTTGACCATCAGCGACCATATCTATCTCTTGCGCTTCAAAAGGAAACTTCCGTGGCCTATCGACTCCCCTCCCACGTCCGTGACAAGGCACGTTCTGTCCAGTTCTTTACTCTTGGCCTACGCGGGTCTTGTTGCCGCCCTCCATGTTATCTTCACGCAGGTTCGTCATTAGTGTTTGCGTTTCTTGAACTTCAGCGCCTGTCTTGTCAGCACCTAACGCTCCTGGGTCCTAGCCATGCTTGTGGCCACTGCATGTTGTGACGGCCTCGGGACTAGTCCCACTGATAGTATGGAGCTGGATCGCCATCAAACCCATCGTCAAGTATGAAACAACGCTTCGGAAGGCTCTCCATCTGTCCTACAACACTTGGACATTTGAAGGCCATCTTACAAAGTGCCCTCCGGTAAGACCTCTCGCACACTACTCTGCTTGTTGACAAGCTGACTTGACGATGGACAATAGGCAGTAGGAACTGCCTTGGCTGGTGTCGTGATTATAGCCGTCTTGATTACGATACCTGTAAGAGCTAAAAGGGCATCAATGGGCGGTGCGACGAACGTATAACAAGGGGCGGGATAGGCCAGGAAAGAACTTTCGAGACCAAGTTGTGAATTAATAGTTTGCTTGTGAGACAATAATGGGGAAGCACGCTAGTGAAATGAAGCTCGTATTCTGGATATGATCGGATACACGACGCATAACATGAGCCTACAACACACATGGCATCTGATGATGTTTGATGTTTACAACAATCGATTTGAAAATACGTTACAGCTTAGCTCTAGCTTCTGTCATGCCGTGCAATCTTTGAATGACTTCTGTTGCCTCCCTGTCGATACGCTTGACAAGGTCAGAACAAGTTGGGATGTCATCAATGAGACCGACGGCGATACCAGCGCTCATCGAGGTGTCAGCATCCTTGATTTGAAAAATGATGGGAACAAACTCACGACCAGATACCAGCGTCATGATCACCCGTCTCATAAACCTGCTTGCCTCTGGCGCCGGCGACAAGCTCCCTGAGGTCTTCGAACTTGGCCCCTTCCGGTCTCCGCTCAAGACGGACGACTTCCGTGGAGACGGCGTTTTTGAAGACACGTGCAGTGTTCTTGAGGGACCTGTATTTTCGTTAATGTGAAAGTCGGATACGATGAAATTAAGCAACACGCCTAAAGATATGGATTGTATCTCGTTCAGTAGAGGCCACGATCTTCTCCTTGATATTCTGGTGGATAGGCGATTCCGCCGTACACATGAAGCGAGTACCCATGTTGATACCCTATCGTATAAAGTATGAGTAATTTGATGGTAGTAGACGGGAGGACTCACAGAAGCACCAAGGGCCAGAGCTGCAGCGAGACCACGGCCATCAGCAAAGCCACCAGAAGCGACATAAGGAATGGAGAGTTCTTTGGCGGCTCGAGCAAGCTTTGATACAGAGGTCAGTAATTGCACATGCCCATGAAACACCACAGACTCACCAATACTACTCCACCGATATCTTCCTCTCCAGGATGACCAGCACCTATGCGTAAATAGTCAGCGGAAAGGCCCTCAAAAGCAGGACATGGCACGTACACTCGAATCCGTCGATACTCAACATATCTACGCCCATCTTTTGTCCAGACAACGCGTGCTTGACGGTCACACATTTATGAATAACAAACCGCTTTGGGACCGACGAGCTCCCTTCCAATTTATGAGTCTTGATGAACTCGATGAGAGGCTTGGCTTCACCAGCCACTATCAGCAGAAAATAGGAGACCACTGAAGGCTGGAACACTGACGATTATTGCCAGCAGTCTCGAAGATGTCTATGCCTTCCTCCATGGCTGCTCTGGCGTACCCAGCACTATATCACATCAGCACACAACCTGGCGGGTTGATATAGAAGAAATTACTAATCAGGCGGGTTGATAGAAGGAAGAAGAGTGATGTTGACTCCCTATCATGATAGACTCGGTCAGATTTCGCGTGCACGTTTAGCTCGGTGACACTCACAAAGCGCCCGCTCTTCTCTCCACCGATTAACCGCCTGGTCTCCTTGATAGCATCCCTTAAAGCATCTGGACTGGGTTGCGTGAGGGCGGTAAGCATGCCAAGCCCTCCAGCTCTGGCTACAGCTGCTGCCATGGGTGGTGTGCCCACCCACTGCATGCCCCCTTGGACGATAGGATACTTTCAGGACGCGTGAGCTGCAGTCAAGGTAGACAAGGGGCTGTACTGACCTTGATATGGAGGAGGCGGGTGAGTTCTGTTGTGAGAGGCATATTGGGAGTATAGGGATGGATAGTAGATGAAACAGGATGGGTCTGTTGTTATCATTTATAGTGCGGTGCTGACGAAGTTTCAGAACCCGGCTACGCTGGTTACCCGAAGCGGCCATGTCCGCCTTGACACCTGGCGGTGCAAAATGCGATGAAAGCTATATGTATCGGATACATTTGGGGGTGCATACAGGGATTCAGCAAGCCAAAAATGTCATCAAACTGGAAATACAATCTTGTAGTACACATGCAACAACAAGGAAAGGCGTCTTCCTCGGTCACACCTTTGAAACGAGTTTCTTTCTCTCCGCGGAGAGGACGATAAGCTATGCACAAATGAGCAACAATCCCCGGGAGCGATACATCACTTTGGTTGAAGAAAAGACACTCACTTTTTTGACGAATTCGTAGATTCGGCGTTGAGCGACAAACATGAAAGCGGCGGTGAGGACAGATTGGAGCAATTTCAGTCCCAAACCGGCATAGAGACCTGTGACCCGCAATGATCAGCGGGGGATGGCAGCCACATGATTCGTCAGACATACCATTGACGCCCTCTGCTTCAAGGATATGCAAAACAGCTTTGATGGAAGACTTGTACTTGTGGGTCGCCGCTTGCTATAACGCCATCAACTCAATTCTTGATCTATCAAGCCATTATGCTCACAAGTCTTGACTTGACGACAATCTAGAAACGATGAGAGGTCAGTAAAGATACTATCGAGCCGGGTAAGGAGCTCACATAAGGGTAAGTACCACTAGTGGCGACCAGCTTGCTCAATGCACCCAGGAAGAACAGGTCCCAATCACTCAGAGAGCTTCGGCCAAGCGCTGTCTTGCCCGTGGGGGTGGCGCCTTGTTTCGCAAGTCTGAATCCAAGAAGGAGAGAGACAAGCCTTTCGAATGTCGTATACTGCCCATAGAGTTAGAGCACGCGCGTCTTTCGAGGATGAGCTTGAGCTTCGCACCTGGATAACGGGGTTGAGGACCAGAATCAAAGCCGGTCCTATGCCTCTCCAGAACCCCTTTAATCCATCCTTCTCCAAAATCTCTTTCACGACCGTGATAGCACTTGGCTTGACCTTCTTTGCGTTCCCCTCTACGTCGGTTTCGATAGCACCGGATGCGTTCCGAGCGGTGGTTGCGTGGGTTGCTTGGGCCGTCTGCACCGTCCAGATAGGGTTGGTGGTGAGGGTGGTGATGGCGCCTATGTAGCAGGCAGTTAGTGCAATAAGTGGTTTCACGCGCTATTGTAGGGCGTACCGGCGATCAAACCTGCGAGGATCCCTTCGGTAGTAGTCAGGGCGCTAGTAGATGAAGTCGAAGTGTTCCCTCGGCGGCGGATCAGCAGCGAGCGCATCTCCTCGTCTTTGGACATCATTAGATTGCCGTACTCGGTGCTAAAGTATACTGTTACTGACAAAATGCGTAGTACACCCCATTAGTGACGGCAATCCCAAAGAGCGAGCTCGTGAGACCAGAGTACAAGCCGAGGACACCTTCGGATTTGATGACCTTTGCAACAGCCTCTCTGGTGGTCTAGCAAGATAAGTATCAAGGTCAGTAGGAAACGAGAAGATATAACCGACTGACCAGCTCTTTCTTCTTGGTCTGCACGGCTGCTCTCGTGGACAGATTGACAAGAGGGCTGTTATTGGTGTTAGCGACCACAATATCTTGAAGCCCAGATCCGTAAGCTTACTATGTCAGTGCCTGCAGGTCACATGGTAGTCAGCGGACGCCCGCTAAAGATACATATCTTGTGAACGTACCATAGCGGCAGATCCACCCACAGAGCCCGCAAGGGCGTGGATCGCTGAATCGCTCATATTTGTGCTGTGTTAATATTTCAGGGATGGTCGGGGATGGGCTTTGAGACAGGATGGGGTGGGTAATGGGAGAGACCGGGAGAGAAAAGTAGAAGTGAGATGGATTGATGGCAAACACTGAAAGTAGCCGGGTGGAGGCTGCATAGCCGGGTATGCCCGCCGTAGACGCGACTGATTTCTTCTCGTTCAAGCTCCTTCCTTCCAAAAACAAAAGATGTGGGAGCTTGAGATAGGGCAAGGTTGCAGAAGTAGGAATACATTCAGCAGAAAGAAGAATTGAATGACTGGTACACCGCCCAGCACACCCCAAGCCTCTTACTTTTGGCACCTTATTAAATCCTTGAATGAACCTCGACCGAAACACGTACGCCGGCTTTCAATAATTCTTCTCGTCCTCCTCAGCATGAACGAAAATCTGTCCGTGACTGTGCAGATCATATCGAGTCCCCCGAAGAGCTTCTGCCCGTCCGATAGAACCGACTAACAATCACATGAAAGTACATCCCCACCCGTCCACCGTTCTGTGTTGATGATCAGCATATGATTGAATCGCAATAACTTTGCTCATCTCTGGTAGACTCACAATGAGACTGCTCCCAGTTCCCAAAAACAATCCTAGTAGCCCATCCAGTCAGTACACCACACGACGGTCATGGATAGGTCGATGGTGGGATCTTACCAGTCCCTATAGTGTCCCAGCAATAGCGATCATAGAAAAGACTTAGTGGCCTCCAATGGTTCAGCCATCGATTACAACTTTCGCAAAGCCCGAGGACTCACAAGATCTCTCTTCATGTCGAATTCTCCCTCACGGGTCTGCGCTAGCTCTGCATCATTCTGGTCGAGCGTGTTTGCCTCTGCTAGATAGTTTGACGCGAGCGGTGGATGGCCGACATGGTAGACGGTCTCTGCGTCCTTGTCGAGTGTTGATGTCGCCATGATGTCGCCATGATGATATGTGTCAAGTCTGAAACTATGGCCGATTGCTGCAACTCTGTGGGCCAAAGAAGATGAGAGGTGAGAGGAGGTAGTGCTCGACAACATCAGAATCGGTCACCTCTCCCCTCGCATGAGCTTTCGGCCGGCTGCTTCGGACTCGACATCAAGTGCTCATCACATGTGATAAAGACTGGACTCCGCTCGAAGATGGATTCTGTATGGCCAATTGGCCAGAGATAATAACAACGGTGCCTGAGCTGTCACGGCTATCAACGGGCGATCCGCTCAGTCCACACCGACTGTTGCACTCCTCAAGTCGTGGCCACAGCTGATTATGACTACGGTTCCGACGATCATGAAAGAACTAAACGGAGGACGCTCACTTCTTGTTGGTCATCGAAATGAGGGTTGTCATCAGACAGCTCCCCCCCGGTTCTACACGACGTGATCATAAAGCTCACCCTTTGAAAGGGGTATACGTCCCAATTCGTCTACAGCGGTCCACCACCGATCACCAGATCGTGGATAACGTCAAAAGCTACTTTTCCATTTCATCCAGGAAATCAGCTACATGGCCTATGGTCAGCCTTAGATCTCTAAACATGCTTGGGATAGTGTGGGCAATTTGCAATTACGTGCGATAGCTGAAGAAGGTTGTACAGCTCAAAGACATATAAACACTGTATTCCGAGACCGAAATGATCGTGATATTGACTTTGCCGCAAAAACATGCTATGGATACATATATAGGCATCTATGTCGTCAGGACATCGTTTCCAAGAATTCGCAGAACTCTTTTCATCCTCTCCCTTCTTTTCTCTTCTCTATGACTTCTGACCCCCCGGCTTCTCCCCCGGCTTGAACCGCATCACTGGCGGCTTTGGCGGTTCCGGCTTTGGCTTTGGCTTTCCCCCACCCCCCATCCCTCTCCCACCTTGCCCTGCTGCATTAGGCGGTCCCTGGAAAGGCGACCCCATCCTCTCCAAAACTTCGAGTCTCGCAAACTTTTGCACATCTGTTCCCGACCCGCGGGTACCGAGAGACGCAATGTAGTCTTCGGATTGGTGGTTGGGGGGAGGCGTCCACATGCGGGTGTGGGAGGTGTGCGCCGTGGGGTCGAGTTTGGGGTTGACGAGGAAGGGGTGGGCTTCGGTGTTGAGGACGTAGTCGTCGAGCGACAAGACGTCGGGCTCGGACTGGAGCAAGAAGTGGTACCTATCTGAGGTCAGCGTTGGTCTCCACGTACAGAGAATGGACATACTTGAAAGTCTCGGCTAAAGCAAAGCTTTCCATATTGTCGCTAAACTTGATCTTCTTAGCAGTCACATCGTGAAGACTGCTAAAGCCGCCGTCGACGGTCGAAGCGTTCATCCACGAAGTAAACATCTTCCAGCCCTTGTCTTGCCATTTTCTATCACCGGTGAGTCGGTACCTGCGAGACCATCAGCTATATCCCACCCAGAGAGATAAAAAAACGGACATGTAAAAGATGGACTCGATAGTCTCGGGCCTGTTGAGGCCTCTCGTAGACACCTTTTTGGCACCCGCGGGAGTACCCTTGAGCCTCTGAGCGTACTCCACCGGCCCACTTTCCTTGTCCTGTCTATCCGCATAGAAGACCGGATCATTATCTCCATTCCACCTCAACACCCCACTTGTGTCCCTATGCATTCCATCCCGCACCTTCTTGTCATCGGAGCTATACAAGAGCGGGTGGTTTCGCTCGGCATTGAGCGTCACATTCTCGTACATCTCGCCCACCTGGTGGGGCTCAAACCACTCCATGACTTCGGGCTGAAGGCCGGTGGGAGTGCTCGCAGACAGCCAGTAGCACGAGGCTGTCACGCGCTCGGCGTCCTTCATATCGCCCGGACGGTTGAGGAGCTTGGCACCGAGGCCGAGCATGGCGCCGATAAAGCAAGTGAGATGTTCAAGCTCGGGAATGAGGCGGCCGCTTTCGAGCTTGCCGACGGCCAAAAGGTCGTGATCGGGGACAATGTCGATATCGACGTAGAGCACCTCCTTGGCCTTGTCGATAGACCTCTCATAGACATCCTTCCAGACCTTGGACACCTCGTTGGCAGAGAGGAGCTTGTAGGTCTTGATCAAGTACTCGTAGTAAGAGTCTGCCAAACCGCCAAAGGTCAAACCGCCATGGATCTGCTGGTTGACAGGTCCATCTGGCTGGAACCACATGGGGATGAGAGGGTTGTGGACGGTACGCGGGATGACACGCTCGTGGATATAGTCCATAGCACGCTGAGCGAGGTCAAACCATTTCCTGTCTTGAGTGATCTGGGCAAGACGGATGAGCTCGAGAGACATACTGCCGACCTCGGCGAGAGAGACGGTACCAAGGCGAATCATCTCGTCGGGAGTACCGGGGTCCATACGCCCAGTCGGCAGACCAGAACCGGTCTTGAAGGCGGTAGAGAGAATTTCAGCGAGTTCAATACCCCTATCGAGAAGCAGCTGGTCGCCAGATAGATCGTACGCGCCGAGAAGACCACCGAGGTAGCGGATACCAGTCTCGAAAACGGGCAGACCCGTGACCTTGTCTCGCTGGACAGCCCAGACCTCTCCATTGTTGATTTCGTCAGAGACAAAGCCTTGCGACCAGTCGCGGCCGTTGACCCATTGGAACTTGAGCTGGTTGATGTGAGGTCGGCAGAGGTTGTATTCTTCAGAAAAGCCCATGAGCAGGAGCGTGTCGAGAGAGTCGATGATGGTGGCACCCCAGCCATTGAAGGGATCGGAGGGGGTACACGATACAGGTCGGACCTCATCGTGGCCTGGTCAAGTCAGCTCACGTGTCTGATAAAGATGCAGTGACTCACCCCAAGCATGCGCCTTGTAAGCTTCCCAAGCATGCCTGAACCCCCTCTTGACAGCCTCCTTCCTCTCGACCCGCTCTTTCCTCTCCTTTTCGCTCTCCCATCTATCCCGGCCACCGGCGAAGCCTTCCCACTGCACCCTCTTGATATCCTCCGTCTTCTTGTTATCCCAGTCTTGGGGCGCCTTCCACTGCTGAGACCAGGCATCGAGCGGCATGGTATTGGCAGGCTCGGCGGGCAAGTCTGGCGGGTCGGACGTGATTTTGCGCAAGTCCTCCTCGGGGAAGGGGGTGCCATAGGGCAGCTCTGAATACGACACATTAAGATCAGGGAAGATGTCGGAAGGTTTGGGAAGGAGAGAGACGTCCGGGTGCATGGGAGCGATATCCTGCACCCAGTCCCGGACAAAGTGGTTGCCATGCTCGTCCACCACCACGTCCTTCCATTTCGAGGTCTTGCCCGGGGCTGTGCTACTCGTCGACGACGATTCTTCAGCACCATCGTCCCACGGCCCTGGTCCCCAGCCTTTGCCGTCACCGCGCCCAGGACGGGGAGGAGGTGCAGGAGGCCCGGCGAGGTAGTAGAGGATGAAGGCGGCGATGATGATGCCGCCGAGGACCCATTTGGGCTTGCGGGGGACAAAGATGCGGCGGGCGATGTGGGAGGGGGAGGGGGGCAGGCCCTTCTCGGGGTCTGCAGCGTAGGCGGGGGGGTAGGGCATCTTTCTGCCCTTGAGCTTGGGGGAGTAGGTGGAGGATGAGCCCATGGCGGGAGATGGAGAGGAAAAGAGAACTGCAGCGTCGACGCGTCGCTTTTACTTGGCCAAAACGCCGCCCGTCGCCCATGCATCCCTGTATGTCTCCTCTCTCATCGCTATAGTAGTGCGATACTGTACGCATGTAGAAAGGCGTCGTAGGGAAAGATACGTTCAGAGTCGATAGTCCACGAGTCCATAGCAAGCAAAGTATCTACAACAACCGACAAGATCAGACACTCCCCTCTCCCGACCTCGCAGACCCAACTCCCAACGGCACCTCATGCCTCCAGCTATCGATATTCGCCGCAGGCCCCTCATTCCCATCACCTGCCATCATCCCCGGCCCCGCAAGGTTCGGCACCGACATTTGGCCCATTTGCCCCATCATCCCCATCGAAGGCATTCCTATACCCATGCCGTAGCCCATAGGTTGGCCGTAGGGCATTCCCATAGGCATCTGACCCATCGGCATCTGGGGCATACCCCACACGGAATTGTACGGGCTACCCATGCCCATCTGCGGTGCACCAAACATGCTCCCCTGCCCACTCATCCCGCTCATAGCGCTCACCCCATTGACGTTCCTCTTTTGCATCTGCCGCTGCACAACATCCGCATGTTTGTACCCCAACGGTAGATCATCTTCTACCACTTCTGCCCTTGTGGGCGGTTTCAGCCCCTTGGATTGGGCTTGGCGGATAGCAAGAGGCAAGTCGTCTTCTTCTGCGCCGTACTCTTCTGAATACGATTTGGAAGGCGTTGGGGAGCCGAGAGAGAGGCGGAGGGGTTCAGATGTGGTGGGTGGACGGGGTTGAGAAGAGGAAGAGACCGAAGGTGACTTGCGAGCCAGGCGGGAAAGTGGCACGTCTTCGTCCGAGTCGTCGTCCTCTACCACCAAAGCTGAAGCGCTCGATTGGATGATTGAAGCCGACCCAGACGCGTTCTGGACAGAGGGCGAGCGTAGTGACGCAGACTTGTTGGCAAGTTTTGACAGAGGGACATTCGCCTCCGAGTCGTCAGAGTCTGAATCTTCTTCCACCACGGGCTCTTCGGGGGTAGGACTGCCCGCGACAGAGCCTTCCGCGATGTAATAATTGTCGTCCCGTTCCTTGATCGACTCTCTGAAACTTGCTGTCTCCTGCAGAGACTCAACAATTGGCTCTTGTTTGGCCGGATCATCCACCTTTTCCCAATCTTCCCTCGACCACTCTTCACTCAACTTGGACTTGGCCCTACTCTTTCTCTTCTTCTTCTTCCCTTCTTCCTCCTCCTCCTTCCTCCTTCTCTCCTCTTGATTCGCCTTTTGTAGCCTTGCCTCTTGCTCCTGCAGCTGCCGCAGCTTGACCATCTCCCTTTCCCAGATATGGTCCACCCCAAAGACCGACTGCGACTTGTTTTCCCTCGAGTTCATACCCGGGGCTTCGAGCGCGTAAATGTCTTCTTCGTTCGAGTTTATACGCAAGAGCGGCTGACGGCCGCCGGGGTGGAATGATCCAGGCCGTTTACTAGTCGCAGACAATGGGGAGGTGGGTGATAGGGAGGCAGAGTCGATATGCATGGAGGAGCGAGACATCATCGCAGGTCGAGAATCGCCCATGAACGTCCTACCCCCTATCAGCTTGCAGTCACAATCATAGAAGAGTACTCACCTTGATCTCCCCTTCATATTACTCTTCCTAGCTTCCAACTCATCCATCAAACTCTGTCCATACAGCTTCCCAGCCTTCTTCTCCAAAAACGCCTCACTCGTATCCCGCCTCTCCACCCCAATCTCCCCATCCTTCTCTGCCCCTCCGATCCACTCTGGATCTTCCCTCCGCCCGTCAATCATCAGACTGCTTCTGAACGTGCGTTGACTAAGGCTTAGAGGGATACCGGGCCGACGGCCTTGGGTTTTGGCGTCTGCAGGTAGAGGCTTCTCGCCGAGGACGAATCCGTCTCGGGTTTTCTGTTCATAGCCTGCAGAAGGTGCATCGGCCAGGGGAGAGGGCATGACGAGGATGGTTGGTCGGAGAGAGTTGCGGTTCATACGCTTGACAGCGCTGGGAGCATACCGCAAAGGCATGAGCGAGCGGCCGAATGCTTGGGGCGTAGGGATCTCGTCGTACTCTTCCCCGCGAGGGAAATCGAGAATGGGAGAAGAGTGATAGGAATCCAGCGAAGGACGGGAAAGATGGGGTAAATCGGTTGATCGACGACTGGACAGATCTGAAGACTGGCGGGGATAGTCGGAAGACTGAGGCTGGTTGCCGTCAAGTGTCAAGGCAAGACTGGGAGGTCGAGGAGCGACTATACTGCGAGTGCTATCGATAGACCTTCTCTGTTCCTGCAGCACCTTTGGGTCAAAGCGAGAGCCCATTTCCGGACGCGGAGCAGCCACCGCAAAGGGGTTCGGCCGCCCATCATCAATAACCTCCTCTTCATCCCCAAGTCCCGTGTCAAACCCCAGGCTGAGGGAGGGGAGAGGAAGGAGCGTGGTGGTAGGGGAAGGCGAGCTGGGGAGAGGAATCATGACGGGGTTGGAGATCCTTCTGTCACGCACCTCTGGGCGCATGGTATTCTGCAGGCCCATAGCACTATGCGGACGCCCCACGAGTGTCCGACTCCTCTCACGCCTCTCCAGATTCTGCCCCGTGCTGCTGTACTGATCCAGAGACACGCGCCTGTCGCCATGTGTTGTGCGCTGCGGGTCGTCGTGAAAGTGCTCGGAGGCGTGTTGCGACTGGGCACGGGTGTGCGGGGGTACGGGGTGGGGGACTGGTCGGGAGACGACGCGTTGCCTGGGCGGGAGGCCGGCTTTGGCAGATACGAGATGAGAAGGAATCCCCCAGTCTCTGACGTCTGCAATGTCTTCTCCATCCCCGACTTGCTGAGGGGCTGGGAGAGGCAAAGGGGCGCGGTGGGCCGGGGCGGTGGGTGTCTTGTCGCCAGGAAAGGTGGCCTCGAGCGGGCTTGGAAGCACAGGGGCAGGCTGGGAGAGGATCTGCTGGCGCCTGGCCTCCTGCTGTGCTATGTGGTAGGGGATGAAGATGGCCGACTGGCGCCAGTCCTTGCGGGTGTCCTCGTCGTCGCTGTCGTTGTCGTACTCTGCGGGGATCAGCTACGGCAGGGGGGCGAGGGGGCAGAGGGGGCTCACCGATGAGTGCCCGTGCGAGGGCCATGCGACTGGCAGCCATGGGAAAGAGATGATGTGGAAGAGAAAGAGACAGATCTCAGGGCCGCATAGCGACAACATAGCGAGGGGGCGGTGCACGGCCACATCACTCAACATCTCCCTGGCATGCTGGGTATCCTGGCGAGTATGTATGTACTCATGCACAAGCAGCCATTCTCTCCTCTCCCCACCGAATGCACAACAGCCCGTCGGTCATAGATACGCGGGAACTTGTTTGGTTCCTCCCCTTCTGCCTGGCCACCATGCTTCTGACTCAATGTTACATAGCTGCGAGAGAGAACCAAGGTATAACGTCCATTCATAGTATTGATTCCATTTTAACGACGAATGTGCCAGAATTTTCCAACCCATCTACTTGCATCCTACCCCAATGTCAGCCTCGCCACAACCACTTCAACATGTGAAAGACTCACTTTGATTGACAACACTCATTCCATGTTCCTCATACTCCTCCTTCGTGACCCAAAGCTGATGGAAAGTACCCAAAGAGGCCAAGATGGAACCACCCACCCAAGAAGCATACTTGCGCTCAAAGGGAATGGTGGGAGAGTGGATCTTGATCTTTTGCTACATCACCGTTAGCGTCTGCTTCTATCAAGAATAGAGGAGAAGCGTACACTAGGCAAAGTCGCTCCCAGCTCCATATCCAACCTCTCCACCAATCCCCTCGTCAAGCTCGTATTCCCAACCACCACAATGTTTTGCAACAGACTCGCCCGGACGTCGACGTCGCATGCCATGATGCTGTCGTGCACGAGCTGGGAGAGGGGGACGATGTCTGTGAGGCTGCGGGTGTGGGTGGATGTTTGGGGGGCGCGGAGGGCGGTTGGGGGGGTGATTTGCTGCGCCTGGTCAGCTTGATCAAGCACATAAAAAGGAGGGGACGAACTCGGTTGAAATAGTGATCAGGGTCGAAAAGCATCTCTGAAAACCTATACCTCTCCTCCCCAAAGGCCTGGTGGTAACCATCCGGGAACTCATAAGTCACCTGCGGCATCTCCGCCGCCGTCCTAAAGTCAAACCCTCGACAATTGACAATCTCACTACACGCCTCCTTCCACCCTTCAACAGTGTTCTGCTCAGCCCAGTGTTTCCACGAATCCGTCGTCGACGGGAAACGGTCCTCGCGCAAAAGAGGTTTGGGGATGACACCCGGGGCGGAGGTCGGCTCCCGCTTTTGGATGAGCTGCCTGGGCAGGAGCGAGAGCCTCTCGGCTCGTAGAGGGGAAGGGTTGGAAAAGTGGCTGTGGAGTTGAGAGACGACGAGTTGAGAGCCGAGGGGCTGGTGCATCGTACCAGCTCGGAGGGCGTAGCCTTCGACAACAGGGATAGTGCTGGATTGGGCGTAGCCGACGTCGAGGACGAGAGCTGTCGGCTTGCCCGCTGCAAAGCTATCGTCTCGTCAGATGCCATGCAATGTTGAACGACGCGACTCACGCAGATAAAACACCACTGGACCCAAAGTACAGCGCCGGCATCCCTTCGCCCTCAAAGATCATCTCTGTCAACAGCTCCCTGGCCTTGGGCGTGTTCCACGCAGGCTCTGTGATCATGGCGGGGTGTTCTTGGGGGTTGACGCCGAGGCGGTCGTGGAGGATATGGTGAAGCAGAGCAGCAGCAGGCTCGGCATCATTCACTGGGCGAGTGTCAGATTATACCAGCGAGATGTACATTATACGCACCAAGACCATCAAGCATAAAGTTGCCCACCTCCATCCCCTTCCTCCACACCCCGACGCCATCCTCGCCTACATGATACTTTCTCTTCCCCCCCTTCCCCTTGCCCTTCGCACCTCCTTCCGCAGCAGGCTCTGTCATTGCCACGTCCTCTCCCTGCTCCGCCCTCGCCTCATAGCCGTAGAAGGAAGGGCAGACTACGCGCGGGCAGTCTTCGCCCGCATAGCCTGCTCGTGTGGTGTAGGAGCCAAAGTCGAGCACGAGGGCGGATACTTCGTCTGGGCCATCGTCAGTGCTGCCCCCGCCGCCCAGCACGCCACTCACCGCCGTTGTATACCATGTCTGTGGATGGATGGATGCAAGGGAGATGCCATTCAGCAGCAGGTGAGTTTTGGACCATATGCTGTTACGTAAACACCCAGAATCTATGACCTCTGCTGCCATTTTTCGTCCTCTAATACTCTATACTATACATCGCCTCCCTGTATATCCTCTTCTTTGTCTCCCCGCCATGTCCAATGCGGCCCTCAGACCCCCCGTCCCCCCCAAGTTCGCCCTCCCTCCCCAGCTCCTCGCCCATGCAGCCGATGCCTACCGCCAGCCCGCCCCGCCCCCCTCCCTGCCCCCAGCCCAGAACCTCATGCGCCACCAGGACCCCTCCCACGATCCACAAGACAAGCACCGACTCCAGCCGAACGGCGCGGGCGTCGGCGTCGTGCGCTGCCCCGAACAGCGGCCGTGGCAGGAGCGGCAGCGCCATGCTGGCGAAAAGCTCGCGAGGTTTCAAGAGTGGGAGGTGGATCATTTCGTTGGTGATCTGTCGATGGTGCTGAGGAAAGAGTATGACTGCTGGGTAGAACAGTGCTGGTGCGTTGCTGCTCATTCGAATTGGTGGTCCACTAACACGGTTGGCTGCAGGCAAGAAGCCTTCCACCACGTCTTCACCCATACCCTGCCAGAGCTCATCATCAACCTCATCATGTCGGGCGCAACCCCAACCTTTCTCCGCCGCAACGTCGTCTTTGGCGGACAATCCCTCGACCATCTCTTCCAATCCCAAATGCTCCACATCCTATTTGAAGAGCTCGAACACCGTCTCTGCGGCGACCGTCCCCACGCCGACCCAGGCCCTTCAAAGCCCTCTGCCCCAGCGTCCAAATTCTCCCCCTTCCCCTTTTCCGCCCCCCCTCCCCCCGCGCCGCCCATCTTTCGCGATGGCGTCTGTTTCCACAATCTCGCATGCGACCACGGGATCCCCGAGGAAGAAGACAACCACGGCGCATGTCTCTGCCAGCTCACCACGTGCATGGCGTGTTTTGGGCACTATGCCGTCTATCGCCGAGGACCGATCAGCCTGTTACCGCATGAGCTGTTGAACACGCCTGCAGCGAAGGGGTGGTTGGGAGGGGTCGAAACGGAGGCGCATGCCCGCGCGCGCCAGGCGTCCTTACGCCGTCAAACGCAGACGACGCAGGCGCTTCCACCAGGTAAAGGGTTTGTGCAGATGCCTAAACCACAGCCACCGACAGCGACAAGGACGCAGAATCCGGATCAGAACAAGGTGCTACCGAAGCCGCCGCAGATCTTTCCCCATCCACAGATGACGGATGTGTTGGCAGTGGAAGAGCATCTGAGATGGAGGTTGAAGGAGTTGGGAGCGGGGGATAAAGCGGTGGAGAATCGATATGGGCCTTCGGGAAACAATCCCATTGCGTTGGAGGGTATTGGATTGCCGAATGTTCAAGAGGAAGTTGAAGAAGAGCCCAAACCCAACACGGCGCCGTCAAAGAATATAAAGATGGCCAAAGTCAAAGGAAAGGGCAAGCTTCGACGCGTCCCAGTGTCGACAAACAATATCAAAAAGGATAAAGACGGCAAGGAGGTGAAAAAGGCGATCGTCTATCTGCCGAAAGAGTGGACGGATGTAGTGGCGTCGGAGAGAAATACGGCCACTGTTCTTACATTCCGGCATTTCGTCAAGGTAATCCAACTTGATCGAAAATGTCCGTGACTGACACCGAGCAGCTTCTACATCAAATAGCAATGGCCGCCTCGCCCTTTTCCCATCCCGACTACCCGACCGACATTGAAGAGCTCGAGCGTATGCACCCTGTCGCGCTCTATCGCCGTCTGGCTGAGCCGGCGGTGGAAAGGCGATGGGGCGCAGAGGAAGCAAAGGGGTGGAGAGTTTGTATGGACAAGTGGGGAGAAGAGTTTGGGGGCAAGGAGAGGAAGAAGGTGTGTCTTTTTTCTCTCTAGAAATGAAATGCGGAGATATAGAGAGTTCAAGCTGACGAGACGATGTGGGCTGAAAAGGGAAACGACGCGTCGTCCGGCAAAGACCACTCCTCCGCCATCAAACACTACACCCGCGCCATCTCCCTCGACCCCAAAAAGACAGTCTACTACTCCAACCGGGCCATCGCCTACAACAACCTCGGTCTTCACGGACACGCCGAGCTTGACTGTACCTTTTTGCTGAGTAAAGACCCAAAGAACGCCAAGGCGCTATACCAGAGGGCTTTGGGCAGGAAGGGCATGGGAAGGTGGAGAGAGGCGGAAGGGGATTTAGAAGAGCTGATGAGGTGGGGAGAGAGCGAGAGTGCGAGGGCGCTTTTGGCCCAAGTGAGGGAAAAGAGTGATGGGGAGGTGGTTTAGGGAGCATCTGACGGAATAGCCAAAGTAGTCTTGGGCATAACTATACACTTGTCACCATGTCACAACAACTCTTGTCTCGTCGCAGCGCGACTGTATTGAAATACATTGTCATGTCTTGCCATTTTGGCAAGAAGCTGGCAGAAGCAGAAGCAGATATTTTCCATGTCATAGTACATGCGTCTTGAAAGACTGCAGAGTAAATGCGCCCCACTTTGCACCGCCATCCCTTTTCTGTATGCGCCGGCCGAGAGCTCTATTTCTCAACACCTCAACACCGCCAAACTCCCCTCAAGACCCGAGACAACCCTTCCAAACGAACGCTCTTAACGCCTGACACCTTGGTTTGTCCTTGTCGTTGTTCCTCGTCGGGCGTTGGCTGCAATCGCGCAACACATCAGTAAGGTTCGATGGACTGCTTCCACAGAAGGGAAGGAGCTCACCTCGTTGAATGGTAGCTCGTCCTCGCGCAGCACCGATACCCCTTCCTCGCATGGCATTGGGACCGACTCGCTTGAACCTGCAAGTGCGTCAGTATTTGTCGGCCACGATTATTCTCTAAATAGCCCCCTTTCCCCCGGATAGCCCATGACCATGACTTCTCGTTCGCCAGTCTTCGCAGCCCCTTTCAATCACCACCATATTATCCCGATTCCACGCCCCCTCATCACTTTTCCGAACGAAATTACTCACATAGGCGCCTGAGCAAGCAGATCCGGCACAATGATGAATCTGATCATGCTTCCCCTGATGTACACCTGTTCCAGCTGAGAGACTCGACCGTCCCGGGCGGTAACGGTTATTTCACGGAGAGCGATGTTGAGGGTATCTTCGGCTGTTGTTTGGGATGATTTTGAATTCACAAGAGTTAGACATGCGGTTAGGAACGGGGGAGAAGGGATACGATGAAGAAGCCAGACGAGAGATAAGTGGTCAGCGGAGGCTTCGCGTACAAGATATGTCAAGACGCACCTTCCATCAACTTTCCGCGGTACATCTACGCAGTCGAGATATCAGCAAATAGTCCCAGCTAGTACTTCAGATGCACGCCTCCCCTCGATCAACTCCACTCTCGGATTGAAACAACGCACCTCGCCAGTCTTCAATTCCACCGTGATGATATGCCCCAAAGACTCGTGGAGAAGCTTGACGGGAACACCGAGGTTGGCCATTTTTATTTATCGTAGGGTCTGTGGTCGAGACAGGCGGTAGGGGGAAAAGGGAATGGGACGTGACGGCGGTGGATGGATGTTGTTGTAGGGCGCCGAGGGAGAAAGAGGAGATGAGGAAAAGAGCGAGATAAAGTGGGGGGCGCGAAAAAGAAGGGCCCGGTGGAGGGTGTCCACTTGCTGAGCTCAAGCTGAGCTCGTCATTCCATACCCATTCACATACAACTCCATTGTTTATCTATCATCTGCATCTTCAGCTTCACATAGAATGAGCATCACCCACGTCACATCTGCGTCCTTGCAAACCAGCGGCGGCCAGACGGGAGGCATGGATCGCCGTAATGCCCTCGTCGGTATCTCGGACCAACTCTCGGGCAGTTGTCAGTACCCACTATCTCTTTGGCGACCACATGACTGACAGCCAGATGAAGTGATGATCTCTCAGCCCCACACAATCTCCGCTATCCATCATCATCAGTCGCAAGACACCATCATCTACTCTATCTCTGGTCGCGGGGCTTTGATCACTCTCGAAGACGGCATAGAAGTCAAGAGAGAGATGAACCCGGGGGACTGGGCCTTGATACCAGCAGGAGTGGAGCACCAGGAGGCCAATGTAGGGGAGGATGAGGTACACTGGGTCATTGTCAGAGGAGGTAGAGTGCCGGAAGTGAAGAACGTCGAGGGATGGTCGACATGACTACTCATCAAATGTACTTACCTCGTCCGTCCAGGGATGGTAGTCAAGAAGCTGCAGGGGATCCTGAACAGTAAAGACGCAAACGACAGATATATCAAGGGGGACTAGCGATTGCATCTTATTCAAGGAGCTAATTTGGGCTAAGAACAATGTACGGAGAAGAACTATCCTCGCTTCCCTCACAGAGTACTCGAGGGTTGCCGTTAGATATTATAGGCGACATCAGTCTGTCTGTACCCACGACGGTTCCTTTGACCCCTACCCCTCACATTAGGCACACCCCATTTACGTCGCAGCTGTGCAATGAGAAGGTCGTAATCCAAGAGGAAAGCGGGGCGCGGCTGCTGCCTCCAAAAAGCTAGAAAGAATTCTTTCACAGGCCCACTCGTAAAGCTCACAGTAAAGATGATCTTGCGCTGATCAGAGTCAAAGGTGTCGGAATCAGCCTCAAAGTATAGCTGGGTGTGGAAGATGAACCACTCGAGCTTGTCTGGGTTGCCGGAGAAAGGTTCGGGCTCCCTTGCTCGTATGACGGAAGTGTAGATGACCTCGGTCTGTGGCGCCGCCTTGAGAGACAACTTTTTGATCTTCTCCTCGAGTACTTTGATCAAAGCTTCAGAGGAGGTGGCGGATGCCGAAGTGGGAGTGGGACCAAGAGGAGCCTTCTGCTGGAAAGAAGCAGTCGAGCCCAATTCCATTTGCCATCCGTGACGTTTGCGAGGGAGGGGGCAGTAGGAGTCGCCATGGGAATGTGGTAGAGGGTTGGCGTAGAGGGGGGTGGGAGCCGATGGAGTGAATGGCGATCAACCAGAGGGTGGCAAGATGAGCAAGACGGTCTACCTTATCAGCCTTCGAGGGTGAGGGGAAGAGAGGTATAAAGATCAACTGAGGGTCCTTTGAGGGATGTAAGCCCGCCTCATACGGGATGACAATGATTCTTACCCAGTAAAGTGGACGAAGGGATGGCATCTAATCAAGATACAATAAACAAAAGCGGTGACAAAAAGCATGAAAACTCATGGGAAACGGTCGGTACATCGACTCATATATCGGTTCATTGACCTTATTCTTCTTCCCACGGTTGTCGCCTGGCTCCCCCGAGTTCACTGTTCAAGGCCTTCAGGCCGGAAGTTGAGGTATCTTGGTCAACTCCATGCCATGCTGTGGATACAGTACTCTACTTGTCTACTATATGGGCAGTCAATAAGCTACATCGCGAGGATCCAAAACCGAGTTCCATCTCTCATCAGTTCAACTCTAGTACATGATCACTAGCGACTGTAGGACCGTCTCCCAAGTTTCCGCTCCATAGCATATACTCCCTCAGGGAATCTGTTGGGGAGCAGGAATCGCTATAGCCATAGACTCTGCGTTGACAGATCAAGATGCTCAATATACATAATTATGAATCAGATGCTGACACTATTATTCCTAACAACGTTTACCCTGTTATGTGTTTTGATTCTTATTGTATACTCGAATTCGTCAAAGAGAACCCCTTCTCACAGCAAGGTTAGCCCTGATACCCCATATCCTAAAGATCACAGCAGACGCCTGCTAATACCAAGCCCCTGATTAAAAGTACAAACCCCGAGAGCGTTATACCTCTTCCAACTCGGTAGCTTTGGTGACATCTTCTCGGTGTTCCACCCTCTCCAGTTTCCTCGCTTTCGAGTCGTGCGCCTGATACACGTCGGGGTGTTCGAACGCCGAGCCTTTGTGCCCTGCGAAACCGAAGAGAGCGTCCATCTCGTCGAGACGGAGACCTTTCTAGAGGGGTGTTAGCTCTGCTCTTGTCGGGTGAGGATTGGATGTGAAGAAAAGCGTACAGTCTCGGGAAGGAAAAAGTAGGACCAGATAGCACTGCCCATGAGACAAGCTGCAAAGAAGATCCAAGTCCCCCAGCCCATCGCTATGAAGATCTTTGGTGTCGTCTTGCTACTCTTCCCATCAGCTTCCGATCAAACAAAGTAAGAACAAGATACCCACGTGATGACAAACTGCCATAACCACTGACACATGGCCGCATAAGCTCCACACAGACCCCTCAAACCAAGAGGGTAGATCTCCGACGTGATGATCCACGGCAGACCATTCGCGCCAAATGACCAGAACACAGAGTAAAACATGATCATCGTCGTAGCCGCCGTGCCCCCCATCTTTGTCGACTTGTCAATGACATCCCTGGTCGACGGATGTCCCACTTTGACGTAAACGCCCACGTAGGTAAGACAGAGGGCACAGGCGACGCTGGATATCATCCAAGGCTGGCGGCGGCCCCACGTGTCGATAAAGTAGACGTAAAAGATGATGGAGCCGATGGCTTTAACGAGACCATAGATGCCGGTGTAGAGGTTGACATCGGTGATTCCTAGGGAGCCGAAAAGAGTTGGGGAGTAGTAGTTGATAGCATTGGCACCAGAGTAATTTTGCCACATACTGAAGAGTTTGTTAGGGGTGGAAGAGTAAAAGGGGGAGGGGACTTACAACATGACAAAAGCAAGGGCCATCCTATTCCTGATCCCCTTCAAGACAACTTCCCTCCCCGCGCCTCGCAAGTACCCCCACAATCCGGGCTTCCCACTGACCACCGCGCGCTCATGCAGGATTCTCTCGCGGTAGAGCGAGATTTCCTCTTGGATATACGGATGGTCGGCTGGGAGATTTCGGAGGTAGGTGAGGACTTCGAGGGCTTTCTCGTCTTGGTCTTTCTTCATGTAGAACAGGGGCGATTCGCGGAGGAAGAAGGTACCGGCCATGAGGATACCAGCGGGGCTGAGAGTCTGTCAGCAACGGTATGAGGGAGGTAAGGGTTGGGGTACATTAGCTGGATACCCATGGGCAGACGCCAGGAGACGTTACTAGCCAAGTCGATGTGCTGGGATACACCATAGTTTACCCACTGTAGTAAGTCAGCGCATAGTCTATACGAAAAAGTGGGAACGCACAAAGCCAACGAGCGAACCAATTTGGTACGCAATTTCGAAAAGACCGGTGAGGCGTCCACGGATACTGGGAACACTTTGTTCACTGATATACGCCGGCACTGCTCGAATGTGAGTATACTCCTCTCGATCAAGATGACCACTTACCAGTACCAGTGATGCCTCCAACTGCGAGCCCACAGATCGATCGGCCGGCGTAAATGTAGTCGAGATTCTTCGGCGGTACCGTCTGCAGGATAGCCCCGACAATAAAGATCACTGTAGATACTTGCAGCGTGATCTTTCTCCCCCAGGTCTCCATCAGCGCCCAGGAGAAGGCTGCACCAAAAAATGCCGCTGCTTGGAAGCAGGATGTGATATTAGAGGAAACGTCGGCATAGTCGCTGGCGGAGAGGCTGTCGATCTGAAAGTACTCGTTGAAGGAGGATCGAGCTATCGTAGTGCCCATGAAGGCTCCATCATAGCCGAAAGTTATGGCACCCCAGGCGATTAATAGGGCTGCAGAGTAGAGCCGCCAATTGTACTGCGCGAATCAGCGGGGAGCGCAAGAGGATCTAGAAGAACACTGAAGAGCTGGGAGGGCTGGACGTACCACTTCTGGGGGTGTAGGGCGGTCTTCGACGATCTTCCACGCCATGGTGCGTTGTGTTGGTGATTATATGCTGGATAGTATAGCTACCGGGTAGGAGAGTGGCGGGTCTATGGCTGTCTAGTATTTGTGTATGTGAGGGTGCGGAGCGGAGTGTGCCGCATGGGTCAAGGAACGGCTGAGAGGAGTGGACGTGCAGTTCAAGCTTCTTTCCATCCAAAGAGGGGCAGAAAAGTGCCCCGGAGTCATCCCCCGGGGTAACCCCAGGGAGCTTTCAGGCACGCCGCGCGGAGAAGCCCACCCATCGGCTCATCCCGAATGCCAATCCATCTCTCCCACCAGATCCCAGACGGCTGCGCAGGCTATTTCGACAACAATTTGCACTTCGGACGACTCCCTTGTTCGCGTGCGAAGGCTCACATGACTATCTTTAACTCAGATCAAGTTGGTATTGCCCGGCCGTGAAAGGCTTCTGCTTCCGCCGCATTCCTTTGCTCTTGCCGCGTTGAGCCATCCAGTCTGTGCATTGCTTTCCATTGCCGCTTCTTATAATTGCACTCCTGTCATAAGCACCTGTCTTCGATGTGTGAACGTATAAATCCCTGCTCATAAAACCCCTCCCTCTCTTCTTAGTTCAAACATCATTCACCATGTCCGAAGAGAACCCCTCGCGAGAAGATGACCAACAACAAGATTCTTACCTCGGGTGCCTCCCAGATGGCGTAAATTTGGGATTCGATGTTGCCGCCTTCCCCCCTTCTTACTCGAACTCCCCTGCGCCTTTCGACCCAACCAGCAGCTCCGACCCCACCACCTCCTCGGTCGCCCCCACCGGAGCTGCCTTCTCCCAAGCCCTCTCCCGCTCCCGACGTCGCCCCTCTGGCCAGCATTCGCCTTTATCGACCCCTCCCAGAGTGAGAACTCCGTCGAATACGAGACCGTTCCGCAGCCGCAATAACAGTCGACAAGAACAGGGCTTGGATTGGAATGAGTTCAGGCGGACCTGTTTTAAAGTGGCCTCTTTCGACGAGATGGCGAGGGATAAGGACGCGCCTGAAGCATGCTAATTTCTGCTGATTCTCAAGTCATATGAAGCTGACAAGACATGCAGGTTTCTGGGGAAGCAGAGCGCAAAACAGCCTTCTCCGAAGCCTCCTTGCTCTACGCTAGATGGCATACCTCGTGGTCTAAACCCCAAGAATTAGACCGAGTCATGATCAGTGCTGTCTCGAACTGCATGACAGAGCCTACCGAGGAAGAGTTCTTCTTCAAGTGGGATGAGGCGAACAGGAAGGTTGAGAGCGCGACTGAGCTTATCTCAAAGCTTCCCCCACCTTCCACCACGGAACCAGAGGGCGGGTTCTTCTGATGGATGAAGAGCCTGATTTTCATAGCCGAAGTATTGGGACTGGTATGAAAGTGGACGCTGAGAGGTTATCTGAAAGTCATGCAATCTGCTGTAATTTAAGAAGACCAGAACATGGATGTGTCACAGTGTACCAATGACAGAACGACGTGATAAGCCAATTCATAGCACATCTGATATTCAGAAAGGGCGATAACACAATTCCGGACAGGGACAGCCTTTTCTCTAGGGACCACATACGAACGCCTTTTATCCTTTTCGATCCCTTTCAGACCTTCCCTGTTCGTCTCAAGCTCAGTCACGTCTACTCCTGAGCCGAGCAACTGACACCGAATACTTGGCCAGCCATACCACCTCATTCGGCTCTTCCTTACAAGAAAATAGCGTCTTTGCCGTGAGATAGTCAAACGCAGGCTTCCCATTTCGTTCAAAACTCCTGAAAGGAGGATGCCAGGTATCGTAGTGTGAGGCGGCTACGACGGATTGCTCCGAAAAGGTAGGGTTCAGGTTTGAGGGGGTGGTGCCATTGAGGGCGGCAAGGGCTTTCGTCGTTTCCTGTGAGTATATAAAGATCACATGATGAGGATGTCAGATAGGAATCAAAAACGATATGCAGAAAAGACTCACGTCAGTGGGAGCCACGTCGTACTCTGGCTGTTGCTCCACCTCTTGAATGAAAGTGTGGCAAGCCTGCCTCATCTCTTGCCAATGAGTGGGGCTCAATGTCAATTGCGTACTACCAACACGGCTCTCGGCCCCCCCGCCGGTATTTGCTGACCGGTCGAGGGGTGCGGTATCAGGCTCATTACGACTTTCTGAAGGGGCAGGGGTAGTGTCTTCAGTGGGAGAGCCAAAGGTTGAAGGACCATAGCCGAGACTGAAGCCACCTGGAATGGCCCAATCTTCTTCTTCTTCTTCTCTTTTGCCCTCAGACATCTTGTTGTGGTGAGTCATACACAGGGGGACTGTATATACCATTATGGTATGAGGCTATATCTGCATTTTGGTTTGTTGCGGGGTTGGAGAAGTACGGGAGGGTTTTGGCGAGTTCCTTTCGACAAGTCAGTCTCGGCACCATAATTCCACTTCCGCACATCTGTATCATGTCGTTCGTTGCCCGCTTCAGTTCCTTTCATAGCGCATGGTGAATGGACACAGGGTGGGTACGATAGCCAAAGAGTAGGGCAGCAGCTAGTCTGCCATTTGGGTGTGGGGGTTTAGGAGGTGGGTGGCGGCATGGCAAGCCCATCGGCGATATAATTATATCGAAGCCGCCATCATGTTATGCCAAGCACGTCGACGTCATCTTTGTAGATACTCAAATATGCAATGGGTGAATATTGGCAGCTGCAATCAGATGTCTGTCCATATACGCCTCCAACTGGTGGAATATGGTACGCAACCAGCGTGCAGTTTGCGTTGAAGCTTGGTTGAAGCAAGCATCCAACAAATGATCAAGACAAATGATGTGCCACCCGGTTTACGTTACCCCGTGCCAACACGGTTATAAGCCACACAAAATCAAATTTGCAAAAAATATTTCCGTTAGCTCAGAGGTCTAGAGCTGTGTGCTTATGCGGATACCATTTCTCACACCGGTCGAGGGTTCGACTCCCCCACGGAAAACAATCGTTTTTTGTTTTTGCTTCTTTTATCTATGTTTCTGTCCATTCTGTCAATCAGATTTGTTACTGGTTTGTTGCATTCGCATGGCCCGACACATGCCTCTTCCGCTGTAGGCCTGCGTATGCAGCGTCCGTGCTAGGGTCGCATTGATTGTACATAGTGGTAGTAGTGTAGCAGTGTAGCTGTGTAGGTCAAAGCGGCCATGTCCGCACCTGCAACAACAACAAGCAAGTTGGACGCGGGACTGTTTTTGCTTTCTCACCCCAACAACTACTCACCACTCACGAATAATGGACCGCAGCATACTCGGAGCATCCACTGCTCATAGAGAACCACTCGCATCCCGCCTCCCCGCCCCCAACACTGCCTCCGCCGTGCGCTCGTCCAGGTCCAAGTCGGCCCAAATCGCGGGTATTAAAGGCGCAGCCGTTTACGAAAATGATTCGGGAAAGGCAACCAAGGGAAAGAGCGACATAGTCAAGAGTGGACCTGGGAAGGATGAGAGTCTGATGACCAAGAAGCTGAAGGCACTGGAGAAGAGGATAGAGTGCAATGCCCAGGTGAATCGAGACCGATGTGAGTGTTTATATGAATACGATGTGCGGCACTGATAACCTGTCAGTCACTTCCCTGGACGACCGCCTCACCCAAATTCATCTCCAGCTTCACAGCCAAGCCAGTCTATCTAGCTCTACAAACTCTGCAACCCTCTCTACCCCCACAAAAGCCAACCCCGGCACAGGGCCTTCGGCGGTCCTCGAGGGCATGAAGAGCCCACCAGTACCGGCTTTGCAGAAGAAGATGGACGCGTATGTGGAGTGGGAGCGGAGTATGATAAGCGGCGATATCACACTCTCTGGCATAGATGACGTGCAAGAGGAAGAGGATGACGGGGAGGCGGTTCAGCGTGGGAATGAGGAGTTGGAAGGTGAGCGATTGCGCGCTTACGTCTCGTCTGGGCCATCGCTAATGTGGACCAAGAAATGAGGGAGAAAATGACTCAGCAGCAAAATCAGATTGATGCTTTAGTAGCGCAGAATGCACAACAGACGGAGCAAAGTGCGTTCGCTTGATCTATCGGCGATACAGTGCTTACATACATCACAGTCGCATATCTCATCTCCCACTTTTCCCAATCTCAACAAACCATTGAAGCGCTCCAGTTCGACATGGCTGTAGAGCAGGGTAAGTTTGCGGATATGGAGAGTAGGCTCGAGGCGATGGTAGAGGATGCGGATGATGTGAGGGACGCCAGTTTGCTTATTGTATGTACCGCTAACGACAAGGGATTCTGGAGGCTGACTGTGATTTCTAGGATACCGCTCCTGAGGTGGACGACATGACTGTTGACGAGCCCGATACATTTCACAAACGTAAAGCTGAAGAGGAGGATGATGAGAGTGAGTCTGTTCGCTCTGCTCTTGACGCCTTTAGGCTGACCTTTTACAGTTCCGTCGAAACGAGTATCGCTATAGATTCACTGTTCTCTCTATTACGAAATCTCTACGACGTGTCATGTATGTATACTCGTATAATGCTCGCCCTTTCATGATCTCCTTGATGTGTCTCAACTTGCAAATTGCCTAGCCAGAGGCAACTGTCGCAACCCCCATCCTATGTCATCTGTGAAATACTCACATTCGTCATAGGAGACTACCATGTAGCTCAAACGATACGCGTCAGACGTCAAAGGATACACCACAGCCGAGTAAGTCGAGCCACCCATGAAAGGATAGTTGACTGACTCGACAGGCATAAAACCACCCCGACTGGCGCAATCAAAGATTCAATCCCAACACTCTCCAACTCATCCAATCTTCCCCTTTACCATAACTATCACGACATATCCTCCCTCATTCACCCATCCAAACTTTCACCACCGCACATCTCCCCAACAACATCCATTATGGCTGCCGCTTGCGTCGCTTCCCCTTCCAAACACTCCCATCCTGCTCACTACACCTACCTCTCCCCTGTTGACCTCGCCCCTACCACTTTCGCCTCCACTCCCAACCTCCCCGCCCGCCGCACCTCCAAAACCGCCCAAGACCTTCCCAACCCCACCCCTTCCTACGCCGCCCTCCGCTCCATGCACGCCTATGCCCTCAAGTATGTCATGGCCCGACTCCGATGGGACCAAAGCAACAACATGTACCTCCCCGGCCAGGATGGTGTCTGGAACCATGACCAAGTGATCCACGAGCTCGAAGATGAGTTGAAGAACGTCGAGGACGCGCAGGAAACGCTGGATCAATGGCCGGAGGTCTTTGCTCCCGTTTGGTTCCCGGAACCGCATGGTCCAAAGACCAAAGAGCAAGATGCAGAGATCAAGAAGCTGGAGGAGAGGAAGGAAGCGATCATCGACGCCAAATTGCATGAGGCTTTCCCCTGGATCAAGCAGATCTTCATCGGCCCCAAAACCAAGAAGCAAGCCGCCAACGACAAGCTCCTCCGTGAACAAATGCGTAACGGCTTCTTTGACAACATGACGTTCCTCTTGCCAAGTGAGAACAAGAGGATGGCTCTGGAGCATAATCAGAAGAAGGCGGCTGCGCCAAGGAAGAACTACGAGCAAAGGAGGATGGAAAAGGAGAGGGCCAAGGTTGCTGCATACCTCGAAGCTCACCCTCAGGCTCCTCGTCAAGTCGCCGGCACCGCCACATCTACTCCCGCTCCCACCTCCGCCAAACCCATCGGTCCTCTCACCAAGGACCAAGCCCTCGCCGCCCTGCCCAAGCAAGGCCCTGCTAGCAAAGATCAAGTGCTGCACGAAGTCCAAAGACGACAGAGGCAGATGATTTTGGGCTGGCTCCATAAGCCTTGGAACAAGTACGACGAGGAAGCTTCGGGGCTGATTGAAAAGCTCGCTTTAATGGCACGGGACAGGCTCGGCGAGCAAAAGAAGGCGGCGGAGAGGGATGGCGAGAAGGCTGGGGAGAGGGCTAGTGATGAGAAGGCGGCGGAGACAAAGAAGGAGGCTGCTGAAGAAGTCAACAAGGAGGTCAAGGTCGAAGCAAAGTAAGCCTCAGAGTGTAGGATATGTAAAATACAATGCAGGGCATCATATTACATCATAGGGCTATCTCCATCCATATGGGCCACAAAAGACAAGGATCACTCACAAAACCAGCAAGATTACTATTCATGATGTACATGGCCAAGGGAGACCTCTTAGCCCTTTCTCCGTGATAGTACTGCTTTTACACCCTGAATATCGAAGCACATTTGACCGAGTGGTTAAGGTGTGTGACTCAAGCTTCTTGCTTCCCTGATTCCAGGGTTTTCACATGGTCTCCGTACCGCGCAGGTTCGAATCCTGCAGTGTGCATTTCTTCTTTTTGCCTTTTTGCCATCACTTTGCTTTTTGGGCATAAAGTGCATGGTGTAAAGAAGAGTCGGGAAAAGAAGTGATCGTGTATGCATCATGGAACTGCTGAGAAGGGTCTGATCTCATAAATTACCATTCTCAAGCATGAGCGAAAGAAGCAATGCGGTTGAGAAGGTTTCGGACCAGGCTACTTCTTGCATATTCCGATTTCTATATACAAACACAAGCACTTTTGAAAACAAAGCTATCAGAAAGAGAAACAGAGAGCACTATTCCTGTAAACAGGCTTAAACATAGATCTTCTGCAACCTCTCAATCTCAATCTGACTCTCCTTCTCACCACCCTGGAAGAGCACGAGCGCATCCCTCAACCTCGTCTTGGTCACCTCATCCTCTTCATTGAGCTTGTCCAGCACACCGTCCGCCAAATAGTCAACGTCGGTACTAGCAATCTTCCAGTCCTGCTGCATCAATCCACTCAACGGGTCCGCTTTGGCCATCTCGGCCATCCTTGCCTTGCTCGCGACAGGCTCGGGCGGGGTCCAGTCAGCCCACTGGGTGTTGGGGGTGTCGGCGGAGAGGCGGACTTGCCATTCGGCGCCTTTGGCGTAGACGGGGAGACGGGTGGTCGAGAGGAGGTCAGCCATGCAGCCCGAGAGGATGGTGGCGTGGTCAGCGCCGAGTTCGACCATTGCCATGGCTTCCCTTGCCGTGATGAAGCTGCAATGCACGTTAGCCTAATGTTGGGATGCAGGGAAGGACGACGTACGAAGCGGATTTGATCAGAGGCTGGACTTTACCAGTCTCCTTCTCGAGGCGGTCGTAGGTGTCGCGGATGTGGCGCATACGGAATGACATTGGGTGCTGGGTCGCAGGGTCGGCGACGTCGGGCCAGAGCTCGTTCTCCACATGAGCACGGACCTCTGTACATGTCATCAGTATTATTAGGCAGATATGGGGGGGAAGGGAACATACCATTGTAGTAAGGCGAGATGGAGAGCATGCCAGCTTGAGAGGATGCAATAGCCTGGGCGAGGGAGAAGAGAGAGGTACCAAGCGTACGGATGCCTTCGTCGTTAAGAACCTTGGCGGCTTGGACACCGGCGGTAGTGGCGGGCACCTTGATGCAGAATCGGTCACTGTCACCAAGTCAGCACATTCCCACAGAATATAGGTGGAGGGGAAGCGTACCGGGAGATACCTTCGGCCTGGTAAGCCTTGTCATAAGCGCGAGCGTGGTCGATGATGGCTTGCTTGTTGAAGCCCTGGCTAGGAGTGGTCTGCGCAAGGACACGACCTTGGATGTGGGGGAAGACCCTCTTGGCAAACCTCGCGGTCTAATTCCATCAGCTCTCGACACATATGTAGGAGAGGCAGACTTACCAAGACGGTGTGAACGTCAAACCAGCTCTTGCCCTTGAGCTCCCTGATGGTCTTTTCGACAAGGGCCTTGTTGTCAGGGTTGATGAGCTGCTCCTGGACGAGCAGCTGGTTGGAGGTCATGTCGTGGGCCTTGAAGGGGAGGTTCGCGGCGATAGCGGGGTCCATGGAGTCGGTGTCGACCTTGACACCGGCGGCTTCGAGTTGCTCGAGAAGGGTGGGCTCGGGGCGGGAGATCATTGTGAATGTTTGCTGTTGTGTGGTGGGTGAGGTGTGAGTTGAGAGTGGGATGAGAAGTCCAGAGCTGGAGAGGTGGGTTCTTATATATGTCTCGTGTGCCACGCTCTTTCACCGAGAAAACTACGAGCGTGTCCATGTACCCACGACGATGCCTGAAGTATTGTGCGAGAGTCCTCCGAGCACCCGATTAACAGCCTCTCCACCCGAATTCCAGAACGCCCTCCACGGCGTGCGTGTGCTACCTGGAGTAAAGACGGCCATTTGCTATCCAAGGGCAGCTGACGATAGAGCTGCGATGGTGATCACGGTGAGCGGCGGAACCAAACGTGATCTCCTCCAGCATTTCGCCGAGTAAACGCCTCTGTCAACGTCTCTGCGATGACCACGACTGCCCGCCATTTCGCCGGATTGAGAGTCGGAATTCAGGAATGCGTCGATTGGATGCGGGCCGAGAGTCGAGTCCAAGTGGTGAAAGTGGCCAAGTGTTCCAAGTGACAAGTGAACTGTGAAACGCTGCAGGAAAGGCTTGATTGCTGCGCGGCAGGCGGGGTCCCATTGTGCTCATTCGTCGTAGTGTACCCAGGGCATCTATTATACACCCCCTGGTCTTCCCTTGTCCTCCATACACCTTGGCGTGAACAAGACAACAAGAGACCCGGGTGTGTCTTTCTGGCGGACGAACCAAACACGTGACCGGTCCGCTGTTTGCCGGAATCCTTTCGTTCCTGCGGAATGACGTTATTATGGGGCCCAAATGCGGGGCTTGCGGGGCAGCATGTTTGCGTGCCTGCTTGTTTGTCTCTTTCTTTGTCCAGAGTCTGCTGAGTGCAGTCACGGGGCATCTCATTTATGCTTGCCCGCCTTTTCACCGCATATCTATTTGGTTCATCCAATCCCGATATGCTGCTAGTCCGACTCCGGGCTCACTCCCGATCGCAGTCATATATAAGCATGCTCTCTGGACTGGGACGCCCCTCACTCATCCTACTCACCACTTCTACCCATCCACCATGTCTATCATCCCACCAGACTCCCCCGGGAGCAATCACTCCTTCCCCGGAGGCAGCTCCCTCAAGCCAGAGAAGCACGACATTGACCACCTGGAAGACGTCGATGTCGAGGCTAGCAGAGACCAGGACCTCCGCTCGAGGAACCGCAATGTCAGCGCCAAGTAAGTCTCTACATATCTCCTCTTGGCCTGTAGCTAACAAATGGCTAGGATTCAGAACCCGCTAGCGGGTTTGTCTAAGGGCAAGCTCCTCGATTTGGCGGACCAATTTACCCGGGAACACGACTTTGAGGAGAAGCAAGATCTCTTCCGCCGAGCAGCGCTTGTATCCCAGAACCCGAACGAGTTTGAGCTCATTCCGGAGCTTACGGAGGACGATCGATACTGGCTACGTCGTGAAATCACGAGTAAGTTCCTAACTCTAGCTTGTTGGGGGGGCTGTGCTGACTCGGTGTCTAGACAAGTGGGACCAGACACGAGCCTTGTACTTTCTCGTCATCGTCTGTAGTATCGGTAGTGCTATCCAAGGCTGGGACAAGTGAGCTCCCTTCCACTTTGCTAGTCGCCACCGCTGACTCTGTCCTAGCACGGGTGCCAACGGAGCCAACCTCAGTTTCGTAGGCCCGTTCTACATCCCAACTCCCCAGCTGACCTTGAGACTAGCCCGCCGAATTCGGTATAGTTGACAACACCTGGCTCGTCGGCATGATCAACGCCGCCCCCGCCATCACGGTCGGATCTGTCAGCGCCATGCTCACCGACCCTATCAACCACTACATTGGTCGCCGTGGAACTATCTTTGTCACCGGTCTCTTCTGTGTCTTCCCTGTACTCGGGTGAGTTCTTCATTCGTCCATGAGAAAAATAAGCTGATGAGAGAGTGCAGGCAAGCCTTTGCCAAGAACTGGTGGGAGCTGTTCATCTGCCGGGTATTGATTGGTGTGGGAATGGGTATGAAGATCACTACTATTCCTATCATGACTGCCGAAACGTACGTTCCCATTCTTCCCTCTCCCCTCCTTGACCTTCGAACGGTGCTGATCAGGTTACAGCGCCCCGGCAGCCATCCGTGGTGCATTGGTCATGTCATTCCAGCTCTGGGTCGCATTCGGTATCCTCGCAGGATTTTGTAGCAACTTGATCTTTTACAGGATCGGTAAGAATGCTTGGAGGGTGCAATTGGCTGCTGCTTTTGCCCCTGCTGTACCGCTCCTCTTCTTGAGTAAGTCCCCTCCCGTCTTCCCTTCCTTGCTAGATGCTAATTATCAGCAGTCTGGTTCGCCCCCGAATCCCCTCGCTGGCTCATGAAGAAACAACGCTACCCCAAAGCCTTCAAATCCTTCTGCCGCCTCCGTAAATCCGAAATTCAAGCCGCGCGCGACATGTTTTACGCCCACTGCCAGCTCGAAGAAGAACGCGAGGTGTTCCAGGGGACGACGTACTTCACGAGGCTGGCGGATATCTTTGTGAAGCCGAGGTTGAGGAGGGCGAATTTGGCGAGTTGGGTGGTCATGCTTTCGCAGCAGCTTTGCGGTATCAACATCATGTGTGAGTTTAGGGCATGTCTTGATTGGGACGGTAGTTGATGCTTGGCGTAGCGTTCTACTCTTCGACGATCTTTTCGGAGGCAGGGTATAATACCAGGCAATGTCTCTTGGCCAGTTTCGGCTTCGGTCTCGTACGTCGCCTCTGCTCCCCGCCTTACCCCACTGACACTTTCCCGCCAGGTAAACACAATCTTCGCCCTCCCTGCCATCTGGACCATCGACACATTCGGCCGCCGTAATCTCCTCCTCACCACTTTCCCTTGCATGGCCCTCATGCTCTTCTGGGCCGGGTCCATGTTCTTCCTCCACGAATCCAACTCTGCCCGTGTCCCCGTGCTGGCACTCGCCATATATCTCTTTACCGCATTCTACTCCCCCGGCATGGGTCCGGTACCTTTCGTCTACGCCGCTGAAGCTTATCCTTTGACTCATCGAGAGTCCGGGATGAGTTGGGCGGTGCAGCAGAATAACATGTGGTCTGCGGTATTGGGGCTGACGTTCCCGACGATGTTGGCAAAGTTCAAGCCTTGGGGTGCGTTCTACTTCTACGGAGGCACGAATCTGTTGGCGTGGACGCTGGTGTTCTTCTTCACACCTGAGACTGCGTAAGTCCCCTCTTTCCCCGTTTTGGACAAGAAGCTGACAGAGGGATGTAGTCAACGAACACTAGAAGAACTCGACTATGTCTTCGCCGTGCCCGTACCCGTATTTGCCAAGTACCAAGCTACCACCTTCCTCCCGTGGTTCATCAAGCGCTACGTTCTCTGGCAAAAGTCGGCGCACTTGGAGCCGCTATACAAGTTGGAAGGGGTCGCGTCTGAGAGGACCGAGGTGGAGAGGTTCCATTAGTCTTTTCCTTGCTCGAAGCCTTTGGGTCGGCTTCTCGTTTTCGCCTGCGGATCGGGCCATGATTGCAATGAGGGATCTGGGTTCAGGAATATATATAGCGTCTGTAGTCTTTAATTCTGAAATCTTGTCTGTAGTATATCTATTCCCCCTCGGGTATCGTGTAGCGATTCTCTTGTTTGTAGTCGTCATGGCATGTTGTTGTTTACACACTTAACTTCAATGCCTCATCTCTACCCCGATCGAAAGAAGATCAGAGAAGTTGTTACAATGCTTCGTTGTATGTTCATGTTTCTTTCCTTTTTTTTTCCGTCATCTGGCCAGAATCTATTTCTATCTCTATCGTTGGCGGTCTATGTCCCACGTTTGGGAAGTCCAGGATCAAACAAGAGTGACAGGAGAAAAGAACAATGTCGTCGAAAGTAGAGTACAGATCCCAAAAGCAATGGGCCCAAGAGGAGGCAAAAGAAAGGAGAGAAGAAAGCTAAGCTGTGATGGAGTCGAGTTTGGTGTCTTCGAGGCTGAGGAGGACGGTGGTTTCAGGCATAGACATTTGGTCGAGGATAGTCTGGATGGACTGTCAGCTTGGTAGATGGAGAAAAGAAGGAGGCGAACTGACCTGGGCGTTTCCAATCATCTTGGAGATGATAAAGCTCGAATAGACTGTATTCGAAGCATCTACAAAAGAAGCGTCAGCTCTGCAGTCGATGAATCCATAAAAAGCACTCACGGTCAGAAGAAAAGAAGCTGTGTCTGAAGCCTCGATGCGCTCCAGATCTATTGGGGAAGATAACAGGCATGACAACCAAGCATAAGTGCCGTTTCTTTGGTACACGGCACCTGGAGGGGGGTCTCGTCCGAGGATTCTGGACCCCCCCCCCCCCGACGTGCCGTTCCGTTACAGTTGAGAAATTCATATCGTGTTACTCATGAGGGATGCATGGGCTTAGCCTGACACGCATAAAGAAGTGACTGGCCGTGGCAACGAAGGTTGTGTGCGTGTAGTCGTTGGCGTACGTGTCATGTTTGCTGGCTGTTTCCAAGGATGGCACGCCTGATCAGCAACATTATCAGCCATGGGATGGGCAAGACTCACCCTTCTCCCATGGCTGTCCACCTATCCATTATCCTCTCAGTTTGAATCTCTATGTCTTTTGAACCGCAATTCGACCGCTTTCAGGTACCTGTTTGGATCGAGGACAAGACCTCTTTGGAAGGCCATTTCCTGGATCTTTCGGAAGATGATGTAAGTCGCATGAACATGATTAGCCGCATCTATACGTACTGATCAGCAACGCTCAAATACCACAAGATGTGAAACTCACAATCGATCTTCTCTTCAGTCACAGGCCCTCCCCAAAAGTCTTCCATCCTCGTCGACGGATCCTTCGTCAACGCCTTCCCGATATACACCTGACACATCGCCGATACCGTCATCCGAATACCTTCCAGCCACGTCTTGTTATGCGGATGGATATCTTGCGCCATTCCGGCGAGATCAAGCAGCTTCTGAGGGCGGCTAGTGGGTGTAAAGCGATGAGGAAAGTCGCGGTGGATCTTCATGCACGTCTTGAGGATGTTTCCGCCGACTTTGAAGATGCTGGGAGTGGTGAGGAGGCGGACGATACCATCGGGAATATCTAACAGCGCTTTATGAGCGGATATACCAAGGCGGACGCTTGAACGCTCACCATCATTAGGCCCTATTGGCACCAGCAAGATCAAGTTCTTGCCGCCAATAGCAACCATCGTCGTCCGTCCCTGCTTATACCAGCCCTGATTTGGCCCTTGTACCGCTCCCCTTTCCCTCTCCTTGACGAGCTCCGACGGATACTTGATATCCACCGCCAACACATTCCCGCCAAACGTCCGCAAAAGATCGTCAATCTCAATAGAGTCGGACGTGCAGACGAGCTTCGGTTTGGTGTGGGTACTGCCTTGGGGATTGAGTTTGTAGTCGAAGGTGGGGACTCGTGGTGGACGGAGTACATTGCTGGAAGGCTTTTTCATGGACCGATTCATGTGGATAGCTGGAGGCTTCTGGGAGGGTGGTGGAGGGTCGCTCCGCGTGGTGAGGTATCGAGAACTAATGAAGGATCAGACCTGGATACAAAGACAATACAAGACTTACCCGAAAGTGACATGAGATGAGCGACGACCGAGAGGATGGCGCGATGACTCTCCAGCGCATCTGGCGAGGCCACGGAGATGGCAGAAGGGGAAAGCCATGTCGATGAAACGAAGAGGAAGAGCCAAGGGGGCAGGTGTGATCGCTGTCGGCACTATCGAATGATGGTTCAACAGTGTTATGAGTATACACACCTAGGTATCGATTGATGATATTTGTTGAAGAGACAGCCACACAATAAAAAGCGGAGGGCAGCTTGAGACGAGATGTGGAGGGCACAATCGTCGAATGCCGGCCGCCGAAGAGAACCACTTCTGAAAGATTCAACCCTGTTTTCACATGCAACAAAAGCGAGAGAGTCTATTTCAGATGCCCACGATCAACCTTGCCTTCACAGAACATGCACCCAGTCTAAAAAGGGCACCAAACAACAGCCACACAAAAGACAGAGGTCTGAGTCAATCCGGCCCATACTCTTCGTATCGTCGACATGCTATGTCCAACCGTTTGTACAGACGAGCATGGAATAGGGCTAGACATTCAGGATGTACTGTAGTAGTGGCATGCAAAAGAATAAAAACAGAAACAAAAACAAAAGAATGCAGTGTGGGGGATTTGAACCCTCGCTGGTGAAAACCAATCGGATAAAAGCTAGCTAACTTAAGGCCGACACCTTAACCCCTCGGTCAACACTGCAGCTTAAATTTTGCCACCGTCTCCAAACAATATGAGGTTACTAGGTTACTTGAACCCGTCTGTTGACCAAATGTCGTGTCGCAATCGCTATCGTTTCTGGTTTGACAACTATCATTCAACCACTAGACTGTCACAATCCTAGCTTTAGGCGCAGCTCACTATGGCAAGTTCATCTCCCATTCATACTCCTCCTCGGCCGGCTGACATATCACCTCACAGGCCAACGCTTCTTCAAAACGTATCGCGTCAGGTAACGAGTCCGCGCTCCGAAACCTCCAAAATGGTCTCTTGCTCGTGAACGTGAGCTCCACCTTCTATTCTAAGGCCTAGTCCACAAAAAGTTCCATTACTAATTCTATGTCAATAGGGATTCGCCTGGGTACTCCGATTCCTCCTCTCCCTGATCACCTCCCGCTCCTTGTTCCCCCGTATCTTCCCTCTCATCCTCTATATCCTGTCTACGACGGCTACAGTCTTCATTTGGCGGTGGTTCGTCACTATCGGCTCGCCGAAGAGGGGTGCGAATGGTAGGGGAGATGTTAGGGTGGGTGATGATCTTGCAGGGAAGGGGGTCGTAGAGTTGGCCTGGGATTGGTGAGTTTTGCTTCAAACGTTGTGGTAGCTCAACATTGGGCCATTATCATGAGGACTGTGTTAAGGTCTGAGCTGATGGAGAACAGGGTTTATATGACTTGGATCTGTACTATTGGGAGTGCGCTGTTTGGTGACCGAGTTTGGTGGCTTTTGGCTCTTGTAAGTCTAAACAGAGGAGTCCTGTACAAAAGCTGACCTAGCGATAGGTCCCCGCATTCGGCGCTTACAAGCTGTTTAACACCATCCGCCCCTTCCTCGCCATGTTCCTCCCCTCCCTCTTCGGCCCCAAATCCCCTCGCGCTGCCCAAGAAGCGGCACAAGAGCCCGAAGAGAAGGAGTCTCGAAAGCAGGCCAAGCTGCGAGCCAGGATGGAGAAGGGAGATAAGAGGGTCCAGCAGGTACAGAGACGGTAATCATTTTTGGGTTCTAAGATGCATATGCGAATTACTCGGCGTCCCTCTTCTCCCATTCCTGCGCGTACTCGCCCACCGTCTTGCCCTTCGCCTCAATATATTCCAGTACACCATCTAATCCCGGCTCGGCCCTGTTCATCCCTGACCCTCCCCTCTCCCAAGTACCGTAAATGGCCTCCTTAACTCTCATCTGCCTCTCTGATAATGCTCTGTCCGAAGACTTGACGCCGTCCGTCTCTGACACCAGTCCCTGCGCCGAGGGCAATCTCTTGAACGCCTTTTGCGTGCCAGTATACACGCCAGCCTTGCACGAGTCCAGCACAGTACCCTTCTCTACCAAGTTCTCCATCCCTCCCGGTGGGTGGAGGGCCTGCGTCGCATGGACGGATCTACGGAACTCCTCGTAGGTTTCGAACGCAGGGGGTTTGGTATGCCTGAAGGCGTTCTCGAAGCCTACTGGAAGCTCTGTGGGGGAGTGGAGGAAGCCTGCTGAGGAGTGGTGGAGGGACACCAGCGAGCGGAGGGTGGACGCTGAGAGGGCACGGCCGGTAGATTTTTTGGGTGGGGCATAGGAGGTAGAGGAGGAGGGGCGGGAGAGGTTGGGGGTGCGGGAAAGCGCTTTTGATAGTGTTGTGCGGTTCATGGTGGTGATTTTGTTGTAGCTGAACTTTTGTGCAAATCATGAAAGAGAAGAGTGGGCGCGGCGTATCACTCGTGGAAAAATGCCACATCACCAGCAAAAGTTCATCCTCTCTTTCATCGTGATTGTTTTGATCCTTCGACTATACAAAACTTGCTCATTCTCAGCTCTGGGTCAGCCACAACAAGTCTTATCAACGCGCCAAGATGGACAAGGTTCAATTTCAGCTCGAATCTACCCTCCCGGAGCTCAAGGACCTCCACGAGAAAGGTCTCTTCACCAAGGTTTGTATAGCCCCTCGCTAGATTGACCCCAGCTCACGATTGCTGTAGAACGAGATCAACGAGATCACTAGAAGAAGGACAGCATTTGAAAGTGCCCTCATCAGGAGAATTCAGAGAAAGGAAGATTTCTTCAGATATGCCCAGTACGAGATCAATCTTGAACGGTTGCGCCGTGTCCGATGGCGAAAGTTGCGCTACCACATCAACCCCCCTCCTCCCTCCGCTTCCACCTACTCTATCCAAAGAAGAACACTCTACATTCTCAAGCGGGCTACGAGCAAGTTCCCCCAAGACCTGTCTGTCTGGTTGACATATATCCAATATGCGAGTCGGGAAGGTATGAGGAAGGTTGTTGGACAAGGCATTGTCAAGTAAGTCTCCTATTCTCATGTCTGTGCAGAGACTCATAGCTTGTTAGGGCAATGCAATTCCACCCCACATCTTCAACCCTCTATCTTCTCCAAGCATACTACCACCTCCACCCGGCTTCTCCTTTCCCCGACTCCATCCTCCCCTCTTCCTCCAAATCACCCCTTTCACTCGAAGAACAGGATCCCGACGACGTCCCCATCTTTGCCATTGAAGGCATCTCCCCCGCGCGAACAGCGCTCCTCATGGGCCTGCGTCTCGTCCCGGCGTCACCAGAAATATGGACCGAGTACGTTAAGATCGAGTTGGGTTGGGTGGAAGCTTTGAGGAGGAGATGGAAGGTGCTCGGTATCAACGATATCAACAGCAAGGGAAAGCAGGTGGAAGAACCAGAGTTTGAGGGCGACATTGACGCCCTCCGAGGTGGTGAAGGAGCGTTCGGAGAGGAAGGAGAGGAAGCGAGGAAGCAAATCCTTTCGGGACAATTGGTCATCCACGCTCTTACCTCGGCACTGAAAGCGATCAAGCCTGAAGCTGTCATTGAAGGAAAGAAGGTCGGGGGTATGTGGTATCGCCAGACTCTGCTGGATCTCTTCAGAGGATACCCCAGTCCTCTGAGAGCCAAGTGTCTGGGGGTGGTATACAATGAGCTGGAGGAGATTGCTACTTCCGTGTCGGAGGCGGCTTCTCAAGCTCGTTTGTTGTCCATCTCCAGGAGACTCTTTGAAAAGCCATACGCGGAAGGGGAAGAGCCTGTCAAGGAAGGCGAGTATGTCCTCTCCGGCGTCGAGCTCGTAGAAGAGTTTGGCAAGATTGGAAAGAATATTCGCAAATCTGCGAAAGGCGCTCAGAGTCAACAGTGGATAGAAGTCGCTGGAGAGTGGCTGATTGGGCGTATTGAGAAGCATGGAGATTACCCTGAACTTGTACGTCTTCGCCTCGCATCTTGGAACAGCACTGACAAGGCTACAGAGAGACTATCTCCTCTCACTCGCTGGCAGCCTCACAAAATCGTCTCTCCACCCTCCAGCTTCATACCTCATCGCCCATCTCCATCTTCTCTCCTCCCTCTCCTCCCCCGAACTCCTCCCCACCGCCCGCGCCCACTCCGCTCAATATCCCGCGAACGCCACCATTCAGTCCGTCCGTCTTTCTTCCGAGCTTTCCTCTGCCTCTGCCGACAACAATGATGAGACAAGAAAGATGTGCGAAACTGTCGCGCGTTCTGTGATCCTGAGCGAAGACAAGGAGGGTGTGTTGGCTATCTGGAAAACGTGGGCGAGCTGGGAGAACGACGTTTCGTCTCCCGAGCAGCTCGAAAAGAGGTGGGAGTACATCTTGAAGCTGTCTTTGAAGATTGGCTCGACAGTCGTGGGATTGCATGACCAGCTATTGCCGGCATACATCCTCTCGCTTTACGAGAACACTAGCCAGGGGCTCGATGTCATCTCCAAGAGCGTTTTGGGGAGGTACAGGCCTTCCCCGATGATCTTTGCCCAGGTCTTTGAAGCCCTCAAGTCGAGTGAAAGATCTCCCTCTCCTCAAGAGATGCAGGGATTCTTCCAGAGCTGGAAAGCCCTCACCCGCTCTCCCACCGACCTCTTTGAAGTTTCCGCGGCCCACTTGACGTATCTCGTTGAGACGGGTAAAGGGGCGGAAGGGTACAAACTGTATCAGACAGCGAGGAGAGAAGTTGGGGAGGGGTTGGAGGGACAGTTGGAAAGTGTTTGGGTAGGTATTTTGGAGAAGGCCAAAGAGGAAGAGGAGGGTTCTAGTGGAAGCGGGAGTGAAAGTGAGAGCGGAGATGAGGATGAGGAGATGAGCGAGGCGTAGACTTATGTCTTTATGGAAACATTTTAGCACGGACACACAAAACAGCTCTTAATTTGAACTCAAGAAGTACAGCCAAAGGCGTAGGTGTGCAAGCTGAAATACTGTATGCTATCAGTGACAACGATGTTGCCTTATCAGCTCGCTTTTGCCACGTTCATCTATCAACAGCGTCATCCTGAGCCTTGCCATTGTTTGACGAAAGGTGTCCGCATTCGGAATCCTTCCTTCCATATCCCCATCAGATTATGGCCGAGGTCTACCCAAATAGTGAATACAGCTCAACGCCATATGCATGCAATTGTCGACAGGCGAACCTAATCATAAGACCCTCACTGAACTCGTAAGAGACCCTCGACCCTTCGGATCATCGTGTGTCTTATGTTGTGCCTCACGTTACCATATGAGAATGCGCGATCATGACATCAATGCCGCGCATTGTCTCTGGTGAATCTTGAGCGAATGTCAGGAAGCTGAACTCGTCGTCCGCTGAAGGTCTTGTGGCGTTCTTTCGAAAGGGGAAGTGACTTGCAACCGTTGTGTTTGGTGGGTGCTCGATACCGGATCTATCGGTACGCACGAGGGTGATATCACCTGGGAACCTGGGCATGTACGGTGCTGACTTGACTTCTTCGTCGAAAGGAAAGCTTCTACTGTCTGGCTCGACCAACATTTCACTTACTGACCTACCGTTCATGGAGGTCTCGTAAGCCACGTGATCAAACATACTTTTAAAAGACGCCAGGTCTGCGACGATCTTCATATGCTCTTTTGTGACATAGACGTCCCCCAAATACATCAGTGACTCATCCACCTTATACTCTGTCGATAGAGGATGGAAGCAAGTCACTTCGGTTTCGATAGGTACTGCTTCGGAGGGGCAGCGTACACCGGTCATGACGAGACTTCTCTCCTCATCAGAGCCTCGTTGCATGTCGTATGTCGCTGCAGGATGCTCCACCGGGATCTCGAACTCGATAATCGTTATCGGATGAACTTCATATAACTCTGGCATTACATCTTCATTGAGGGTTGCGTAGGAAACCAGCGGGCTTTCCAGTGCGACTGTCATCCGACGGGGGTTATGGTAGGCACTGTTGAGTTTGGGGTAAAGTGGGGTTGGTTCATCTCTTCTTCTACGCTACTCCCGGCACCTTATATACCTTGCGCCCCCTGCTATGGAAAGTACTAGAATACCCCTGTGCTTAGTAAGCACGCCCCTGGTAGTATATACTGGAAGTTTCTACGGTCTTCCCCCTCTTACTAATACAGCTACAAGGACTCCTATATACAAGAATGTTCTAGAACTAGGAAGTGTCGGTCATCACCGAATAACAGGCACGAGCTCCGGTGAGCTTTTTGAACAGCGTTCTTTCTCCGCTCGCTATACTGTCTTCGCTTGAGACTCGAGGCTGGAAGCTCCAAGCTCCTGGCTGGTACTGAGAAGTGTCTTGATGTCTCACATGGTCTTGAGTTCCCGGAGGAGACCCTTCGTCGTCTTCTGAGTCATGTCTGACACCGGTGATATCGAGATCTGTTTGAATGGCGAATCTGTGAAAGAGACCGGGGATCATTTCAGATGACAGTCGTTCATCGAGACCTTCTCTTGCACTGACTGTTTGTTCCGTCATTATCGTATTCTGTGGTTAATGTGCAGGTTCTTGCGTTCTCGCAAATGTCTCCTGTCCTCGAGTTCCTCTGTGAAACTATCTTTGGAGAAGCGCAAGAGTGTTATGCAAGAATGGTGTGCGATACGCATTCTGTACGGAATTTTCTTGTACACTCGATCCAGGAAAAGTTCAAAACCTTTCATTAGACCTGAATGTAAGGCCAATCAACGCAAAGACGGACCGCAGTACTTGTCTCACTGTCCGACGCAAGTCCGACGCGTCTGAACCGGTGCGAGACAGAAGCGTGTGTATGCGCCCACCGACACGATACTCCGTTCGACTTACAAAGGAAGGTGAGCTTTGATATTGAATGCCCGCCGTCAGCACCCCCTGATAGTGACTTGCAGTAGCAATAAATACCAATCCGGCCCTTTCCGATCCATTTTGATCTACTACAAGCATTATTATAACTCATCATGTCGGTCACAAACTTGCAAACTGTCTTCATCACAGAAACAAATAATCAGGCGGCCGACAATGACAGCATCACGGCAATGTCATTCGACGCGCTAATTCATAATCTTACCGCAAGCCCCTGTCCCCCTTTCACTTGCAATTCCCTTCGTGTGGGTGAAGGCGTCGGATGGCACATGATGATGGAAGACAGCAATGACGGAGAAGAGGATGAGGAAGAAGACTGGGCTTGTGTCTCTAGGATCAACTTCCCAGAGTGTGGTCACACTGCTATGGTTGACAGAGATCTCACAGGCTGTATCTTGAGCTGGTGCTTGTCGGAGCACAGTGACGCATTCGAGGCCAGCAATGGAGCCTCTGTCAGGCAGCTGAAAGAGCTGGGTTATGGGCAAGAGTGGAAGACGTCTCTGGGCAGGGTGACGAGCGCGAATGTGGAGATGGGCGAGATGAGTGATAGCGGCAACTTCTTCAATTCGTTCTTAGGCGACCCTGAGCTTGTAGTGAATAGCAGTATGTCAGAGGAAGAGGTACATTCACTGGTAGAAAGATTCGAAGAGACGTGCGGGTCTCAGACCTCAAAAAGGTCGAGCTAATAATATAGTAGCTGGGTCGATGTTGTGTTGACATGATGTATAGGTGCGTCATAATGAGTCAAGCATGCACCCAACTCGTCAATGCAAGAAGTGTAATGCATCCAAAATGAACCAATAGTACACACAACAATGTGATCATATTCAGATCTGTCAGGCCAGCCCCCTCTCTCTCTTGTCCCGGAAGAAGGCTGCAACACCCTTCATAACCCCTCCAAAAGTCTGCTCTACTTTGACATCCTCTCCTATCCATTTCGGTAACTTGTTCCGGATGCGTGGGGTGGCGTAGCGTTTGTCGAAGAGGAGAATAGTGGCATAGTCGTTGGCATGTCTGATAGCTCGACCTGCGTTGTTGACGTCAGCGAGTAGTGCAGAGTGGGAGCACGATAAAACGATTCACCGATCGATTGGTTGACGGCTCTCATACACAAATTCTCATACAACTCTCTCCCCCCGCCGCCGCCCCTGGCCGCCCCTGGTATGTTTTCCACATACTTCATCCTCTCCTGCAGCTCCACACTCCCGACATTGGCAAACGGCAATCCGACCATGATGACACACCGCCCAAGACCGTCGGAAAAGTTGATACCTTCGGAGAGTTTGCCGCCTACGACGGCAAAGAGTAGCGCGCCGGTTCTGCGTGACTTTTCACCGGAGGAAGATGGTGCGCGGGCCTTTATGTGGATTAGCAAGATACAATCGGAATGATCATCGACAACGTACTGAAGATATAGCAAGCGAGTAGTCACGTAGGATAGTCTCGACATCGCCAGACGTCTGCGGCTCATAGAATAGCTGATGATCGGTTCAGCCTTGTCCTTTTTCCGAACATGCCAGACGTACCTGCTTCTTCACCTCCAGCTTTTCCAACAATCCAGTCTTCGTCCATAACGTCTTGACCTTGTCCAAAAACGCATAAGAAGGGACAAAGACGACAACTCCGTCGGGGACCATATTAACCACCGATAAGATCGACGCTCCCAAGTCCGCAAACTGTCCCTGAAGGTAAGCTTCTGATCCACCCCTGAAGTGAAATGAGAATACATACCAGATTGTCATCGTTCCGGTTGCCAAATTTGAATTCAAATTCTGTCTTCTTGGGGCCAGAACAGACGACCTGAGTCAAGAGATTCTGTTTTGGGATAACGTGCGCGCAGGAAAGTGTCGAGAACCTATCCCTGGGGATGGTAGGAAAGAGCTGGTTCATGAAATCTGACACCTTTTGGACCGTCAATTTCCTTGCCCCCTCATACCCAAGAGAAGAGAGGACATACAGGTTCCATAGTACCTCCAGCCAGAACGACACTCCTAGCCTCCTCCACTACTTCCCGGAACCGCTCTGATGGGTTCAACAAGACATACTTGATGGTCACCACCGGCGCTGGTTTGGTGGCGTCTTCGAGGGAAAGGATGACTCGTCCATCGTCTTTGGCGTCAGAGAGGGAGAGGAGGAATGATTCGACGGTGTGGAAGGAGGATATGGAGGCGTGGCGAGCTGCAGCGTTTCGAGACGTTTTCGATTCTATTCGCTTTCAATTAGCTCTTTGCACGATGATTCTCATACGATATGAGATCGCACCTTTCAAAGCAGCCTTCTCTGCAACATGCTCCGAGAACCCACTGATCTTCCTCGCAAGCTTGCTCTCTTTCAGATACTTGACGAGCTCCAAAGGATTCACCTGATCACTTCCACCCCCGACCCTATCCATCAACTCGTTCGCCCCCAATACCTCCGTCTTTGGTTTCCCAAAAGCCGGTTTCCCACCCTCGACCTTTGCTGTACCCTTTGCGTCGGCGATGAATCTGTCGCATACTTTGACGAGACCTTGGAGGACTGTCAAGACTTGTTGGATCCAGAGAGCGTGGACGGATTTGAGTCGGGATTTGAAGCGGGCGAGGTATTGCTCGAGTTGAGAGATGGCGGTAGTCAAATGAGATGAGGTGAGGGATGTGGAGTAGATACTCAACAGGGTGTCTATGAGATCTAATTTCTGTCAGTCTCTGGTCAGAAGATACAGGTAGGTCTTACTGTGGGCCTCGTCAATGACGATGACTTGGTCTTTCAAGTTGATCCCGAGGGCTTCTCGAGCGTTCTTCTGTAGTAGCAGATTGTACGGGAGCGTTACAATCTTTTATACAATCAGCGCTGAGTATCTTTTGATCACGGTAGACGTACCTGACTGGACCTTACAGCGCGCCGTGTAGCATAGTAAGGACAGACACAGGCTTTCTTGCCAGCAATTACGATATCTTCGATATCTTTGACTGTCGCCTAAAGAGAACGTAAGCGTAGGCCCCATTGCACAATTTGATTGCTTACCAAGATGGAGTCTCGTGCATCGAGGAGCTTCACTTCATCCGCCTTGGCCGGCAGGTACTCACATCTCGCCTTCCCTGCAATCCCATCAATCTCATTGGCGTCCCCGACGATACCAAAAAGAAGACGTACCAGACTTTTGCATATCCAAACAAGCCTCATTCAACCTCTCATCCCCACCGCTCTTCGCCATAGCCCGAACCTTGTCGTTGATACACAGCTGTTTACGACTGCCCAAAGGAACAAGGCTGATATTGATAGAGTCGCTAGAATTGCCCTCGTCGGGGGAGGAAACGGCGGTGCCGTAGGTGGTCTTAAGGAGCTCGGATGTGAGTTGACGCAGCTGGGTATGGGTTCGAGAGGTGTAGTAGATCTACATAGGCGTCAGCACGCTCTTTGTGAGGCTTGAAGTCATGTACCTTGGGGACGTCTTCTTCTTCCTCTTCATCTACGACTTGTTTGCTCTTAACAGGCTCGAATCTTGCCATAGTCAGTATGACCCAGGACCGCAGGAAAGAGAACTCACTTGCTCATAAGCTCCCGTACTTCTTTCGAGAGGTACATCCCATCATCTTCCGGCTCATCCCGCTCTTCAGGCAAAAAATCATCCTCTCCCAGCTCCTTGGTCTCGCTTCCCACTTGCCCATCATACCCCACCCTCACCCTCTTCCCTCCACCTCTAAACGCCCCCATTCCTTCTTTTACCCTCATCTTCCTCTCCCTCTCCCTTACTTTCCCCAACCTTTCCTCCCGAAGCTCCCTCTCTCTGCGTAGCTCGGCCATGCGCGATTTGACCGTATGCTCAATGACCCACGCCGGGTCGTCGGGATCTTCAGCTTGCAGGCGGGCGCGGAGGGACGTTTCAGTATGTGTATCCAAGCGGTGAGTGTGCTGGGTGAGCCAGGTGAGGGTACTGGACAGGAGCGAAAGCGATTTGCCTGTCCCTGTGGGCGATTCGACCTGCCAAAGTGGGTCAGCATGTATTCCCCCTTCGCCATTGACGGCTCACTATAGCGATCTTGCCATCTTCAATAGCCCTAAAGACGGTCCTCATGAAATCGACCTGGATACCGTAAGGTGTCGGGTAGGGGAATGGGAATGTTTCCGGGGTAGGGAGGGCCGGGGCCGGGAGATCTGGTTGTAGTGTCATCTTGGGATCATGGTATGGATCATCAGCTTTGAGGTCGAGGAAAGAATTCATGAACGCGTCGCGTGAAAATCAAAAGCTGAGGGACGCGACAGGGTTCCCACGGTCGTCCATCGCCGGGGCTCTGCTGGAGATTTATCAGTATAGCTGTCTTGTGGTGCTAGGGTATCCGAATCATTTGCAGTCTCGTGCAGTGCATCGATATCTTAGTGTATCCGTTCTGCCCCCCCATAGGATCATGCCGGGCGAAAAGGGTCCACGCATCAAGGGTGCGCCGAGGGACGACCCCTTGATGGTGCCATGCACCGTGCAGGCAGTTCTTCATTTGCAGTCTATGTCTCCTATAGCAGCAGCCATTCAACAGAGTCATCGCAGCCATAGTTTACCTGCCCACGACACAGGAGACAGCCCCTTTACATAGTCTGAAAAGTACGCAACCAAATTGGACGCGCCCTCTTCGCGGCGTCGCCGATGACTCTCTCTTCTCCGTTCTCCCCTCGGATGCTCAAATCGAGGACACCACTGGCCACCCACTCCAGAACCCTACTACACACAACACTCGCCACATTGTCGTCGCCACCCGGCCACAGAGATCTTGGTATTGGAGTTTGGGAAGGACCCACCGTTTTTACATCGTGAGCGGCTCCACTTTGGCCCCGAGCTTACACTTATGATGCGACCAGTAGAAGGCCAGGAAGTGAACCTGAGACACCAATATCAATCAGCAGCCAGTCGTCTGTCAACGACTCGCCGATCACTGTATCATCCTCCTCCCCTTCACCAGCTGTCTATCGCCCCAGAGCAGTACCCAGGTTCAACTCGCCTGCTGCCCGTTCGGCCTTTACACCCCCGCCGCTAAATTCATCCCCAGTCCCCAGAGGTGCTTCCAACCCAGCGAGACGAATCCACCCGTTCTTTCTCCAAAAAAGAGGTGCCGCTCCAACGCCCACAAAACCGCGCTACGTACCCGACTACACAAGTACCGAAGCTGAGAGTGAAAGCAACGCTAGCGCTAGCCAAAGCTCTGTCTATTCCACTGCTTCCAGCCATCGCAGTACTATTCACGATCACAACAATGCCGATCTCGAGGATCTGACTTTTGGCTTGCGCAAGATGAGAGTAGACGCCCCCCCGAAGACGGAGACCACCACAAGGGTGACGAGGTCGCGCCGGGCAAGGAACCCGCTGGAGAAGGCGGGTAGCATGCCGAACCAAAGCAGGGCAATGTCCACTATGCCTCTCAAAGGTCAAACGCCGCCTGCGGAAGCTGGGATAGCTCCACCGCCTCCTGTTCAAACCCTTGTCCCCGTCTTCTCCCTTCCCGCCGACCCAGACCCCTCCCTGCCGCTCTTCACCTACAAAGACTCTTCTACCCCCTTCACCATCAAATACACCAAATCCGCCGTGGAAGCCGATGCCCTTGTCGATACGCTCAAGGGCAATATCATCGGCTTTGACATGGAGTGGCCCATATGGGGCAAGAAGGCATGGGACCCTGTTGAGAGGAGGTATAACCCTCAGCAAGGCAAGACGGCGTTGGTTCAGCTTTGTGATGAAGAGACTGTAATTTTGATCCACCTTCAAAACGGCATGGGTGGGTCCGCACCTTGCGACATGGCGATTAACTGCTGACGACCCAAACTTCAGACCTCCCCTCAAAAGTCGCTGCCCTCGTCCGAGATCCCACCAAGTACAAACTCGGCGTACAATGCAAGGGCGACGGCATGAAGCTCGCCCGAGACTTTCCCCACCATTTCCCAGCCGGCCAAGGCCCCACCTCTCTCTTTGAGCTTTCTTGGATGGCCAAAGCGGTCGACTATGGACGGATTGGGGAGAGGAGAGGGCTGATTGCGCTGGCGACGCTTACCAGGGGTTATCTGGGGAAAGAGTTGGATAAGAACACTAATGTGAGAGCTGGTAATTGGGCTGGGGAGCTGAATGCCAAACAACGAGACTGTATGTTTTCAGCACATCTTTGTATTTGGGCTGACACGGATGATAGACGCCGCAAACGACGTTGTCGCTGCTATCCACATCTACAATACGTTGAAGAATCTCGCTCAAGAGAGGAAAATCAACCTCCACCACGACCTATACTGCTCCAACCTCAACTTCACCCAAGCTCCCGCCCAGTCTCTCGGCCCCACCCAATCCCTCCCCGCCAACGCTTTCACCTCGCAAGCATCTACTTCCGCTTCGATGCAGTCAGGGCCAAAGACGATCTCTATGAAACCTGTCCCGAAGAATGGAGCTAGTTTGGCTCCTACAGCGGCGCAGTTGGGTGGTGTGAAACCTCCTACGCCTGTAAGGATGGCTGCTTTCAATGCTTTTGTGGGGGGCAAGACGTGTGAGGTGATTGCAAAGGAAAAGGGTGTCCAGCAAACAACCATCGAGTACGCCTCTTTCCCATCATTTGCCTTTTTCTGAATGCTGACCATGGATGAAGGGGCTACATTGTCGACGCTTTGATCATCCTCGGCGTGAACTCCATACCACCCGAGCATCTCGGCCGTATCTGGAAAGAATTTACACCGAAACCATGGATCTACATATCAAGGAGACCAATGTACGACCATCTGACGACCGTACTCGGCCCGCACCCCCAGGCTGAGGAAATTGAGGAGGCGAGGAAAGAGAGAGAGCAGGAGGTGAAGAACCGGGAAGCGGAGAAGAGTGGGGCGAGTGTAGCGCCAGCTGCGCCTGCTCCTGCCCCTGCCACTGTGGCCGCTTCCACCCCTGCCCCTGTGACAGCTCCTACCACACGGCCTGTAGCCCCGGCCGTTCCCCCAATCGCTCCTACCGGCCCCACTTCTATCCAGATCATGCCCCCTTCTCCAAAGACCCGTGTCGACACCGCAAGTGCCAATAACACTGCTCCGGCTCCGGCCCTTGCTCCCGCTCCCACACCCGCTCGGGTTTATCCTTCCCCAAGGGTACCCTATCCCACCGAGGCGCAGTTGGGATTCAAACCCCCCACGCCCGCGTTGATGGCCGCGCTCAACGACTTTATGTCTGGGAAGGATTGCTGGACTATTGCAGAAGAGAAAGGGGTCCAGGAGAAGACTATTGAGTGAGTTCCAAGCCTCTTGACATCCACTATGTTGTGACTGACTGTGGCTCAGGAGATACATCGTTGATGCAGTGTGCATCCTCGGTATAGGCTATGTTCAAAAATCAGATCTTGAACGACTCTGGACTGAATTCCCTTCCGAGATGTGGGCTTGGAGGCCGTACGGAGTCCTTTACGACGCCATCACCGCTGTCCTCGGCCCACACCCCCAGCTCGGAGAGGTCGAAGCGGCGCGGAGGAGGAGGGACGAACGCGACGCGAGTGGGGAGACAGACAGGATCAGGGAAAGGCGAGCTGCAGCGAAGGAAGAGAAAGCGTCGCAAGCAGCGTTAGAAAAGGAAGCAAAGGCGGAAGCAGGTAGGGCGAAGGGGCGGGAAGTTGCGAGGAATAGGGCTATTGCGCGGAACAGAGGTTCGAGCTACTCTGCGGGTTCGAGGAGGTACTCGTCGGGGTCGAGTGGGAGTTCGTCTTATGGCCGAACCAGGCCTTACTCCTCTAGTAGCAGTAACTCGGGCCCATTCAGCTGGAGAGGTGGGTATAGAGGACGGAACAATTACGGTCGAAGATGGTAGGTGAAAGAGGGCAGGGCCCAAGGCAGACTTTCTTGTGATGTCGCTGTAAAGGTCCGTCTGTCAGTCTTGGACTGTTCGGTAGGTATTATGATCTATGGTCTTGATGATCTTGTTGATGAAAATGTGAACCCGGTTTCGTGCACGTGTATCAAAGAACAGACATTCTTCATTCAAACTCGAAGCCAGGACTCCCGAGATACTTGTACAAACATGCCTAGACACAGTCGTGAACGGGAACAGATATGAAAAGGAAAATTGAATGGGAATGGTGGGTACGTTTTCCTATGGAATGATGCTAGTGAGAGTTGGTCGCTGAAATCGCTAAAAGCCCAAAGTGATGAGAAAGAATACTGGCCAGCAGCGTCGCTTCGAATTTCGTAGAAGTTCACCTGGTAGGACCAGCCTGCCAGTCTTCCTGCCTGCCCCCTGGTCTGTCACTCGTCCCTTATATCCTGACCCTTGCATCATCGCATCTTAGGCAGCTGCGGGATCTTGACTTCCCGGGCCTCCTTCTCACCTCCCAGCTTCTCGCTCCCAATCCCAAGCCCATACGTAGGCGTCGGGGTCCTCGTGCAACTCCCCCTCAGCTCTACATCATCGTAGACGCTCTGTATACTCTTCGGCGTAAGTGGTGCGCCATTGGATAGGGGCGAAGAGTGAGAGGTGTATGACTGGGACGAGAGAGAGGGGGTGCGGCTGTGGTAGGGACGGTACATGGCGCATGGTGGGGGCGAGGCGGCGTTTGAGTGGTGAGCATACATGTGGGAGAAAGTCTCGCAGGAAGGGGAGGGCGAGGAAGAGTGGGGTGTGGAAGCACGGCTGTGCAGATGAGGGCGGGCGTGCTGAGGGCCTGTCAGTCGAAGCTCGAGACGAAAGTGAAGAACAATGGACTCACGTATGGCAATACCGACGGCGCCACTGAATCAAAGATAGACCACTCTCCATCCCCGTCTTTCAACGCCCTCACCCTATCAGCGCAGTGCTCTGTATTCGCCAGATGTCGGTGGTGCGAGAACGGCGACGAGAGGTGTGTATTGGAGACAGGCGGAGCGGTATTGGATCGAGGACGTCCGCGGGGGATATGGGGATGGGAGATATGGTGGGAGACGGGCGAGGGGCCTTGCTGTTGAGAGAAGGACCTCGAGGCGTCGGGGGGTGTAGAAGGGGATCGAGGGGGAATATCGTGATGGTGGTGCCCGTGTGTAGGGTAAGGCTCTCGGCGGTGTGCGTGGGCATGGGAGTGAGGAGCGTGAGATGGGTTTTGGAGTCCGTGCTGCTCTTCGGGGCTCTGGAGGGACTTCATGAGATCCCCAAAAGAGGGAAGGGTAGTGGAAGTCTTGGAGGTGTCCTCGCCAGAGGTGGAAAGTTGAAGGCTGGAGACCATTGTGATGGTGATTGACTAGGGCCGGAGGAGGTTCTTGGGGTGGCAAATAGTAACGGAGGATGATTGTTGTGATATGCAGGATGAGATCGCAGCAGCAGCAGCCACAGGCGTGTCTTATACAGGTCGCAAGAGTCGTATTCACTGGTCATCATCGCATTCGGGCTGTCTCGCAACCGTCACCAAGCCACTCGTCCACCTGGTGCAGGCACCCAGCGACCAAATAGGCGAAGACTGCGATCCCTATGACACCCTATGATGTCTCAGCGAACCAGCAGCGCTCTGAAATGTCACCCTTGGAAGCGTCAGAGGATAGTACGACTACAGCCGGAAACTCTCGTGAGCGACTCGTGAGCGTATCCTGCCGCCCCGCGTCTTTCCGACCGGGTCAATAGTTTGCGCGTTATCGTTTGGGAGACTTTTGGGCCCGGCCACCTCGGAAGGCACTCAAACAAGCATCGTACGCACCACTGTTCAACAGAGGAGCCATGGCGACAGGTAGGGCGTATCTTGGATGGTAGAAAGTGGAGTCGGAAGAGTTATTTTGCTACGCATTTAAAGTGGTATCCGACGCCAAGAAGGATACGCGGCGCCTGCCGGGAGATAAGCGGCATTGAACAACCGATGATGTCCATGCCCGAAGTATTATGAGGCAATAACGTTGATGAGTCGAGTGCTTGCAGATAGCGCAGACGAGGTGCCCACTCATAGTCTGCTCACTGCGCAAAGCGCAAACTTTGTCGGTCAGGGCCTTCCCCGCCTTCTCCGCAATGTTTGGTTCTTCTCGGTGATTTTTTCGACGTTTTCCAATCCCCACCATTCCAAAAGGTCTATGCAAGCTCAGATTTTGAGACTGCATACTAGCAGCTGAAATTTGTGAGCCAGAAAGCGCGTCTTTCACATCGGGCACATAGCGAAGCAGTGCAATTTGCAAACGGAACATATCTACATGGTGGCATACACTACGGCTAAGGGCCTACAGAGTGTCCCCCCCCCCCGCTGTGAGGTTCTGTAATCAAACATAGGTATGTTGCTTTGTGATGCTTGTCGTTACTTGGGTCTTGACCCCAACACCAGCTTGACATGGTCGCTCGCATCAGTTGCGCTCAAGGGGTCCAATTGTCACGCTTGGGTAGTGCCCTTGGCGTGCTGAAGAGAGTTTTGTTGTAAGGGGCAAAAACCTTTTCGTTATTGTCGCATATGAAGAAGAAGAACTATGAAAAAGACTCTGATATGTGTATAAACGGAGAGCACCAACACACAACTAATCTCCTGAATCTATGTACTTGAATGAACGAATTACACATGCAGATGACTCCTTTAACCATGACACCAATGCACGGCACTTTAGACTCAATCCCTCCTCTGGTACTCACCTGCCATCTGCCATCATATAAAGAAGGCGAAAGATCAGCCCATGATATCTGCGACCAGTCTCAAGTCAATATAGCCCCAACAATCACAATGCAGTGAGTCACAAGTAAAGAAGATCAGCAGGCGAAGATCGTACTAAGAGTTCTCAGTTCTGCCTTCTGCACAGCAAAGTGATTGTCAGATCAGAAAGCTCAGTTCTCAGCTAACTAGGTAGCCCGTATCCACACCGCCTTTTCATGACCACGATGATTCATCAAATCTCAGAACGACATAGATTAAGGATATCCAAGCTTGTCAGTCGCTTTCTTCGCTTGTCTTCTGCTTCACTCTCCATAGCCTGTCGTGAAGTTTTTTCCGGGACCATAAACTCGATGGCGTTCAAAGATTCAGAATCAGGGCGCTTGACCGTCACGAAACAAAAATCGTCGTCGGCTGAAGGTCTTGTGACGCTCTTTCGAGAAGGTAAATGACTTGCGACCATCGTTTGGCGGTGCTTTTTGCCAGACCTGTCAGTTCTCACAAGGGTCATGTTGGAACGAAAGATGGGTAGATCCTCTTTCGACCAGAAGACCTCGAAAGAAGGTTCCCTGCTTCCCGGTCGGACAGACACTTCGTCTACACTTTTACCCTTTGCGGTCTCATGAGCCACTTGATCATACATATTCTTGAACAATGTCGCGTCCGAGATAATTGTCATCGGCTCTTTCGTGACATAAACGTCCATCGTATGGGCAATCGATTTCTTAGTGGGCTTTTGCCTCGAAATTGAATGGAAGCAGGTCACTTCTGTCTCGAAAGATATTGCTTCCTCTGGGCAATTCAAATCGGTCATGTGCAGTTCAGTTTCGTCAGAGCCCTGTTGTTGCATTTCATATGTTGCTTGCTCATGTTGGGCGGGGATCTCAAACTCGATAGTCGTTATGGGCTGGACTTCATGTACTTCTGGAAGCACGTCTTCGTTGAGCGTCGCGTATGAAGGTATGGGTGTCACGGCCTGCTGGGACGCAGCAACTACGTGTGACAATGGGACTTTCCAGCTTGACTTTCATCCGACGAGTATGATTGTAGAGCCGATGTTCTGAGAGCATGTGGCACAGCATTCTTTCTCCCTCCGACATATAAATTCCGGGGACTCGAGGTTGAAGACTCCAAGGTCCGGGGCAGTATCGCGAGTTGTCATGTTGCTGCTGCTCTGGAGACGACATGCCGGCGTCTTCGGGGTGAGGCTGCGAACCATCTTCTGGATCGATTTGAAAGTCCGTGATATCGAGGTATGTATCGCGAATTGCGAACCCATGGAAAAGACCGGGTATACTGCCAGATGACAGCCTTTCATCGAGGCCTTCTTTCGAGCTCGTAATTTCTTGCACTTCTTCTTCAGCCATTATCGTGATTGTGGTTGGTATTCTGCAGATGCCGTTGAGCCTTGCAGGATCTTCTCTTATGCATTTCGGAGAATCATTTCTTTTTAGCTGATCCCTGGGATAGCTTGAGAATGGTTAGGCGACGTACCTTTCAATGCCTCGTATCCCCACGCCGAGCGTACTACAGATGACTGCTGGACTGGAACTCTATCTACTGCAGCTGTGCTTACAGCTCTATCCTCGGTTCAAATTTCCTTAGCGGCCTACTTCTTTTCGTCTGTTGTGGGCGATGCTGGCCCGCTCCCTTCTCCCTTCTTGCCTCACAATAGCAGCGACATCAGGATTACTTCCTTTTCGAGTCTATGTGCGCTTTTCTTGCTGGACTCCTTTGCCCATCATGCCCAACAAAGATAAACTTGTTTCACTACGAGTGACAAAGGGATGCCAAGATGCGGGCGAAGAACTGCTTCAAGAAGCTCGCACACAATTTCAATATCATCAGCGCCCCGCATACCCGAATGACAAGCAATGCAACAGAAAAGAAAAGGCAACATATGGAATCCGAGTCTTCCTTTCATGCATCTACGGATCGGCACTCCGATATAGAATTCAAGCCCACAAAACCTAAGGATATTCGTTGAGCTTGTCAATATATCTCTCCTTCTATTTTCAGCTTCATTCTCCACAGCCAGCCGCTAACTTTCCTCTGGTATCATGAATTCGATGGCGCCCAAAGTCGCAGGATAGTCGCGAACGAATGTTACAAAACTGTATCCATCTTCGGCTGCAGGTCTTGTAACGCTCTTCCGAGAGGGTGAATGGGTAGCCGTCGTCTTATGCAAGTGCTCGCAGCCGGAATTGTCCAATCGAACCAGGGTCATATCACCTTGAAAGCTGGGCTGGTTTTTCTCAGACCACATGACACTGAAAGGCAAGTCGCAACTGTCCGCGGTTGACTTTTCTGGGTACTCTCCTTCAAGCACCCCGTGCGCCACTTCATCAAACAGTCGTTTGAACGATGGCAGGTCTGAGATGATTGTCATACGCTCTTTTGTCAGATAGACATCCTTCGCCTGGGCCAGGGAACGATTCGTCCTCGTGACGTCGTCTGGAAGAGTGTGGAAGCAGGTCACATCGGTCTCGATTGTTAGTGGCATGTGCGCGCAACGAGACCCAGTCATGACAGGTTCGTCTTCATCCGAGTTCCACTGAAGTTCGTAAGATGCCTCTGGATGCTCGATGGGAATTTCGAATTCAAGGGCAGATATGGGCTGGAACTCATATGGGTGTGGACGCACATCTTCGTTGAGCGTAGAAAAGGAAGCCATGGGATTGTGCAACGTGACTTTCATCCTTCGCGGGTGATTGTGAACGCGGTGCTCGGACAGCTTGTCAAACAACTGTTCTTGTCCAGCCGGCGTCAAGATTCGAAAATCCGGGACTTGAAGCTGAAAACTCCAAGCCGCCCCAGGGTAAGGACCGAAACTCCATCGATGCTCTCGAGGTACCACACCAGAAGAATCTTCCGTGGTAGGGTAAGTGCCGTCTTCTGGGTGGGTTTTCACGTCGGTAATACACAAAGACCCCTCCAGGGAGAATTGGTGGAATAAACCTGGTATACTGCCGGCCGGCAGTCTTTCATCGAGACCCTCTCGAGAGTCTCCAACTTGTTGTTCTGTCATTGTATGTTGATAGTTGTTTGAAATGGTTTATCTGCACCTTGATTGTCTGGCGAATGGTTCTTCTTATAGTGGAATTTCGGAAATTTGAGTGGCTCAATTCGCTAGACGAAAGCATCCATGAGAAAGTTCACGAATGTTGTTGGCGTTATGTCAAACCTTTCATGATGGCATATCCTTCGATCTCTGGTAGAAAACTTCTATGTGAATCGTACACACAAAGCATTTGCCTATGTGAACTCGAGAAGTGATATCAAAGGTGTAGTGGGAGTGTAAGCTGAGACTCATGATATCGGTGACCACGATGTTGCCCTATCTGCCTGTCACGGCCGAGCTGGGACGCAGCAGGGGGGGCGGGACTGGAAAGGTGTTTTTAGAGGGGAAAAGACCTTTTCGGTATTATCGCATAAGGAAAGAGTAGAACAATGAGATATGAATTGAGTATTACACCGCGCGTCCTTCAACCATCCACACAACTCAGCGCCAATGCCACTTCAGGGAATTACTACGTGTGACACAAGCTGCCTTCGAAGGAGGGCAAGTATTGTTCGTGCCAGTTGGTAACGAATGGCTGAAGGCTCCTTCCCAAGTCTGCTGGCTCAGACATCACACTGCTGGTCACAAATTTTCCTTTCAATGAGTCGTGAGCCACGTGATCAAACATATGAGTGAACGATGCCAAATTTGAGATGACGGTCATTCTTTCTTTCGTGATATAGATGTCCATCTCATCAAGAGGTGCTGTATCCGTGCTCTGTCCGCTTCTCTGAATAGGGTGCCAACAAACCACTTCGGCGTCGAAAGCTAGGGTCTCTTCGGACGGATACCGCAAGCTGGCCAGGACGAGTTCGCGCTTTGTAGCGCCTTGCTGAAACTCATACGTTGCTGATGGGTGTCCGAAGGGGATCTCAACATGTATACAAGTCATGGGTTGGACTTCTTGTACACTCAGAAGCACGTCCTCATTAAGCTTAGCGTAAGAAGGTACGGGATGCTCCAGAGGCCGATTTTTTATTTGAAAAGTCATGTCGATTCAACGAAAGTGGCGTCATGCTCAGTTCCCGTTGTAACTGTTGAGTACTCGTAATGTAGATAAATGCATCGAGATTATTGTGAGAACATCTACGGCGGTGGAAAACTGAATTTCGTGATTCAGGTTCAATTCGGGTGTTGAATGCTGAGACCAATCAGCTCCACCACGGTGGATATTTCGTGAAGTTGTGGTTTGCAGAATAGTACTCGAGTAGTCTGTAGAGCGAGGTACCGCAAAGTCGTTAGCAGGTCACAAAAGTTCCCAGGTTCTCAGAACCCCTTGCAATCTTGGTATCCATCATGCATGCGAACATTTTGATATTAATACTATCGGATCAGTACTGCACCCGTCATTCCTTTCCCATCGTGACCCATCGCGCCAGAGGGACGCCAATGAATAATATGATGTTACTACTAAAAAAGCCAAATATGAAGCCGTGCATAGTAGGAGCCTATGTGCTTCAGGTACTCGTTCAACGTCATGTCAGTTTCCTCCTCGACAGTCAGGAGAAAAAAACTGTAACATGGCATGAGCAAACTTGGCAGCCTTCCGCCTGGTATGAAATATTCTCTGAGCTAGATCTCAGACCCACACAGCCTGAGGATATCTGACGCGCTTGTCAGCCGCTTCCTTCTTTGATCTTCTGCTTTGCTCTCCATGGCCAATAGTGAAGCCTCTTCCTGCACCATGAAATTGACAGCGCTTAGACTCCTCGGAGCGGTCCAATTAAAAGTCACTAAACTGCAATCGTCTTCGGCTGTAGGTCGTATAACACTCTTCCGAGAAGGGAAATGACCCGCCCCCGTTGTATGTCGGCGCTCAAAGCCAGATCTATCCGTCCGCAGTAGAGTAATCTCGCCTACAAAGCTGGGTAGATCGTGGGGTATTGACCAAAAAACATGAAAAGGTAGCTTCCTGCAACCTGCTACCGATTCAATCGAGTCCACAAACACCTCATTGACAGCAGTCTCGTAAGCCGCTTGGTCGAACATGGCTTTGAACGAAGTCAAGTCTGAGATGACCGTCATAGGCTCTTTTGTGATATAAACGTCTTTTTTGTGCTGAATCAATGACTCCTCTCCAGATGATCTCTTTGACAGAGAATGGAAGCAGGTCACTTCGGCTTGGAAAGCATTTGCATCGGGGGGTGGACAGCTCAGAACGCTCATAAACCTTTCGTCGTCCCGAGAGCCGGGCTCAATTTCGTAGGTTGCCTCGGGGTGCCCGATGGGAATCTCAAACTCGATAGCTGTTATAGGCTGGACTTCATGTACTCCTGGAAGAACGTCTTCGTTGAGCGTCGCATACGAGGTCATCGGATCTGTCAGCGTGAGTTTCATCCGACGTGGGTGGTTGTAAACACGTGTTTCAGCCAGTTTACGAAACAGATCGCTCTCCCCACCCGACATATCAGAGGGCTGGACGAGAGGTTGAAAACTCCAAGCTTCCGGGCGGTAATGGAAGGCGTCTTGGTGTTCCGAGATTCACATATCCCGGCCCAAAGGCGGAGGCGGCTGAGAGACTTCTCCCTCTGAGTGGTATCTAAAATCAGTCATTTCGAGGTTCCCGTGGATCTTGAATTTGTGAAAGACACCAGGTATACTGCCAGACGGCAATGGTTCTTCGAGACCTTCTTCTCTGGAACCTACGTTGTCTTGTTCTGCCATTATTGTCTGTGGATTTACGGTTCGCTCCTAATCTGCATATCCTCGTCTTTTCCAATCGTTTAAATACAACTGCTCTGAGATCTTATTGTGGCTCCGCTATTCGCAAGGAAACAACACCACCCCTGGAATAGCATGAGAATGGTATGCAATACCCCTTTCAAGAAGTCACAGCGCGGAGCGCGGCGTCTCTGACGCGGATCAGACTTGTTTGTGGGATCGACTGTTGGATAGACGAAGCCCTGTCTTCACGAAAATGAAAGGGAGTTACATATTCTCATGATGGGTAGAACAGCAGACCCTCCTTGCGCTGACATCAGCGGGCGTGGTATTGAGTCTCATTGCGTCTGCCAATTGCCTCGGCTCATCTCCAGAAGTAAGGCCCCACAAACGGTATGCGACGATCTGATCAAAAGCCTCTATCAGTCTGTACCGTATGAACATCATTCTCAGCACTATGAGCAGAACCACAAGGCCTCAAAAGACCCGAAGAGCTCGCCAATCGCTCTCTCCGTCTACCTTCCGCTTCGCTCTCCAAAGCCACCCATGTGTCCTGTTGCGGCATCATAACAGAGATGTTGCTCGAAATCCCTGGCGCAGAACGCTCAACCGTGACGAAGCAAAATCCAGCATCAGCTCCAGGCCTCGTGACATCTTTCCCCGAGGCAAAAGTACTCGCCACCGTCGAATGCCGGTGCTCTTTCCCAGACCTGTCTTTTCGCACAAGAGTCACTTCATCTTCAAACGTATGCATGTATTCCCCATGCCAGGTGATACCAAACGGGAAATCTTTACTATCTGGCTCCAAGAACGCTTCGTTCCGAAAGGGCCTTTCATTCAAAGACTCGTGGGAGATTTGATCAAACATGTGGTTGAAGGAGGGCATATCTGAGATGACTGTCATATTCTCTTTTGTGAGATTCACATCCGTATCATGAGATATTGTTCCTGCTCTCTCATCGTTCCCTGGAAGAGGATGCCAGCAGGTCACCTCGGTATCGAACGCAATCGATTCAGGTCAGGGGCGTGTCGGATATGACCGGCCTATCCCTTCTGTGCACACTTTCCCGGACTTGACAAGTCGGTTCAGGGTGTCCGACGGGGATTTCAAAATCGATAGACTCGATGGGTTGGACTTGATGCATCTCTGGGAGCACATCGCAACGCATCTTGTTTCGCAGCGTGCTGAGCTTCATCCGAAGGCGATGACGGTAAACCCGGTTCTCCGAGAGGGTGCTCAGCAATTCTTGTTCTTCAGACGACATCTCGGGTGTCAGCAAGGAGCGGGGCTTGAGGCTGAAAACTCCAAGGTTTGGGGTGAAACTGAGAGACGTCTTGGTGCTCCGTAGCTGATATGGGGCGATCTTCGGCGCCGGGTTGAGTACCTTCTTCGTCCGAGTGGCATCTGAAGTCAGTGATATTGAGCTTTCTGTGAATACCGAACTGCCATTGCTTTGGTTCTGTACGAGTACCCTATGATGATGGCTCCTGGTGGAACGAATCCTGAATCAGCTCGAGAATGTGCTGCCATACCCCCCATAATTCCAAGCTTCTTTGATTGGATGTGCGTGTGAACTGAGCCACAGTAATCTACCTTTGTTCGGTCTTGCAATTTCCCATATGTCGATCATGTGAGTGGCTCTCGATCTCGTGGGAAGTCAAGATTATGACTAATTATGGGAATGAGCGGTCAAACAACTTGATATCTCATGTTCGCTGCAGGTGCTTAGCGCCGTGACGGCCCTTTTGTTGATCGCACAAGAAGCGGCGAGAAGTATTGAAGATCGTTCAAAGTCTGCGCATTGCAAGCACTGTGCATTCCCATCTAGGTGTGTATCGTCTTTGTTAGTCCTAGTCGACTTCCGTAACGACAGCAGTCACAACGGTGATACTACAGCCCATCAGCACTTCCCTTACCAAACCAACCGCACCCAAAAGCTCTGGGAAGAAAAGACTCACTCATCATACTTGCCCCCCTTCCACTTCCACTTCGGCTCCTTCACCCCCGCCTCCTCCTCAAACGGCGTCTTCCATCCATTCACCCCCGTCTCATTCCCCGTCCTCTGCATCGCCGACCGTCCATAGCCTACAAGCATGTCGGCGAATAATCGGGCACGTTCGGAGGCGCGTTCGGCGGGGGAAAGGGAGGCGTTGGCGGGGTCGTTGAGGATGCGGTTGAGGAGTTTTGAGAGGGAGGGGATGTGCGAGGTGGGGACGTTGTCGGAGAAACCGTCCGTCTGAAGAAGAGTAAGCTTTGGGGGAGGGGAGAGGAGGGGGAGGGGACGTACAAAGAGGGCGATGGTGTCGCCTGCTTTGAGCTCGAACGATTTCACATCGGCTACGTCGGGGGTGTCGTGAATGATCTTTTCGTGGCGCATCTCCGCCGGGATCTTTGATAGTTGTTTCTGTTTACCAGTCAGCCTGTCTGTTCGAGGGATGAAGAGGGGAAAAACGCACGGGGCAGTTGAAGAAGTGGGTTTGAGGTTTGGAGATTTCAAAGATCTCGTCGCCTCGCAGGATCATATACCCCGAATCACCCAAACTACACCCCATATCAGCAATCCGGCTGAATCCTCTTCAGAATTTCAACGCACTTGGAAAAGACACCCTGGCCATCTTCATCCAGCCTAGCACTAACCATCGTCGCCCCGCCCCCATTCGCCCTATCATCCGCCAACGCATCCTCATACGCCTTTTTCAATATCGACCTCGGGTCCACAGAGCCCGTGCTGGACATGGCAAAGTCGCGTGCGGCTTTGGTGTAGTAGTAGCAGAGGAGCTGGGGGAAGAGGGATGCGTCGAGGGTTTCGGACCATCCGCCGACGCCGTCCGAGACTGCCAGATGCAGCTGTTTGCGCTCGTCAGATCTATAATCGTCATAGATATATGCACTTACATCGCCTCGAGCACTAGTGAGCCCAAAAAAGTCCTCCCCAGCCCCATACTTTCTCCTAACCTCTTTAATCTCCTCTAACGACGCCCTAATATCCCCTCGTCCAGCATTCAAATCCAACATCTCCCTCACCCACTCTCCCACGTCATCCTGCTTGTAATCCAGACCATACGGCTTGATCTCCTGCTTGGTGCTGATAAACGGGGGTGAGTACTTGGCGGCGTAGGAGAGGCCCATGGCGTAGGAGTAGACGGGGGCATGGGGGTAGAGGGGGGAGACGGTGGTGGAGTTGGCGCGGCTGAGGAGTGGGGCGAGGCGGTGGGCGGGGGCGATGTGTCTGGCTGAGGCGAGGAGGGACATGGTCGGTGGGCAGAGAGACAAGGCGAGGAAAGAGATGGATGGCGCATCAATGGCGCATTCGGCCGGCTGCAAAAGTTCGGCTTTCGTGCCTGATGACGACGCGACTTGGTGGCGCTCTTTCAACGCTCTTTGGGGCTGCCCTTCGCATTCTTGCATTCCATTCCGCCTGATCACACCCTCGCAGCTATGCATATCACTCCCATCGTTTATCATCTGCAATGCCCAAAAAGACCCTCCAGCACTCGGCCCGAGGAGGAGGATCTCGTCTCCTCTAGCCAAAGTCCACTGATCTGTCTGTCTTCAATGGGTTATAAGATACAGCTGGCCTCGCGTAAGCCAGCAACTTAAAGTATGACCCCCACTTGCAGTGGCTGACGATGGTAACGTGGCAAGCAAATACGGCGTGAAGGGTCGTCTAACGACGCCCTGTTTCATAGCAGACTTCCTTCCATCTTTTGTCGCCCACCAGAAGTTCCGGTCGTTCAGCACGTCTCTTTGCCACTCCATGGCTCAATGTGGAACAAGGAGCAATATAATAGTGATGCTCTTGGCTCTTACTTCATCATTGAGCAGCACATAGAGCCAAGGAGGAGGCGATGATGTCCAGAGCATGCCCTCGCTGCCGAGATCAATGTTGAACGATGAGTTGGAGATGGTGATTGCAAAAGCAAAGTCAGGGGCCTTTCTTCAAGACCACCCAAGATTACACATGTGGCAAAGTAGGATGTGATGATTGTGAAGTCCATGCAAATCCTATAGTGGTGACGATCATGATTGTCCTGGGCGTTAATTGTCTTTCCTTCAGTGCAATGATACCAGCTCAAGCCGGACCAACGTAGGTGGAATCTGTGCCAGCACAAAGCTAGTACTATGATTAGCCTCATCATCCACCAACAGTGTAGTGACAGCACTGGTACTCACGCTTGACCACGAGTCAGGTCCATCCATACTCTTCAGCGCATCCGGCTGTACGACCACAACCGCAAGCTAGTACGCCGTCAGTCATCTCTTCTCTTCTTTCTGGCCATTCCACCGAGAGAACGCGGACGTACCTTCCCCTCAGCCATATGCCAATCAATATGACAGTGCATTGGCCACACACCCGGGTTATCTGTCACCAGCCTCAAAACCACCCAACTATCCCTCTGTAACCAGAACGTATCCTTCCTCAAAGGATTATCTAGCGTCAAATTCGCGCTCGCCAAGCCAGCCTCATCCGTTCTCCCAGTACCGCGCCTGATGATCTGGAAACTGTTGCCGTGCATGTGGCAAGGGCGGTCTATGATCTGTGGAGAGCGAGGAGGAGGAGCTGGTCGTCCTGGTCGAGAGCGAAGAGGAGGAAGATGACGCGTTGTGATGATGTCTGGGAGATTGTCAGGGTGCGTTCGGGTTGGTCAAAAGTGCAAAGCACTCACAGCCTGTGGGACGCCCCGGATACGAGAGATAGGGAGGATATACCCAGTAGGACTGTAAAGAACGACTTGGCGAATGACACGTGCATCATGTTCGAGGGAATGAGGCTTAAAAGAGCGTGATGAGAGCGGACTGCCAAAATGTGTGAGCTGGATGAGCAATCAGTGTTACTGTCCCTCACAGTGCCCCTTGGGAAGTCGGGGTGGATATAGACTGCTATTTAGGACTTCAGTTGACGGATCAATTCCTTGGCTCGGCAACCCGAAGGACATGTACAAACAGTCACCCTGCCCTTTTCTCTTTCTATATATACTCTGGATACGAGAGAGTCACGGCAGTCGACAGATGCACGATTTCATCCGAGCGCGAATGTCTTTTGCCGCTGATCATCTAGCCCCTGGTCGCGTCGGGTGGCCTGAACATGTAGATCACCAGCCTTGCCAATGGAGCAGTACCCGCCGCGCCTCGCCGATCGACAGACATCCTCAGAGACTCTCAATGTTGTCACCGCTTCCGCCCCCTCTTGCCGAGGCCGAGAGCCTTTCTCGCGGAGCGGTGTTCAATTTCTCTCGTTTGCCACCCCTGTTGCTATGCTTTACGCCGGCTATCCGCTATCACTTGTACGTTACATCAATATACCGCCCAACATCAACACCAAAGGGCGAGATGAGATGAGATCTGTTTATGCAAAGACGGATAGATTCCCTATTCGCTTCACGGACGTTTTCATTTTGGACTTGTATCTTGCTTTGATGGCGTCAGACATCATGTCAAGGCGGGCAGGGGGCAGGGCAGGCAGGCAGCGGGCAAGATCCTCGAGGCCACGGGGGGTCGGCGTTACGGCTATGCGAGATCGACAGGAGGCTGTTCTTGGAATATAGGTCGGTATGTGCGTGCGCCGAGGATGCGTGGGAGGGGGCCGAGTATATATAGAGGGGGGTCAGACGACTTGATGAGGGTAAGATATCCGCAGTCTCTATCTTCCATCTTTATATCTTCTCTCTCTCACACAGGGATGAACCGGGGCTGGTACACAATACATTTCCCCGACACACTACACACGCCTTCTGCCGAGTCGGAGATCAGCAAGACTATCATTGACTTTACGACGGAAATCAGTGAGTACTTATCGACTCTTTCCTCCCTTCTTCTCTTCCTCTATCTTTGCGTCGGGAGCGGGGAGCGGTCATGATCTCCTTTTGTCTCGCTGTCAGAGTCGTCCGTACTAGCGCCAGTATAGATGAGCTGTGCGCTCTTGGCCGGGATTGCCAGTCCGGGAAGTGGTTCTTGGTTTCAAAACAATGTGTTTTGTGCAAGGACAGGGATTGAGCAGTATAGTTGTCTTTGTCCCCTTTCATCTCTCAACTCTTCTTCTTATCTTATGCTTCTCTCTCTTTCGCTTGCCCCCTTTCCTTCTCTTGATTGTTTCACTTTATTCGAGGCTTCCCTGTGGATCTCTCAACGTCGAAGCTACTGTCTCTCCCTCGTCACCTACACACCCACGCAAGCTGACGTGATCTCCAGCCACTCCACGATGCGCCACTCCCTCCTCGCGCTGTTTACCCCTTTCCCCCTCGCCCCCCTCGCCCGCGTACTAACCGCCACACCAAACCAGTACGTCCCACACACCTCCCACGTGTCCTGCGCTCAGACCACCCCAACAGCTTGCCATCACCAGATCCCTATCTCTCCGCCCGTGGATCAGATGTCGCGGTAGTTGATCCGTCCGTGTTTGTGCCTTTGGCCAACAATTTTGAGATTACTGCGGATACGGTGACGAGGGAGTATACTTTTGATATCACGTGAGCCATCATATATCTTATCTTATCTTTTGACTCTTGATGACTGGGTCGATAGAAACGCAAAAGCATCTCCCGATGGTTTCACTCGCGACATGTACGCCATCAACGGTATCCTGCCCGGCCCACTCATCGAAGGCAACCAAGGCGATACCGTTGTCGTCCACGTCAACAACTATCTGGACCAAGGTCAGGGTATCCGTACGTTCCCTTCTTTTTTCTTTTGTAAATGGATGTAGGCTGACGAGGAAGGCTAGATTGGCATGGGCTGAGACAGAATGGTACGGGCCATATGGACGGTGTCCCTGGTATCACCCAAGTAAGCCCTCCCATCGCTCTTTCCTTCGATCTCCCACTGATATCATATGTAGTGCCCAATCCCCGCAAACGGTGGCTCCTACACCTACCAATTCACCCTCGACAAACAAGCCGGCACATACTGGTACCACTCTCATTTTGGCAACACCATGGCCGACGGTCTCGGAGGGCCAATCGTCATCCACTCGCCGGATGAAGGTGTACAGGCGGGGGGCGATTACGATGAGGAGAGGATTGTTTGGGTTACTGAGTGGATGTGAGTCATTTTTCCACTGGGTTCGGAGAGTAGGAGCTGATGAAATGGTAGGCATGATGATTCGGAAACGATCATCGAGGGCTTGAAGAGTTCGAAGGGATATAGGGGTGTAAGTCCTTCTTCATTATATCTCGAGACTTTACATTGATAACGTTTCAGAGCACCGCTTCTCCCCAAGGCGACGCCGTCCTCGTCAACGGAGTCGTAAGTTCCTCCTCTCTTTTCTCACCTGTACAGATACTAACCGGAGGCACAGGGCCAAACACACTGCACAAACACCGACGACCCATCCTGCTTCTCCCCTTCTCCTCCCGAGATCCAAGTCCCCACAAACAGCCGTATCAGAGTCCGCTTCATCTCTGCCGCCGCTCACGCCATGTTCCGCATGTCCCTCGACACCCACGAACTCACAGTCGTCGAATCGGACGGTACCCCTGTCTGGGGTCCGACGGTGCATGAAGTGCCCCTCGCGCCTGGAGAGAGGTATTCGGTCATTATTGATACCAATGGCAAGACGGAGGGAGATAGTGTGTGGTTGAGGGCTACGACGGCGTTGGCGTGTATGCCTGGAGGGAAGGATCAAGTTGGGTTGGCGGTGTTGAGGTATGGGAGTGGAAGCACTGGAAATGAGGCGGTTGGGGGCTTGCCGAATACAACTGCTTGGTGAGTCCCTGTCTTGTCTTGGCATAGCAGGGTACTAAAAAAGTGTAGGGGAGACCTTTCGGCAGCTCAAGCTCCATGCCGCGGCCTTGACCAATATGAACGTCTTTCGTGAGTGCCTCACCCTCTCTTCTCCATGCTCGACTCCGTAGCTGATGCTTGCGCGCAGACCAAGGGAAAACATTGGAGCGGACAACAATGCTTTGACGTCGCAATTCTTGAACAGCGAGAGGGGTACCTTTTTGGACCATGACGGGAATATGTTTGATGGACAGGTATGTCACCTTGTCCCACAATTCCCTCTGTATCAAACTAATAGAAAGCAAATAGGGCTTCAACAACATCTCTTACCAGAACCAAATCAACGACCCCCTCCTCTCCATCCTCCAATCCGGTGGCTCATGCAACACCTCCCTCGTCGCCAACGCCACTTTCCCACACATCGGCCCGGGTAACATCATCATCAATAACCTCGACTCCGGCATCGGCCACCCCTACCATGTGCATGGGAACGAGTCCCAGATCCTTGCCAGGGGTGAAGGCAAGTTGACGGCAGAGGATGTGGATGACGGAAAGGTGGGATTGGGCTTGGATAACCCTGTGAGGAAAGATACGCTCTGGATCCCAGGGGGTCAGTGGGCGTTGTTGAGGATCATCACGGATAACCCCGGAGTACATGCGGTGCATTGTCATATTGGATGGCATCTGGCTGAAGGCAAAGTGAGTTCTTCTTCCTACCGGTTCTCTGACGGACGGAAGGCTGATGATTGGGCGTAGTTGGCGGTGGTCATTGTACAACCCGATGCTATCAAGAATAAAAACTTCCCCTCTGCTTGGTACAACGTGAGTCACCCTCCCTCTAGTCATTATTTCTAATCTCAAGACTGACGCCGTTCTTGGCAGCTGTGCGACGGCACAAACCCAGACGAGTTCGGCCCTTCTCGACGAACGCTCTCGGCCCCTACTACCGAGCCCAGATCGCTTTTCACCCCCTTCACCAAGATCCGGAATAACCTCAGTCTCGATGGTCTCAAGCGGAGAATGATCTTGTTACGAGGAGAGAAGGAGATATAATTACAGAGTATCTTTGGACGCTCATCACGAAAATCTTCTCTTTGGTGTTTATAGCGGGCTTGCTTTTCTGGATATATCTTGTGAACTTTCAGCCGACTCTTGATTTGTGATTAGCGGAGAGGACATTTATATATCTCGGAAAAGCTTGATGTCGGTATTCTCTATCTTTTGGGGCCTTTCGAGGGCTATATATTTTGTAGTATTATAATGCAAAACATCGACTGTGAAATGCTTCTGCGCTCGGGGTGCGGTGAATGGGCATGGGCGAATCGCGAGTTGGATTAAAGTCCTCTCCGTGCTGACTGCAACGAAGGATCGGCTGCGGAACTTGCCGATGATCAGTAATATCAGGAAGGCTATTTCAAAGCCGATCCTTCGTTGCCCGTTTGTCACAAACTTCCGAGATGCATGATCTTCAAATCTCATATAAGAAAAAAACAATTATCGTGCAAACTACACCCATGGTCAGCATCGGCTCACTCTACCCCGAAACAGAGAAAGACTCACTTGGATATCATCAATCCTCAAAATCAACGCCACCGTCTCCGTCGCCAACTCCATAGCACTGGTAGACACCAACAACGGCTGCACCACATTCTCCTCCAAGATATTGCTGATGATTCCCTTCTTCACATTGATACCCGCGCTCTTCTCGCCCATGGCGTGCTTGTTTCTCAGTTCGGTGACAATGGCGATGGGGTTGAGACCAGCGTTTTCGGCGAGGGTGGTGGGGATGATTTCGAGGGCTTCAGCGAATGCAAGGAAGCAGTAGGCTTCTTTGCCCTTGAGGGTGTGGGCGTGGGAGGTCAAAAGGCGGGAGATGTGGATTTCGGGGGCACCACCACCGGCAATCAAAGCACTACAGATGATCGTTAGAGATGTTCAGAAAGGGTGAGAGAGGGTCGGAGGACGGACCGCTTCTTGACCAGACACCTCACAACACACAACGCATCGTGCAAACTCCTCTCACTCTCCTCCAAAACCAACTCGTTCGCACCAGTACACACAACAGACACAGTCTTTCCCGGGTTCCTCACACCAGTAACCTTGACAACCTTGGCTCCCGCCTGACTGACTTCCTCCACATGCTCCGCGTAACCCAGCTTGTCCTCTGTGAAAGCCTCAATATCCGCCACCGGCTTGGCCCCGGTAGATTTCGAGATAAAGTCAATCTCGTCTCGCTCAATGTCTTTGATGACCATGATCTTGAGCTTGGCGAGGAAGTGGAGGGAGAGGTCGGTGACGGCGTCACGGAGGATGGACTTTTGGATGAGGAGGACGTTACAGCCGGTCTTCTTGATGCGTTTACAGAGGTTGAGGAGGTATTGACGCTCTTCTTTGAGGATCTTGTCCATCTGTCGGTAGTCGTTGACGACGATTTGGTTGTCCATCTGCCCTTTTCATCAGTTTTGAATACCATGGAAAATAGGGAACATACGTCAGGCTTGGGACTGCTCAACTGGAATTGAATCAGACCGATCTTGGCCTTCTCCATCCTGGTAGGTCCACCGGCGTTGGTCATCGCAAGCTGATTCAAAGCCAGACCCTCGACAAGCTCAGTGTCCTCAATGGTACCGCCGACCTTCTTTACTATTCTAATGTCGCGCAGGTCGACGTTGGTAGACGCAGAGGTGGCGAGGCGGGTGACGGCAGTCACGGCGATGGGGGCCAAAGTGGAAGAGTATTGCGAGACGATCTACAGTATCATCAGCATGGCACAATTCAGGACCAATATGACACACCTTGGAGTTCAAACTCGTCTTGGCAGCCCTCAACAAACTATCACGGTCATTCAAGTCCACCGGCGTGCTCATCTCTTGCAGATACTCGACAGCCTTGGAGGCGGCGTTCTGGAAAGACTGGGCGACGGTGGTGGGGTGGATACCCTGAGCGAGGAGCTTTTCGGCAGCAGCGAGAAGGGAACCGGCGAGGACAACGACAGAGGTGGTACCGTCTCCGGCTTCGATATCTTGAGCTTGAGAGAGCTCGACCAGCTGTGGAAAGTCAGCTTGAGATCCGAGCGGGATGGATATTACGGACCATTCGGGCGGCAGGGTGGAGGACAGCCATGTGCTTGAGAATGGTAGCACCATCATTGGTGATGACTACTTCTCCAGTACCGGTTTGAATCTTTGTACTCTGTCAGCGATGACAGCGCGGTAATATTTATCAAGCGCACCATTTTGTCCATTCCCTTCGGCCCCAAACTGGTTCGCACAGCATCGGCGACGGCTACAAGCTAGTCAGTACACATCCCCATGCTCCCTGGCATACTGCATACCCTTAGCAGCGTTCATATTCGACAGTCGAACTTCCTGGCCCCTTCCCTGCAGTCAAAGTCAGCACGCGCCCCTCCCGACGATATCTGACTGACCTTGTCGGTGAAGGAGCTGTCTGAGATGGAGGCGCCGGGGCCTACAGAGTGTCCTGAAGCCATTTTAGGGGATATTTTGAGGATATGGGGGTTGTTGGAATACCATCGAAGTCATAGAACCACACCGTGTCGCGCGTCCGGAGAAAAGCAGGAAAAGCAGGAAATAATAATCACCGCCTTCCTTCGTCACGACATTCACTCATCTCTTTCATCTCGCGGCAACGTCAACAACAACCACAAACACATCCATCCACCGCCATGCCCAAAGCCAAGCAGCCTATCGAGTCCGAATCAGAAAGTGAAGGCAGTCAGGAGGAAGAGTACGAGGTGGAGGCGATCCTGGGGCACAGAAAGACCAGAGGCGTGAGTACAATACGCGTCGGCGCGACCCGAGACTGATTGTATCATGAAGAACAAACTGGAATGTACGGGACTACATCATGCTGATGGGTACAACTGACACAAAACAGACCATGTATCCTGGAAGAACTACGGACCTAACCACAACTCTTGGGAGCCCGAGGCCAACGTGTAAGTTTGTTATCTTTTGATGTGGCCTTCATCTGATTTTTGCTTCAGGATCCATGCGGAAGAATTGCTCAAAATATATTGGGACACGCAAAAGAAAGCAGAGTCGAAAGAACCGGAGCTGGCCCCCAAGAAACGCGGCCGTCCCTCAAAAGACAGCGTCCGTGCCAGCTCATCCCGCCTCTCCTCATCCTTGGTAGCAAGAGAGGACAACGAGCAGCCAGCCCCAAAACGTCCACGGACATCAGCTGTCAATGGCCGCAAGCGGACAATCAAGGATTCATCCGAAGAGCCGGAGGAGGAGGAACCTGCGGCCAACGATCCCGAATATGTCGACGAGTACACCGCATACATGAAAATGAAGGACTGGGAGAACGTTGTCGAGTCGGTGGATACGATAGACATGGATGATGACGGCAAGATCATCGTGTTGGTCACCATGTGCGTCTTTCAACTACATCATAGTTGGAACTTGAGCTGATGCAAGCGATAGGACGAAGGGGACGAAATCGGTCATACCGCGCGACCTAGCGTACGAGCGGTTCCCCTACAAGGTGCTCAAGTTCTACGAAAGTCATCTCAAGTTTGTATCTTGCACAGCATCCCGCCGGTAGGAACAAGCTGACTTGGTGATAGATGGAGCACCACGACTGAAGATGTCTGAATACCTTGATTTTCCGGTGATTGGGGTGTGATGAGGGGTTTTTTTTTTTCGGCTGGCTTGGATATGTATCGTAGATTGTACTACAAGCATAACGGTTGGCGTGTTGTGCAGGTCATTGGGGTGCAGAAGAAAGGGACGTGGACACAATGACTCGCATAGCGCATGACATCTCATTGACCATTCCAGTCCATCGTCTTTTCGGCTCGGCAAAAGTCACGAGTTGTCTCACTGGTATGTCTTTAAATCATCTTACTCATCTCATTGTATGCTGATTCTACGAATTCTAGCATCTCACATCTCTGCAAGACGGAACGGAATTACAAGATGAAGTATGACCTACCTTCTCTTGTGGCCCATCGCATTTCTCCTCCCATATTGGCGCCCGAAAGACCGACATCAGAATCTGATACTTGCCCGCCGCCAAGTGCACGTCTCCCTGCCTCGCAAATCACCAACTTCAAGGCTGCATTATTCTTACAACTGGATATCGTATCGTTACCCGTCACTTTTTCCCCATGTCAAAATTCGCAAAATTGCCACACTCATTGGCATCACACGCTCCCAAACCTGGTCTCATTCAACAAACCCGGTTCCTCACCTGATGGCCATCGAAAAAGTCTGCGAGCTGATCGATAGCTTGGATACACACGTCTACTTGCGCTTCGACCGTGCTGCCTCCGCTGTTTCTGGTCAGCTACAAATCTTTCTCGCACAATTCTGGAAATCGCTCACATATGGGGAGTCCCAATAAAGTTTGGAAGGTCGAGAAGCCCATTGGATTGGTCTTTCTGAATGGGCTCGGAAGCGAACACATCAGAAGCTGCCGCCCAAAGCTTTCTCCCATTCCCATCCTCTTTCTCCTCCAAAACGAGCTCAGGCTTACTCAACTCCTCCTTCAGCGCAACCTCATCGACCACCGCACCCCTCGACATGTTGACCATCACACTTCCCGGCTTCATCCACCTCAACTCTTGGGTACTGATCATGTTGCGGGTGGCGTCGGTCAGAGGGCAGTGGAGGGTCAGGATGTCGACGAGGGGGAGGAGGCTGGCGAGAGATGAATGTCGGGTGTGGGGTAGGGGTCCGGAAGGGTCTGAGGTGGACCATCGGGTGTATGGAGAGGTTGGCGAGAAGATGTGGATCTCACAATCAAATGCGTGCTGATATGAACCTTCATTAGCTTTTCCCGACTATATTTTCGCAAGAAGACGTACGTGGAATATATCAGCAGCCCGTCTAGCCGTAGCGCCCATACCGACCATGCCTACCTTCTTTCCCCTCAATGTTCGGCCGAGGTTGTCGATACTCAACATCATCTCCCCTTGGCGGAGGCGTCGGTCGAGCTCGGGTACGCGGCGGAGAAGGGCAAGGGTGAGGGACAGAGTCAGTTCGGCGACCACTTGGGAGTTTGCGCCGGGGCAGTCTGGACTCCACGTAAGCTTGGTCAAACAAGTTTTTGGAAGAGAGCTCACTCATGACAGTGATACAGCGCTCTTTGCAGCACTCAATATCAATACTATCATACCCAACTCCAACAATCCCAATGCCCATCATCTTATTCTTCCCCTTCCCCGCCTCCAACTGCTCACGTCCAATCCTGGCAGCCCTGCTCACTACACCATCTGCCCGCGCCCACCCTTCCTCCGCATCAACCTCATGCGACGCGAGAACTTTAGCAAAGCGGGTACGGGCGTAAGCCAAGGCTTGGGGATGGATAGGGGTGGGGATGAATACGGTGGCTTGGGCGGCTGGGAGGAGGGATGAGGAGGGTTCGGGTGGCGGGGTGGGGAGGTAGGGCGAGTATGCAGAGGGAGGGGTCGGGTTGGAGGGGTGGGTGGAGACTTGGAGTCGGGCGAGGTCTTGGGGGATCATAGCGAGTGGTGAATTGTGAGTTGTGACTTTTTGGGGTGCTGAGCAGGGGTATAGGAAGAAAGCTGATTCTGCTACAGTGGCTACATTTCCCCTGGGTCATATATAGTCCTCAACAGCGCCTTCCTTTTCGTATCTCACGGAAGACTATGCAGAGGATACCCGTCTTATCCGTCCACCCATTATCGTCTATCATCCACTTGGTCTCAATGAACATTGGAGGGCCCGATAACGGCCGCTTTTTGGAGAAGAATGGAGAGCGGGCGGTTATGGGGCCGCAATGGGCAATCTTTTGAGCGAGATGGAGGCGGGAAGGGAGAAAGGAGTTGAGATAACGAGGTGGCAACAGATGAGTGTCGAGTTTTATTGATGTGCGGGCAGGGCGAAGACTTGCGAGTGCGATCTTGTGAATGGTGATCCTATTGCGCCTGAGTGTGGCACAGATGCATGGCGACTAGTATTCTCCAAACCCTCTGATCAGTCAATAGCCGAACTACAGACACATCGTCAGATTTCGCTCTTTTGTGCTTCATGCCATCTCTTGCAGACAGGACTCGAGGTAAGAGTATCAGAACTCACAGGATACGTTCCCATGGGATCCACAACTCTTCGGAGTATGTCAGGAAGGATCTGAAGAAGAAGCTTGACGTACCCGCCGTATCCACTAGCACATCACAATGGAAATTAGCGCACATGCAAGAAGAACTCGTGTGAATGATACCCACCGATATCCCATTCCAAAGCTTCCATACATACTACACCATTGTGAGCTTCTCAGACTTTGAGAAGAAGACGAGAGCTTACCCTCCTCCGGGACACCAATTAGACATCTAGTGTCAACCAACGTTAGCTTTGCGTGCTTCTTGCCGCCTCATGAGAAACAACTCACCCCATGACCGCCCATCATCATACCATTGCTGGGCACATATCCGATATTGGGGTGATACCTCCCAATGTACATTGGTCCCAAGCCCATGCCGGGATAGGATGGCCGCAAGTACGCCCCGCCTAGATAGTACCTTTCTGGCTTGGTCATCACCGTAGTGGGCGCCGGCTGCTGCTGGGTGTTGGGCACCATCTGGGAGGGCAGATGGTGTGCGAGCATATTGAGTTGGTGCTGGGCGTAGTCCATTGAGGCCGAAGATTCTAAAAAGAAGCAATAGCGTGAAAAGAAGAGGAAAGGGACGACCGAATTCAGGCTGAGTTTGCTCTCGGCTTTCGGCTTCCGTGTGACCGGCAAAAATAAGTGATCACGACGTCTACCTTGGCTTTGTTGTTGTAGTGGGCGTCGCTGGGGAGGGTACATGGCTGGCGAGAAGATCGTGTTGGTGTTAGGGATAGCTCACGGAGACGTGCGAATGCTTGGAGAAGCATCTGACGACGATGGAGAGGATTTCGCTCTTGGCTTCTGCAGCAGCGCTATGCTCGATCATGACACGACTTGCTCTATCTCCTGTCTCATCTGCAGCTTTTCATATCGAGACAAGACAGTCCTCTGAGGATGAACTTTGCCTTGCAGCATATTGGCATGTGCACATATGGCTGGTTGTGTCTGGTGCAGAGGTGTTGTTTCTGCAACACGACGACGCGTCGACGCGACGAAGCCCCAGGCCTAACAACACGAGAAAACACAGGGCTGTGGGGATCTTCTTTCTCTCATTCGTCCCCCAGCACCCCGCCTTGACGACGACTCTCGATGCCCGGCTTTTGCTCTTACCTGTTGCCCTGATACGTTCACATCTTGGGACCCCATCGACAAGCTCTTGTACACAATGGCCGGCCACACGAACGACATCATAGAGGTAGCAGTCAGCGCTGTAGCAGCCAATGACGGAAGCGGTGTCCCACCACTGCTGTGCCAGGTCCTCTACCTGGGAAGAGAAAGCATGAAGTACGTCGCCTCCTACACACCCGAGTCGAGCCTCTGACTTCGAGCTTTAGACACTCTCCAGGTGGCGGTCGTCGAAGATACGTTCAACCCCTTCATACTCCGTGAGTCCTGTTTCGTTGACACCCTACCCCTTCCTTCTGTTCTAGGTTCCTGCTGACAAACTTACCAGCTCTTCGTACTTTTTCCTGTCAGCTGTCATCTTGCATCCGAATTCGCTTGACTATGACTTTAGCTGCTATCTGGACGGTGACGTTCGTGTCTCTGGCGGTCCCTGTCCAAACATGTTACTAGTGAGTTCCCGCAATGAGGCGCAGCGACGCAGCTGGTGCTTACGAGAAGCCCCCATACTTCCCCAAGCAATCCCCTCTCCACCCACTCGCCACATCCTTCGTTTCATTCTACACCCCAGCTGCACACTCCCGCCATCCATCGATAGGTCGGGCTCCGGGCGTGCGCCAAGTGGATAAGCGACCGACTTGCCGATAGTGGCCTGACCGACGTCGAAAGGCAAGAGGGAGAAGATGTCATGAGGGCCCACAGACAACGCAGCCGAGGTTGGCCAGGTATGGGAACATGCATCTTAAAAGCTGCCATATCGAGTACTGACTTCATGCTACAGCTATGGTGCCTCTGAACATGACCATGTCCCACATTTACCATTGTCATTACCAGTAAGAACCCACTCCTTTGGTGGCTACTTGGCTGCATCACTGACAATCTCATCAGTCCGCCCGAAACCTTCGACAGCTTCGTTAATCATCAACGAGCTGGGTCTGATCCTTGGGATCAGTCTGTTCCAGACAGGATACCTCTTCAAGGCTTACTTCACCTCAGACAGGATTGACCAGCATCCGCTCCCGAGCCTAGTCGGCCTATGCCCGACCTGCTGGAATGGTACGCTTTGCTGGCAACGGTCCTCTGGACCGGTGTCTAAACCGTTCCTGCTTGGATGGGAAGTGTCAACGATGGCTGGCTAGGGTGGAAGGTGATGCCGAGTTGACTGACGAGGTGCAGAGGCAATGCCGCCAAGCCCATAGAAAGCAGAGCCAGTGTTGGCAAGGTACGTCTTGTTGTCACTTGATTGTCATCACATGGTTCGCTGACCTTGTCTTCCAGCTCTGAGACAGGCATCACTCCTCGGGCGCAATCTCTCCCCTTCCACGCGCATATGCGTTCAAACAATCAAACGCTACCCGCTTTCTAGCCTCGTCCCCTTCACATTATCGATACGGACCCTCCCTCCTCTGTCTTCACCGCCGATACTGTCCTTGGGCATTCCCGGCTGGCTGCTGCGGCTGTAGTTTCTGTTAAGGATCAATGCAAAGCTCTGGTAGGGATCCCGAGTCACTTGGCGTCCTGCGGAGAGGCCTTCGACCAGCGCCTCTGCCACGCGTTCGAACCGGGGGTACTGCAGCACCCTTGCCCAGGCCTCAGCAAGAACATGAGGAAGGCGGAGAGGAAGGTGGATAGGCATACGTGAGTAAGTCTCTGTATGCTCGAGGCGGAGAGCCGGGGTGAAATGTTACTGTGCTGATGCGATCCACTGTAAGGGACCAAGCGCGGGATGAAGCGTGGGAAACGGACTCTTCCGAAGAAGGAGATGGGGACCAAAAACAGTAAGGGCTGGGGACGAAAAAGGGTTGTCGTGCATATGAGGAAGGTGTGGAATTTACAGAGGCGACCTACCATGAATTGTGTTTGCATACTCTCCAAGATGAACAAAAGATGCAGTAGAGGAGGAAGTATGATCAGATCTCGGCTTCTTCCATCTGAGTGGGCTCGCTCATAGAGTAAACCAGATACTGGGTCGCTGAAAGTCGCATCACACTGGTAAGTAAGTAGACTATTTTGCACCCGAAATTTCAGAAAGGACGCAAACAACACCCTTGTCGTTGTCATCTCGGTAACTGTTCATGCATGATCTGATAGAGCCATCTACTTCCACTCGAATGTCAAGGCAGGCATACTCCATCTGACACTTCATTCCTTTGAGTTGCTGATGCCTTCAGCCCCCATTGGATGAGTCGGAGAGTTGATGACGATATGTTTCAGAGCGGCTAGTCTCGTCTCTACCTCAGACATGAAAGCGTCCGTCTGTCTCTCTGACAGAGAGGGGAAGCGTTTCTCTACCTCTTCCTTCAAGCTCCTTCCATTCGCCCAAGTCACTCGAGAGCACCACTCCTCGTCGAGAAGGGTACTATGAGCAGCCTTGGACTCGCCTTCGAGATAGTTGAATGTTCCTCGAGATCCCTTGGGCCCAATGAAAGCTGGGATTTTGATGGTGTAGCTTTCAGTTTGCTGGTTATAGTTCCAGTATAGTGATGTCTGTGTACCCCGGATGATGGATGAAAAGAACGGATTGGAGGGGTCCGGGGGGCCTTCGGTGAAGGGCGCGCTTGGGTCGGCGTAAGACCGGGCGAGGACAGTTTCTTCGTTGCGATTAGACATGTCTTGCAAATGTATTGGGATTGAGGAGTCCGTTCCGTGAGTGGGGTAGTGAGATGATGAAGAGTCAACTGAAGGGTGGATGATAGCCCAGAAGGAAGAGCTGCGCTGCCTTATATACGCGGGGAGATTGATACAACACTGTTCTGAAGAGTAAGGGTGACCATTAGCCGTGCTGTTCATCCTTTACTCTGCTGTCACCGCGTATCCTTTCAGCACGTATCCAGACCTGAAAAGAACAGAAAGTCCGCCAATTTATACCACCACATATAATTGATAGACCCAAGAATAGGTCCGTTGATTCATGGCTGTCGAGGCAGCATTAAAGAAAGGAGCTCTCATTTGGGACATAGGAGCGTTAAGCGGACGTCGTCGGACTCACGGAGTCATGAGTAGGATGTAAACACCGGTTGAAGGGAGAAACCATAGCATCCTTGCAAAAGTATTTTAGGGGTCAGACTTCCGTAGGGATACAGCTGCTGTGATTCTCAGTAGTGAATTGAGCCTTTGATGATCTATTGAAAGGAGAATCATGCCAATTCTTCCAAAAATGGGGGGGGGGAACGTATATCAGTATCAGACATGTGCCATCAACAGATCCCGCACCAAATAGACAACATGTCAGGGTGTTGGCCGACGAGCGGCGGGACCCGTAACGCAGAGAGTCAAGCGTTGAAAGATGGCAGATCATAGTATACATATTAACATGTGGAGGGCGCCTCGGCCTTGAGCTTCCACGACTCCATAGTGGTGTAAGCACTTGCCAAATATGCCGCGGTGGGGATCGTCATATGCGAGGAAGATGTCCACAAATCTGAGACAGTCGTCAGTGGTAGCTCGAGATGCTGATACCAATAAGACACTCACTTCTCCACCATGAAGTGGAACCCCTCAGCACATGCACCGGGATCGAGCGCTGCGGCTCGGCTTCTCGCTTGAGCCTCAGCGCTGACACCTTCTCCGGTACCCAGCCTCTCATCCAGGTTGATATCACGACCAGAGAAGACCCCCACGATAGGATTCATGGCGTCGGCGGGGTTGAGGGTGACGAACAAGCTAGGCATGCCAGAGTGGCGAAGAAGGGCTCTGAGCTCTTCCCGCATGTCTTTGTGGCTTCCAGCAGAGCCGAAGATGTTGGTAGACATGATGTTCAGCTTCCGAAGCAAGGTCACAGCGGCTCTCTCCTGCTCTGATTCCGGAACGAAACGGACCCCGGGCTTGAGCTTGCCTTGCATGGATGCGAGGGTGTCAACGTCAACCCTTTTCAGGAGAGGGACAAAGTTCTGAGAATGAAGCTCCGATATATTCACGCTAACACAGCTTCATTCTTTTTCATTTTCGTGTATCTGCGTAAGGAATATTTCCGTTCAGGTTAGCGATAAGAATGAAGAAGAATAGGCTATAGATGAAAGGAAGATCCTCAAAGCTACCACAGCCGTAGGGGAAGAGGCGAGGGTAGAGGGCTGCAAACGTTGTTGGTGCCGAGTATTCTTGCATGGGCGTTGACCCGGAAGGATACGCCAAAAACTGAGCGCCCCCCTTGATAGCTGCCAGAGCGGACACTTTGCGCAGGTCGACATGATGACCAGAGCTGTTGCTGTCAACACAACCAGAGACGTCCACCATGACGTCTTCCGATGGCTGAGAAGCGTCAGACGATTGAGAAGGAGTTGTGGCAGGAGGGACATATCCAGCACCTTCGGCTTCGGTGGAAGCGGAGGCGAGAGAATTGAAGCAAGGCATTGGCAGGTGCCCGTCCTCCGGGTAGGAAGTCAACGCATTACCATCAATGGAGACATCACTATAGAGAGGGTTGTTCTCTTTCAACCACTGGAGAGCAGCGATTATCTTGTCCCGGCGGACGGTGAGTAGCTTCTTGGGGATCTTGTCAACGGTGAGAGGCTCTGCTTGGCTGGCAACCCAGATGACAACGATCTCGTTCGCGATCACAGAAGCTGGGAGAGGGAGTAATCTCAACAGCTCGGACGCAGCCTGGGGTAGTATGACAACGTTGCCTTTTGATTGATGAGAGCCGTGACCTTTGATCTTGACACAGCAGCGACTCGCCCTGGCCCTAGCTATGCAGACCGTTTCCACCCACGTGAGGCCAGCCAGCACGGCAGGGATATCGCCGAGGAACATGCCATTAGCACGTGAGAGAGAGGGGACCTTGGTGAAGGCATGGGAGAAGGAAGGGTCGGCGGACTTGTCCTCAGCAATGCAAGCAGAGCACTTTCAACAGAAGTGTGCCCAGTCGTCGATGATAGCAGAGGAGTCGAGGACATGGGAAGGAATGAAGGGTGACGAGCATTGCCACGCGTCTTGAAGGATGTCGACTCTCAGGCCTGGCACGAAGATTTGTTGCGTATTTGCCCTCGAGCACTGCTCCGAGCAAGCAGCACAAACGACTTGTCCGAGCTCTTCAACCGAAGTGGCGTTTCGATATGAATTGATCTTGTTGATGCTGTGGTCGAGAGATAACTCCTGAGGCCATTGGGCATGATCGAAATTGTGGAGACACTTTCAAGAGGATCAGTGAGTGAAGGGGCGAATCTATGAGAAGGGAAGGAGGTGGCACTCACGGTGCGAGACTCCTGAAGAACATCCCTCGGTTGAAGGACATATGGCTGCCCGTGGGCTTCATCCTCTTCTTCTTCATCGCCGCCCCCGTTGCCCATAACACCCGCACGGTCCCCTTCTTCATCATACTGGAGGTCAAACCGTCAGCGATGGAAAGAGGGGAATGACTGAAGGCGAACCTGTATCTCCTGATTGCGCCGGTTCTAGGACACACAAGTCAATAAGGACGACAGAAGGGCACAAATGATATAGCACTCACCCTTCTATGTGGACGATGATGGTCTTGAGAATCATCAAGCATGTGGTGTCGTCGTTTTCGAGGATTTGGACCAGAAGACAGCGGAGGATCCGGGTGTCCCGGAGAGCGGTCGGGAGTGCTACTAGGTCGTGACTGTTGGCCTAATGTCAGTCACTGTCGTCAATTCATAGACACAGGGGAATAGAGGCTACGGACAGGACCAGGAGCCGCTTGAGAGGGATTGCCGTTCGACTGACGACAGCTAGAAGAGTTAACGTTCAGGCCAGAGTTCAGGATAACAGGACGATTCAGGACAGCAGGATTTTGTACAGGAGGAGCAGGATAAACAGGATTCATAGGAGGCAGGTTGTCTGGAAACCAGCGAGTGGAGTCTAAGTTCGCAGCCTGAAACTGACGTCGATCGAGGTGGCATTCAGGAGTGCACGTGTGACCTGCAGCCAAATGCTGAAAGGCGTGGGCACCTCTGGGGCCTTTGTAAGTCGAGGTGTTCAATACGGGGAGAGGGGGGAAACGGTGGCAAGCGGTGGCAAGCGGCGAAGTCCTTGAGAGATCGGAAGGCGGGAGGGTCGTCTGCCAAGGTGGCGATGAGAAAAGCGAAGGCTTCGGGATGGAAGGGGAAGGACATGATGGGGAGGTGTGGCGGAACAGGCAGAGCAGTGCAGATGAAGATGACAAGCAGGGAGCAAGGGGCCAACAACTTGAAGGGGCAGCAGCGAGCAGAGAAGAGTGACGGCGGCCGAGCAGGAACGTGACGTGTGAAAAAGGGCAATGATTGATACTGAACGCAACGTGCGTTTGATTCCGCCCCCTACGCTTTTTCTGGGTGGGAGAAAACAGCTGATAAGACCCTAACTGCGTTACGGGAACCTACCGAACTTGACAATTCGGCAAAGTTGAAAGATAAAGACAGCAACGGCGATAGTAGAGAAAGAAACCATGGAACAGTACCTCCAGAACCTTAGGCAACAGTCCGAGTCCTACCCCGCTTCCTCCGCCGGAACAGCAAGTAGTAGGGAGCAGCGTGGTCCATCAACGCCTGCGGAGACGGCCACCGGAGAGTGTATCACAATCCGCTTCAACAATCAGCAAACGGGCAGTACCACCACCCCTGGATTTCTCCCACTCTACCCTCCCCGCTCTCGACAGCAATCCGGTGAATCTGGATACGTTTGGAGCGTTGGTATCACTCGTGAAGGAGGTAGATCTGTCACGGATGATAGACAGAAGATTCCGTTGAGTTCTGCGATTGAAGAGTGGCTGGAACCGGCCGATCAGGGAAGGCGAGATACGTTGAACTATTTGATTGAAATTGATTTGCAGAAATCTTTCGCTACTGGTCAGCAAGATTTTGACCATACCGCTCAGAATGATAGGGGTCAATGAGATGCAGAGACCTCTTCTAGTCGTCAGTAGATTTGGGAATGAGAATGAATAAAGAGTATGAAGAGGAGCATCATTTTCAGATCTACGAAAGCCGCTTTGATTTCTGCTAGCGGTCGAAGAAGCGCCGAGCGTCCTGAGGCCGATATGTTACGGTAAAACGATTCAGTCAAGTTGCTGCTTCCCTACGCTCTCCTACAACAGGAGGCATTCAGCGTCAATGTCGTGTCATCATCTACAGAAATAACAATCACGTCTTTTTCAAAAAGCGATATACGAAAGTCGGTTGTTCGGCAACGTCAGGCATACGAGGAATCTGAGTCTCAATTGATGTTAGACTGATATTCTCCGTCATGGAGGTATAGTTGCAAGGAATTATCAGTGAGGGGGACCCATAGAGGTACGGCTTCGCCCGTAAAGAGCAACCTCGCACTTCTGGAAAGAGGACGCATCACGATGACTGGGGGCAAAGCCGAAGCAGGAGAGCCAGGAGAGGATAGGAACGAGAGTGCAAAAGGCTCTGTCGGAGGTGATCAATGAGAAGGACCTTCTGGCTATTGGGATAACGGTGTTCGAGGGCGAAATGGAGGCTGATTGGCAACTATCCCATGCCCTCTTTGCCTTCGCCGAGCAAGTGCGGGGGCGGAGAAGACCGCCGTCAGCCAACCAAACAACTACGAAACAGGTGTTTTGATCCATTCTGCAACGCCTGATACCATTCCTCCTCACCTGTTCATCAACCACACCTCATCAGCCCTAGCGTCCCGAGCCCCAGAATCGTCCCCTCCTCCTTGGCCTCCCCCTACGTCAGCACGCACGCGCTCACGCTCTTCTGCAGCACCTTTCATCGAATCATGACGACGTCCTTGACCACCGCTCTGCCTGCCAGAGTCCGCGATTGCATCACTATCATATGGAGAATGACTCTTGCACCGTATATCACCCAACCTTTCGAAGAATGGGGCGCAGATGTGAATGGGCGGCGGTGCGAAGGGTGGTTGGCCGTCAAGCGCGCGGACCTATCGTGGAGCGAGGAGCGAGATCTTGAAGCTGTGAGGCGGCTGGAGGCGCATCGGAGCCAGAGTCGAGGGGGAATAGGTGAGTCTGACCATCTTGATCCAGGCCTTCCGTCTCGAGTGATACTCTGACTGATTCCGGACTCTAGCTATTCTTCAGCTGTTTCTCTTAGCTTCCACTATAGTCAGAATCTTCGGGGGGTGAGTCTGGATCAAACCCCCCCGTCGTCGCAACTTCAGGTCTAGGGGGTAGTAAAATGGAATTATAAGATAAAATCAGTGACTAGTATAAAAAATAAACAATAATCTATGACAAATATACCGACATTTTTGGACTAACATAGAGCACTTTATAGTCTTGATACACCGCTCGAGCGCTGGATCTTTCTGATTGCTGACATTACTACCAGCTGCACACGGCCGACCATAACCATACTCTCCATTAACATCACCCTTGCCCTCACCACTAGACGGGCGGGCATTTTCTCGATTTACCTGCGTTGGGAAGCAGATATCATAGATCCTCTTCCTCTTCTTTGCGGGCAGGCCGTGGCACTCGTTGGTGCGGTGCTGACTATTGCTTGGTTCTTGGCACTGGCGATTCTGGGTATTGTCGGTGAATTGTGATCGGTGAGTGTTGAGCGACTATCCGGAGATAGAAGTCGGAGAGTAACGGTTGCTGACGAGACACCCTCTAGAGTTACTTCCCTCAGTCCCCTTATTATACTCGCCATCATGTAAAATAACAACACCATCGGCATGAGGCCATATACGAACCCCAGCACATGCATGTTCTCATACTATCACTATCGCCAAAGACCTCGCTTACAGGAACGCCGCTTCGGACGCAACATCTACGCAAGTCAGCCTCTCCTCCTCCGACTCGCCGCGCATTCCTCTGCTCCATGTTATATTGTCGAGGTGATACAATTTTGTAGACTTCTTATCTCCCTCCCTTTACCCTCTTGAAGCCTCAGTCTCAGCTTCATGACCCTGCGGGGCGAAGAGCAGATGTTTGAGAAGGGAGAGCAGCGATATCGTCGTGCGGTATCGGTCAGTCTTGGATATTGCTACTGGCTCTCGAAGCGGTCTTGACGATACTGTGGAATTGTGCTTTTGTGCCGCCGATACGTAACTGATGATAGTTTCCATCTGGGCGGAGGAGGCTGGCGACTAGGGATGAATGCTGACGAGGAGACATTCATAGCCACTAGTTACCCTGGCGTCATCCTCACCAGCGTCATTTGTCCCCATATCCCGAGCCTTGTACGATAGCAACACCATCAACATGTGGCCATACACGAAGCCCAACATATGCATGCTTTGTATCATCACTGCAATCGAAGATGTCTACATTAAAGATTCATTCAGGGGTATAAAAAGACAGAAACGTGTACCAAGATTCCTCCTCTCCCTCGACCATCTCTCCCCCTCATCGCCGTCTCCCGTCTATCTCAAACTCTCCTCGGTCTGATAAACAGGCGGCGGGCTCACATCTCCCTCCCTCGCCAACGCCTCCGCCTCGGTACCAACAGGCGGCACAGGCAACCTCCTCACCCCCTGATACTCTTCCTCCCCATACCCAGCCCCAGCCCCGGCCGAAGAAGGCCCACCAGCACCATGCCCCGCGATCCCAGCCGAACTCACGGAAGAAGGCGACGTGATATCATCATTCGGCCCCAAACTCGTCTTTGGCTTGCCCCGCCTGAAAGCGGCTTTTGAGATCTTGCCCCCGCTCGCTGAGGGGATCGCTTGCCCGGGAAAGTATTGTCGGGGACTGGTGACCACCGAAGGCGGTGTTTGCCCCGTAGGAGTCTGGCCTGGGGGAGTCACGCTCTGAGCAGGTGGGGGGATGGCGAGTTCTTCGCCTTCGGGGGTGTAGTCGGGTACCGGCGGGATCTGAGTGACGGCCTCGGGTTGAGGTGAAGCCATAGGGGTGTGGAAGGCGTCCGAATGACCTTGGCTGGGGGTGGGTGTACCGCCGCTGCGGGTGTTCCATGCCGAAGGCGGAGGGGCGAGTTCGCTGCTCACAGGCGAAATATTATCATGCGGGTTGGGCAAGGCGGGCGCGGGATCGTATACCTGTGAAGCAGCGGGTTGTTGATATGTGTGCGAGGGACCGTCGTGGAGGGAACGAGAAGCGTGGTCGGGCGTCTCTTGGCGAGAGAGCTTGAGAGGTTCCCAAGGCGCGCCCGCAGAGATCTGAGGCGCAGGGCGCGAGTCGCTAGGGACGGGAGGAAGTACGGCACCCGACGCAGCGGCAGAATCTTCTGCTTCAGCCTGCGTTCGCCAGGCCGCTTCTTCAGCTTCGAGCTTGCGCCACGCATCATCCGCCTCCATTGCCTTTTGCTGCTCGTATTCGTACCCATGCTCCACTTCGCCTTGACCTGAAGTCTCAGCATCTCTGTCCACCGCGGGTGAAGAGACAGCAGGAGGGATGGGAGCCACAAAGTGGGTGGGCTGGTCGTGGTGGGGCGAGTCAAAGACGACTTGGCGCGTACCGCCAAACTCGTCATACGGGTTCGCGCTCCCAGCATGTTCGTACGGGTTCGTCTCAATCCCGCCATACGGATCCGCATTATCCAACGCATAAGTCGCTTCCCTCTCTCTGCCCTGCCCAACGCCGGGAATGTCGCCCAAGTAGTCGCGGGGAGGACTGTGGGGAGAGTTGGCGGGATAGTCACCATAGTCTGCGGCAGCGGCGATACCGCGTTCGTGCTCGTCGTGGTTCGAGTCTGAATGGGGTAGGGTAGGCGTACGGAGAGGAGCAGCAAAGCCTGGCTGGGGAAGACCGGGTGGTTTGGGCTTGTGGCTTGCTGCGTGGAATTCTACCGTCGCGAGCTGCCTCGTTATCAGCTTCCTGCCTGCAACAAGAATGAGTGGGGGACGTACGCATTTGGTAGCTTCATTGACGGCACTCTCAGTCTTATCGTACCCCGTATAAGGCGCGCGGCCGTATCCCGTCGGCGTCTCTTCCAAGGGCACTTCTTCGAGCAAGAGTTTACCGAGTTCACCGATGATGCACATCTTTTCGCCGAGCTCTTCCAGCCCGCCAAACTTGTAGGAGAGTGCTTCCTTGATCGCCCTGCATTCGAGATTAGCGATGAACAAAAGAGCAAGAGGAGAGACTGACTGTCGCTTGAAATCACCCATCTTGGTCTCTTCCGTCAAGATATCCTGATCCAACTGCCTAATCTCCTGCCTCAACCTCTCCAACAGATCGGTCTGCTGCGGCAACGCCTTATTCTCCGGCCCCATCTTGCTCAATTTCCTCTCCGCCCCCTCCGCCTTTGTCCCCGTCGTCTTTCTCCTCGACTTGAGCTCCATCAGTCCCTCCTCCCTCTCTCGTACTTTTTTGAGGGAGGCGCGCATATTGGCGGTGTGTCCGGAGAAGGTGGTGAGGGCGGTGGTGAGGTGGTTGAGGAGGGTGGATGATTGGGTGAGGATGTCTTGCAGGTCGGGGCCTTCTTGTTGGCCGTAGGGCGGGAGGGCAGAGGAGGCTTTGGCGGTTTCGCTGGAGAGTTTTTCTGTACCCGCCAATACGCCCTTTTCCGATGAAATGATGCTATTCCCAAATCAGCTTTTGTCCACCGTCCACCGTCCACCAAAAACGCAACCTCGTGTCGCTCGCCACTATCCACCTCAAGGGAGAAAAGACTCACTCTTGCAACAGCCTCAAATCCTTATGCCCCAATGAAGGCAACAACCGATTATGCGCCAACTTGCCCTGCAACTTTTGTCCAAACCCATCAAACCCTGCTCCGCCATGCGACTCGCGGACCAGCGACGCCTCATCTTCGTACCCTGACGAATTGTGTTCACCGGGGGAGGAGGGGCGGTCGACGCCGGATACTTTGCGACCAAAGCCTGCGAGGGAGAATTTGCCGCTGGGGCCTCTTAGGGACATTGGTGTACGGGATATAGGGGTGAATGGGAAAAGATAGAGGAGATGGGCGGGCAACACGTCATTTGTTTACGCCGCAATGCGGTGTTTTTTGATCCCGCTAGATCTGGGTGGTGGGTGGCGCTTTCGGGATGTTGATTGATGCTCGGGGGCGTTCGGAGAGGGGCAGTCCCCATGGGTGGGAGAATTATGAACGTTCTGGATTATCTATAGTAGCATGGTTTGTCTGGGCCTCCCTGGACGGGCACTGTACCAACAGCAACGCCTCCAATACGCACATCGCTTTCCTCCGGTCTCTGCGCCTTCTCCCTCCTTCTCCGCCGACCGGGCCATCTGACCCTCACTCGTCCTTAACGTTTGTAAATACGCCAGTGAAGGATATGAGCATGGTGAGTCCATGCAACCCCTTCCGTCGCGAGTAACAAGCTGATGGGAATCTGGAGATTGATAGTTGAAGACAAAGGAAGAGCTCTATGCGGAGTTGTTGGGGTTTATGGGAGCGGCGAGTAGGGAGAAAGTTCGAATGGTCATTGGGGAGTATTCCTGCCACGAACGTCAGATGTGAAAGGCAGATAGAAACTGACTAGAAAGGGGAGAGAAGAGTACACCTTCTGACCTCACGACGACGGTAAGAGACGGAAGAGTCATCGAGTCAGCTTTCTCTTTGATACATTGCACACTGGCATTGTATATGCATACATGCTATGATAACTTTCTTTCCTCTATCCTATCTCGTCAACTCTTGTGCTGGGAATCATTTTCCCAATCCTGATACCACCATTCCTCAGCTAGAGATTGATTGGACTTATCCACAGTCTGGAGTTGTGCAAACTCGGAAAATGTCCTCGATACCGTGTCTGGATCAGTCATGGTGTCTCTGTCAATCTTGAACGGGGTCGCTTCCACCCAGTACGAAATGATCTCCCCCTCTGGACTTATGTATCCTGGTACTACGGAAACGGCTTTCTCAAAGGTGTTCCTGTAGTCTTCATAGATACGGGCAGTCTCCATGGTCTTGCGCGTGACTGTTCCTACGACCATCTCGTTATCGTCGGGATCTCCCTTAGAACACCTAACGGCAGACACGCCACATCCTCCACAAAGAAAAGTAGATTTCCCGTCTTCAAACGTCACGAGCTGAACTGGGTCTCCAGGGGTAAGGGGTCTTCCTGACCCGACCCATTCACCCACCGAATTTTTGGGTGCCGAGAGGTCAAGGTGCATGGGACAGTAGCACATGTGACCAGTGTAAGCGTTGCTAAAGTTTCCGTGGCGGCTGTTGGGCGAGAAAGTAGACAAGTCGAGCGACATGGTTGCTGGGAGAAGAAATTAAGATGATGTTAATCTAGCTTAGCTGTTGCAGGTTGGCTTGAGGGAGAGAAGTGAAGAACACAATGCTGCATGTATATAGTTTCTGAGCTAGATCTGTCGGTCTTCAGAGTCGTAAATAGAATAGGCCGTCCGAGAACTTACTGTGACTGTAGCCATACTACACCTTGATTACTTCTTCCAACCCCGACGCGACCGCGAACTCCCAGGTGACTCCTGCTCCCTTGACGGGGCGGAAGGCGTTTGCTGGTGTTTTGTTTTTCCTTGCACCGCAAGAAGACAGTCTTTCGATTCATAAGAAACAAAGGCAAGTCCACATCTTTAGCTGGGCAGTACGGTAGATTGTCATGGTTAAAGGAGTCATCTGTGTAATTCGTTCATTCAAGTAGATGAAGTAGGTTAGTTGTGTGTTTGTGGACCGTGCTCCCCGTTTATATGTACACATATCAGAGTCTTCTTTCATAGTTTTTCTTCTTCATATGCGGTAATAACGAAAAGGTTTTTGCCCCTTATAACAAAACTCTCTTCAGCACGCCAAGGTCACTACCCAAGCGTGACATAGATGGTCAGTAACAGTGACTTGTGATTGTAAAAAGCATGAGAAGAGAAATGTATTCCCGACTAGAGACAGTTACGCAGACTGACAATGTGTATACCCAGAATAAAGGCCACCATGATAAAGACTGTGGTCCATAACGGTACAAGGACACGGCTAATCTTTGGAAAGATCGATTGGAAAGAAAGCCTCGATATGGTTCAGTCGTTCAACGTCAAGGCGGTCGGACCTGATGGTGAGAGAAGAGGATGCTCAGCAATGTTAACTAATCTTTCTCGTTAATACATTGCACACTAACATTGTATATGCATACATGCTATGATAACATTCTTTCCTCTATCCTATCTCGTCAACTCTTGTGCTTGGGAATCCTTTTCCCAATCCTGATACCACCATTCCTCAGCTAGAGATTGATTGGACTTATCCACAGTCTGGAGTTGTGCAAACTCGGAAAATGTCCTCGATACCGTGTCTGGATCAGTCATGGTGTCTCTGTCAATCTTGAACGGGGTCGCTTCCACCCAGAACGAAAGGATCTCCCCCTCTGGACTTATGTATCCTGGTACTACGGAAACGGCTTTCTCAAAGGTGTTCCTGTAGTCTTCATAGATACGGGCAGTCTCCATGGTCTTGCGCGTGACTGTTCCTACGACCATCTCGTTCTCGTCGGGATCTCCCTTGGAACACCTAACGGCAGACACGCCGCACCCTCCACAAAGAAAAGTAGAATTCCCGTCATCAAACGTCACGAGCTGGACCGCGCTCCCAGGGTCGAGGTGTTTCCCCGACCCGACCCATTCGCCCACCGAGCTTTTGGGTGCCGAGAGGTCAAGATGCATGGGACAGTAGCACATGTGACCAGTGTAAGCGTTGTTAAAGTTCCCGTAGCGGCTGTTGGGCGGGAATGTAGACAAGTCGAGCGACATGGTTGCTTTGAGAAGAAACTAAGATGACGTTAATCTAGCTTAGCTGTTGCAGGTATGCTTGAGGGAGAGATGTGAAGAACACAATGCTGCATGTATATAATTTCTGAGGTAGATCTGTCGGTTCTCAGAGTCGTCAATGGAATCACCTTTATTACTTCTTCCAACCCCGACGCGACCGCGAACTCCGAGATGACTCCTGCACCCTTGACGCGGCGGAAAGCGTTTGCTGAAAATGTGTTTTGAACTTGAAATCCTTATTCCTTGCACTGCAAGAGGACAGTCTTTCCATTCATAAGAAACGAAAGCAAATCCGCATCTTTCGCTGGGCAGTACGGTAGCTGGTCAGTAACAGTGACTTGTGATTGTTAAAAAACACGAGAAGAGGCATGTATTCCCGAATAGAGACAGCTACACAGACTGACAAGGGTGAAGTGTGTGATTGTTGACGGCTGGGGAAAAATAAATCAACACCTTTGGCATCTTACATCTTCTTCTCTCATATCCCACTCTTCCTCTCAGCTTTCGGAGGCAAGCAAACACCATGCTATCCCTCCGGGGCATTCCTACCCTCACCTCTCTTCTCCCCTCTTTCACACCCTTCCGACTCACTCGACCGGCCTTTGTACTCATCATCGCCCCTTCCACGACGCGTACGACAAGCATCACCTGTCGATACCTCACCACCCCCATCCCCCCACCGCCACCACCTCCCCACAACTCACAATCTGGAAAACCGCTCAAGTGTATCAGGAAGAGATGGCTGCTATCCGGTCTCAAGCTGATAAGAAGGTGATCATCTCTCATACTTGGATCTCATGGGTGGCGGCTGATGATATGTAGCTCAGGAAGACCAGATCAGTGACGTCTGGAGTATACGCCAGGTAAACCTCCTCCCACCCCTCCCAAAGTCCCAAGCCTGGATGACGACGTATACTGACGGTATTCGTTTTGTTGTTTTGAAAAGGACAGAGGAAGAAGTGTATGTCGACTTTCTGGAGAGAGTGTGGGTACTGTCAGCAAACAGAAACTACGCAAAGCCCTTGGTGAGTTTTACGCCCCCCGACTGTTGGCTCGTTGGAATGGTTCGAGCGCACAAACATGGAGCGGACCGAAGCTCGAATAATGGGCTGGGGGCCACTCGAAATTTCGATCCAGAGACGACGCTGGAGTACATGTTCGTGCCAAGGCTCAGCATCGTCTATCGGGCGATGATCTAAAAGACCGAAAGGTGTTTGAAGCGTTCATGGACGAAGCAGGCTTGGTCGGCGAAGCGAAGCGCGCAAAGTTCCGCGAGCTTTTCAAGTCTTTATACTACTGTGCGTCTGTCTTCAAGATGAAGAGTATGACCGAAGGAATGGGACATGGTTCTTTAGCAGTCTTGCCCTGGGCTCTTCGGGGCAGCAGGGAGTGGCGTTTGGATTGTTGATAGATATGACCGGTGCGATAATGCGCGGTGGATGGATCTGGATGAGATTATTGGTCGATAGATGTTTCCCGTATGCAAGTATCCTGTGCCCATTTGCGTTCATACACTACCCAAGGTCAGTGAGATAGGGCGCGTAAACTCGACTCGTCGGCAACTCGTCGGCCGCCGTCATGGTGAGTGTAAATGGACAAACACCTTTTGGCATTCTCGCCTTTCGCATCCTCCTCTTTCCATCCCAAGGTCTCCTCCTCAGCCTTCCCAGCCCTTCGAAGCAAGCAAGCACCATGCCCCCCACCCTCCGAGGTATCCTCACCCCTCTCCGCCTTTCTTTCCTCACTCCCTTCACACCGGCGGCCTTCCGACCGCTACCCGCTCAATCGGCCTTCGCCTTCGCCCCTCACAACACGCGTACGACCAGTATCACCCGTCGATACCTCACCACCCCTTCCACCCATACCCCTTCCACCCCTACCCCATCCAGCCCGACGACCATCTCCCCACACCTCAAAATCTGGAAAGCCGCTCAAGTGCACGAACAAGAGAAAGAAGTGCTTCGGACTCTTGCTGGTTGGAGAGTGCGTACATCTCGTCATTCTGGCTTCTTGAAGTATTGGCTACAGGCAAGTATACGTATAAGGATGAAAGGCTGATGGGGAGGGCGATAGGGAGAAGAGCTCGGTGAGAATTGGGATATCAGCAAGGTGAGTCCCTTCAACCCCTTCCGTCGCGAGTAACAAGCTGGTGGGACTGTGGAAATTGATAGTTGAAGACAAAGGAGGAGCTCTATGCAGAGTTGTTGGAGTGTATGGGAGCGGCGAGTAAGGAGAAGGTTCGGGTGGTCATTGGCGAGTTATCCTGTCACAAACGTCAGATGTGAAAGAGGTGTAGGCTGACTTGGTGGTAGTACGGGCGACCGCAGAGTGGCTCGAGAATATGACCGAGGATAAGACCTTGGGGAGGTACGCAAAGGTGACATGGGATTGCAAAGGCAACCGGACTGGCATCATCTACAACACCGACCAAATGATGGTTCGGAGGGACGAAAGTGTGTTTGAAGAGTACATGGACCAGGCAGGGCTAGCTGGGGAGGAGAAGAAGGAAAAGGTTCGAGAGCTCTATCATCTCTATAAAGAGGTTTGTCGTCAGGATGAGGGGCATGACCGGAAGAATGGGACGCTTTTTTATAGCAGTCGCGCGTTGGCGGCTGGCTCGTCTGAGCTGGAAAAGGGTTTTGGGTTGTTGAGGCAATTTGATGCTAAGGCGGGGCTGTTGGATGATGAGCGGTTCGTGGATATCGACGACATTCTCGACTAGTCGTCTGCATGCAAGTATCCTGTTTCACGCGATGCATTTACGTAAGACACACGGGGATGATGTTGATCGATGCTTGTGCTGTGCATGGTGCGTGCACTAGCGACGGGGTGATGATGATGACGTGGAGGGGAGGCCGAGCACCCTCAGACCGGGAGGGGGATAGCCGGGCAGGAACGGTGTGTGCACACACCCCTTTGTCCTTGTCCTGCGTTGTTCTCTGCAGTCTGCGAGTCTCAGGGGATCCTATTGTCCCATCACCCCCTCGTCATCTCATTCCGAATACCGCCGACCATAATAAGTCCTCCAGCATTCCCATCTCATCTTCCATCCACATCTCTTTCTGCTCCCACACACACCGTCGACAAGCAACCACTCCGGACGGACTCGCGGACGATCCATCCCCCCCCTGCGCTACGACCTGCGCACTCGCCACTTTCCCAAACAGGTATATCTTCTTCTTTGGGCAACTCTTTTCCCCCTCGATCGAAACAAGACGACCCAGCGCAGCCTGCCTCCCACACGACCGTCACCTTCTCCACTCTCTCGCGCTTCGTACAGAGCGCTCTTAAAACACTCCTTTCCTTCTCCTTTTGCGCCTTGCTCTCCGACTACCGACAAGCGACGATTACTCCATTGCGCATCCAAGCGTATTAGTTACCTGGCTACTATTTTCATATATATACCATGGTCAGTTCTCAGCCTTTTCCCGAGGAGAGAATCCACATTAACGTACGTTTCCACCCTCCCCCTTCCTGCCACTCATCCCACCCCGCCGACCATAACCGCACCCGCCAACCCCGCTCCCCACCGCCTTCCTCCAAACCGCAACACGTCCACGCGCACCACAACCCCCGCACGATGCTCACCCGCCCCGAACTACCCCCCCGCTCCGAACTCCCCTCGGACCACCCCAAAAACCCAAACTCCCGCGTCCGCCTGCCCGAACGGCCGCACTTGTCGCAATACTGGCACGACGCCTACCCCCCCGCGCCCTTGGACGACGACACCGTCCTACCCAAACCGCCCTCCAAAATCAAATATATGAATACGGAATGGCAAAAAAACAATCCGAATCCGAAATCGCGCGATGCGGTAAAGGCGTACTATGGTGGTGGGGGGATGTATCCCGGGATGGGCGTTGGGGGGATGTACCCTGGGATGGGGGGGATGATGGGTGGGATGGGTGGGATGGGCGGGATGGGCGGGATGGGGATGGGCGGGATGGGTATGGGGTATGGAGGGATGGGTATGGGTGGTTATGGAGTACGTCTTTTTCTCTTTGCGATGGGCTGTGCTGACGTTGTCGTAGATGCCTCGATACGGCGGTGCCGGGTAAGCCCCCTTCCCTCTCCCTCCTCTTCCTCCTTCTCCTTCGCCCTCTGGAAAATACTAACAATATAAGGATGTACGGCGGCTACGGCGGTGGCTACGGGTATGTCGTCTGGGCCAAAGTATACGCTGGGAGCTAACACCTTCGTGGTGACTATAGCGGTTACGGTGGCGGGTACGTCCCCCTCCCCTCCTCTTCCTCTATTTTTATCTTTCTTTTGCGGTGGCAAGAAGCTGATGGTGGGCGTAGGATGTATGATCCGATGATGGGAACTTATGGTGTAAGCCCCCTCTTCCTCTCTCCCCTTCCCCCCCCCCCCCCCCTCCCCCTCTCCATCGGCTTCTTGCTTCCTCGATGTCAAGTATAGAAGGGGACAAGCTGACATGAATGCATTGGTAGGCGCCGGCGTCAGCCAATTTTGTGGATGATAATGTGGATGCTCATCGGTAAGGCGCAAAAAATCAAGATCAAGATGGTGTTTTTGAAGATTGACTGACTTTTTTCTTGTGCTTTCCTCCCTCCCCCTCTCCAACCACTCTTCCTCTCTCTTCCCCCTCGCCTCCGCTCTCCTCTCTCATTCTCCTCTCGACATCGACGACGACGCAACGAAAATATGACGACGAAACAGCATGGAACACGCGTTCCGTCAATCAATGCCAGACTCTTACGGTGCCGGCATGGGCATGCTCCCCGGCGGGATGGGGATGAATACGTTGCCTGGGAGTAGTATGATGTTGTATGGGAGGGGGATGCCTTATAATGTACGTTCCTTTTCTTTCTTTCTTCCTTCCTTCTTCTTCATGTTTTGCTTGGTTTTGCGCTGATGATGGGATAGGGCTGGTACGCTTAACCCTTAACCCAACGCCTGAGCTACCGCCATACCCCACCACCATACACCCCACTCCGACACCAACATCACCAACATCACCAACATCACCCATCCCCTCTCTACCGACGACACTCAAGCTCAAGCTCAACGGATCAAACCCTTCTCCCACGAAGGCGTTGCCATTCCCTTTCTCGTGCTTCGCGTGGTACCAACTGTCTTTCTTTTTTTTGCTTTGTGGAGAAAAACCTATCGTCTTTCGTGGTTGTTATGTAGATGTAGCCCTCGCCAAAAAACTTTTTTCACCTTTTACATATTTTCATCATCCATGGCGAAGATGTTCGTTTTTCGTCCTTTTTTTTTTTTGGCTCTACCGTTGGCCCGTTTGTTTTTCGTCATTTACGAGAGAATTTTATTATGAGCAAAGAGAAAGGAGATATATGCAGGATACTATTGTTTATACAGAGAGAATGTGCATGTAGAGTACGACTTGACTATGAGATAGTTTGGTGATGACGCTGCAAGAGGTGGAAGGGGGTTGGCTGATGCTGGTCTTCCCCCGCGCCGCGTCTTTTCTCTCCCCGGTATGCGGCCAAGCATATGCATGCGCCTGAAGCAACAACCAATAAGGAGATCATGGTGTCGTGAAGCAGTCACGCAACAAGCCGCTGTCGGATGCAAGAGATGCAAACTTTGAACGATGGTCAGTCCAAGCGTCGTTCAAAAAGTTGACTCACCCGCATTATTCTTCTTCTTCTTCTCCACAAGCAGCATGTCCCCTCAGATTTACCAAGGGGGCCCACCGCGCCTCCTCCCCCGCCCCCGTACACCCCCCCGAGAAGGTCTTCCACCCGTCATACCAACCCACCCAAACTCCCTCGTCCGCCTCCCCACACTCACCCACCTCTCCCAAACCCACCACGACGCCTACCCCCCCAAACCCCCCGCACCACCGCCCGACCCATCCTCCCGCCACCTCTACCCCCAACCCTTTCCTGACCCTGCGCCGTTCACCACGAAAGAGGTTGTGATCAACCCGCCGGCGAAGGAGGATAAACAGGTGAGAGCGTTTTGGAACGGGATGAGGGAGAGGGGGTATGGGGTCGGGGTTGGGGTGGGGGGGATGTATGCTGGGAGGTGGCATCCTTGTATTGGGGTGGTTGGTCCGGGAGGGGTTGGGGCGGTTGGGTATGGGGTGAGTATTTTTTTTTTTTTTTTTGGCGGGGGAGGGTGAGGCGCGTCGCGTCGGACGCGTCGGGGGTGGAAGGGGTGCTGACGTTGGATCGGTGGGATAGCAAGTTTACTCGTACCAACCTCCTATGTACGTTCCCCTTTCTACTCTTGCTGCTGTTATCGGCAGGTATATTCGAGGTGGGTGGAGTGGCTGACGTTTTCTTGGTTAGGATGTACGGCGGCTATTACGGCGGAGGTGGAGGAGGGTACGGACGACCTGGGCCGGGGTTTGACGGTGGATTCGGATTCGGGTAACGTTCAACGATCTCTCCCAAGGGCTGTTGTTCAGAGGGCTGACGTTGTTGTTCGATGATAGAATGCCTCCCGAGTATGCTTTTGTTTCTGGAAGGTGATGGGGAGGGAAGCTGATGGGTGGGTATTGTAGGATAATGCAACCTCCCAAGACTACCAATACGCGTGACGTGAGCTCTTCTTCTTCTTCTTCCTTCTCACCTTCTGCCCCTCTCTCATTCCGCCTTCCACCTTTTCCTCCTCCAGCTCTTCCCTGACACCTCTCGAAAGACGAATAGACGAATACTGATCTCCTGGCGTCGGTACGATAGGACAGGAAAGGCGCCCGAACCGACCAAATGGGAACGTACCCCCCAGGACTGGGCCAAGACTTTTGGCCGGCGGAAGGGAGGATGACGAGGTATTATTATGGGGGCGGGATGCCTGCTTATGTGCGTGTCTTCTCTTCTCTCTCGCTCTCCCTTCTTCTGGTGCTTTCGAGGAGCGGAGGACCGCTGACACTATGGCACTTTGACAGGGCTGGGCCGCATAAACCCGATGACTCCATATGCCAACGACACGAGATATGTACAAGGACAGGACCATACACGGCGATCCATCCTCACCCACCCCTATTTTCCTCACCGGCTTGCACGATTCCGAATAAAAAAACTATCGCCGCCGTAGCCGCAGTAGAAGAAACGCATACCCGTAGTCCGTAGAACCCTCTTTTCATGTCTCATGTATGGTATAGTCGTACACTGCTGTTCTATGTGCTCCGTGTTGAGCGATGAGGAAGAACAACAAACAAATCAAGTCATTCCCTGCTGTTCTGGTAGAAACTCTCCGCGGAGACTCGGAGACTGATCGTCCGGCGGCTAGAAGGACCCCCAAAATATGTTGTTTGTTGAGGGGTCAGAAGATCTCGCCGGTCTGCTTTGGTTTCCGATAGAGAGAAAAAAAAACGGACAAGTGGAGATGATTCGGAAAAGAGGGGGAGGCCAGGAGGTTGACAACGATGAGCGCAACCCGATGAGGGTCAATCTGTTGGCGTGGCAACGGAGGAGGGGATGAGCAGCTGACGTTTGGGATTTGTGCGAAAAAGGTATATAGAGCATTTCATCTTTGTATTTTGTTGTTGTTTTTCTCTGCCACCGCCAAAAGCAACATGACTCCATATCTGCACAACATCCACGGCTCAAGCAAAAGTCCCAGCACCACCCACAGCACCTACGCCCCCCTCCCACGCCCGCTGTCCACCACCCCTCCCTCCTCTTCCCACCACTCGTACCACTCGTACCACTCCCGCTCTTCAGAGGCCCCCAACACCCCTCCCCAGAATCCCAACTCTCGCATGCCTATCCCTTCTCATCCAACGCACCTCGCCCAAGCACATCTCGACGCCTACCCTCCCCCTTCTTCATCATCCTCACGCGGCGGCGGGGGTGGGGGTGGGCAGCACGCCACAAAACATGTCCCCAAACCCGCCCCAGAGCGAGTATGGATGGACACCAAATGGATCCTGGAACATCCCAACCCGAAATCGGCGGGGGAGGTGAGAAAGTATTATGCGGGGGTTGACGGGGGGTGGACGGGGGGCGTTTGGCCCGGCTATGGGGGCAGGGGGAGGGGGATGTATCCTGAGGCAGTGGGGAGAGGAGGGATACATCCCGGTGTGGGGTTTGTTGGGGGGTATGGGATGGGTAGGACGCCTTATACTGTGAGTTCTTGTGCTCGTCTGGTGGTGAATGGTACTCGTACGGGTGCTGATGCTGGCTGACAGATGCCTTGGTACCATGGGTAGGTTCTGGCTCGACCAACTAGTCATGGCAGGGCCGGGCTGATCAGGAGATTAGAGGGTATGGAGGCGGTTATTGGTAGTTCTGCTAGAAATCGAGAGCATTCGAGGAGATGTAGTCGGCGTATGATTACGGGACTATGAGTGCCCTTCCCAGCTAGCCATATGTATTACTGTCCCTTGCATCTCGACCGCTCGGCCTCTAAATCATCCCAAGTATGCATATAGCACTGTCACAACGCGCAAATCTTATCTTTCGTGCGAGATGAACCCTGGGGGGTCTGTACATATACACAAAGTGCTTCTGAGACTCCTTTCACCATTGGGACCCCCCTTGGATCCAACTGGACAGCTCAATCCGGTGATGGAGGGTGACCCTGAAATTCGGTTTGACGGAGATACCAAGACAAATACTGCCTAGAGAATTCAATGAAGAACTCGCCGTTGGCTCCGTCGCTCAAAGCAGAGCTACTAATCAATTATATATATGCAGCGACTTTTGCAATACACCTCTGATGCATAGCGTCCGCGCACGACTAAGCTAACGACGATTACACGCTTACACGCTTGTCGCTAGACACAGACGACATTTGCCTACCACCTCGATAAGACAACACCATCATGTCCCAAGACTTGTCCCGATTTCCACCCAACAGCCGTTTGGGTAATACAGACAATGGTTCATATGTGGGTCATATGTGCTACTGCCCGATGCACCTCGACCTCTCAAAACCCAAAGAGTCCGTGGCAGACTGGGTTGGGTCAGGCAAGTCTCTCCTTCCCGGCCACCCCGTCTCACTCGTGACTTTTGAAGATGGCACGTCCACTATAATGTGTGACGGCTGCGGTATGAGCGCAGTGCGTGCTGCTGTGGGGCGATCGTGAACCTGAGAAAGGTGAACAAATCGCTAGGACTGTTACAAGAGAAGATATGGAGACCGCTGGCATCTATGAAGACTACAGAAACACGTTTAGGGAAGCGGCCTCAATCACAACGGGTGTTGTAGACCCGAATGGAGAGCTGTATCCATGGACAAGTGACAATCCCGTCTTCAAGGTTGACAAAAACTCCTTTACCGATGGAGCCAGTTTGAGGAGCGCTTGGCGGGAGTACGACCGACGTCATCCAATGGACGACCCATGGCGTAACGAGATAGCTCAGATAATGGCCACCTACTACAAAAGAATGACCAGTCCGCATGGCGGCTGAGAATATGGCGAGAGCTGTAGCAGCGATGAGCATTGGTAGTAGGGTGTGACGAGAGAGAGAAGCAACAGCCGCGTATACATGCACTCCTTCACTTCGTTTCAGTGTTGGTCAGATATGCATGATCCAAGGTATCGACAGGAAGTCATCGATGGAAAAGACTATCTGCGGAGTGTCTATCAAGAAGGGGCAGTGTTGGAATGTGGTGGTGTCGGTGTAGTTGTATTGTGTCTCTGGAGCCCAGTGAAAGGTAAATAGGGGCTCTAGGTGTTGGACGGTTGGGTGTAGATGAACTATCTACAGAGCCAACGGTGACCTTAGCCGTCATGTGGAGCCCGCCACATGAGATATCGACGCGACGACGCGATATCGATGGTCCGCCCAAGGTACATTAATTACGTAACTACTAATATCTAAAGCGGGCGGCGCATCTAATCACACACAGATAGCGGCTCAGACGGCTTGATGTCTGCGTCATTGTTGAATATGAGTTGAACCAGCAGTGATTGCGTCGAATGCTGAGATGCATACATACGCTGAATGGTTTCGCTCTCTTTCCCTTGATCGCAGTAGAATATCAAAAAGGTGGTAGATACAGTCTATATGTGCCCAAGATAGATCAAACAAAGCGTCGGAACCAAGTCTACGCGCGGAGATGTCGCGTTTTTTTCACTATTATTGTGATGTATATACCCGGGCCAGGGAAGACTGAAGCCGCCCCTCACTAAGCAGTGGCGAGGATCTGGCCCCAAAATTATGTCTCGGTACGGCCTTGGCTAGGTCAGAACCAAATAAAGAGGTCACATCGGTCAAGTCCTCCGCGTACTGCCCAAGTAACAATCACACCACCAGCAGTACTCGCACTCGTACAGTACGTGGCGCAAGGTATCAAATCCATGATGCATTACGAATCTACGTGGGATTTCCAAACCGCCATCTTACATCCTCTCAATAGGAGTCAAACTCAAAAGCCTCATCGCGCTCGCCAAAACCTCCCTGGTAGTAATGTAGAAGAACAACCTCGCCTTCGCCACCTCCTCCTCCTCCCCAGTCACCCTCACCGTCTCCCACGCCGCGCCGACCAAATGCGACAGCCTGAAACACCAAGTGACCAACTGCGACGGCTCAGACTGCACGTACGCGTTGCGCAACGCGGTGGGGTATAGGGCGAGCTGCATGAGAATGTCGAGGATTTTGGGGTCGTTGAGGAGGGAGACGTTGATGTCGTTGATGGAGGTGGGGAGGGGGACGTTGGGGTTCTTTCGCTGGACGGAACAGAGTCGGACATGGGAGTATTGGATGAAGGGGCCGAAATCGCCTTCGAAGGAGGTGCATCGAGACATGTTGAAGTCGTAGTCGTTGATCCTGCGTCGGGTTAGCGCTGCTTCCAGAAGGTGCAGATGGAGACTTACCTCCTACCGGCCATGTCTTGGATCTTGACGGCAGAAGTACCAATGATGGCACTGGTCTCTTCAGGGTTCTCCACCTGAGCATACTTGGCCTCGTTGCTCTTCATCTGGTCGTGCATCGTCGTCGTCGCCTCCTGGATGATATCCTCGAGGAAGACGACGGTACCCTTCCTGGTCGACATGCCCTTCACCAAACCAAAGGTGACGTGCTCGAGCTTGTCGGCATAAGGCTCGCCCATGAGCTCAAGAGTCTTGAAGAGCTGGTTGAAGTGGAGAGTCTGGGCGGCTTGGACGACGTAGATGTGCTTGTCGAAAGCGTATTTTTGGTACTTGTCGTAAGCGCCACCGAGGTCTCGGGTGAGGTAGATGGATGTACCGTCTGCTCAATATCAGCGCCACCCTTCTACAACACAAATATACTTACCGCCCTTCCTGACAATAGCCTTGTCCATCTTGAACTTGACCAAGTCGACCAACAACGCTCCCCTGTCCTCGCACGTCAAGCCCTTGTCCTGCACAATCTTGACGGCTCGCTCCATAGACTCGTTGGACACTTGAGATTCGCCCCAGTAGACGTCAAATTTGACGTTGAGCTTTTCGTAGGTGCCCTTGAGCTTTTCGATGGAGAGGTCTCGGAATCGGGCCCATTGGGCGATAGCCTTGGGTTCGCCTGCATGAATGTCAAGATTGACCAAAAGAAAAAGAGGCAACGTACCATCTTCCATGTCCTTAAAGACCTTCTTGGACAACAAGTGAATGTTCTCCTCATCAGGGATAGTCTCGCCGGCATCAATCTTTTCCTTCTGCTCCGCCTTGGCATTGTTGATCTTGACATAGACCTCGAAAAGGTGCTTAATCGCATCCTTCTGCAACTCCTCCTCATTTCCGTACTTGTCAAAACCAATACTCAACAGCCCATACTGTGTTCCCCAGTCACCGAGGTAATTCAGCCTGGTAACTTTCCATCCATTGGCCTCGTAGAGGTTGGAAATGACGGTACCGATGATGGTGGATCGCAAGTGACCGGCGTGGAAGGGTTTGGCAATGTTGGGGGAGGAGAAGTCGACGACGAGGTGTTTGCCGGCGCCTTCGGTAGTGGTACCGTAGGCGAGGGTGGGCTCTTCGGGCTTGGCGAGGGCAGCGGCGGAGGTGAGGTTGATTTGGCGGAGGATGTGGTAGCCGAACGCGTCTCGGCTGGGACGAGGTCAGCTTTTGTTTGGGGAAGATGCATGGGTGGCTCACTTGAAGGTGAACCAAAGGAACTTGCCGTCAGGGCTGGAGACTTTGGAGAAAAAGACGCTGGGTTGGAACTATGCACGATTAGCAACAGCCCAGACCTCAAGAGACCCCACTCACCGATTCGGTAATCTTGTTCACCCAAGGCAAGATGTCCGCAGGCTTTCCCCTCTTGAACCTGACAACAGCAACGCTCAAATCCGCTCCCTTCTTGCCCAGCTCGACAGCAGGGAAGATCTTCTCAATGTCCTCCTCCCAGGCATCAGCGACGACCTTGGCAGCGGCGATTCGGAAGGCCTCGACGACGCTCCTGGTGGGGTCGACACCCTTGATTTCGGGCAGGGCGGGGAGGGCAAAGTGCTCGGGCACATCGGCACCTTGTAAAGAAGCCATGTTCTTGAGGTAGTTTCGGAGGGGCGAGTGAACGGGGGTGGAGTATTGGCGGGGACGATAAGCGTATAGAGCGGTACGCGGGGTAAGAATACGATGGAGGAGTGGCCGAGAGTATTTGAAGACGGAAATGGTGGCGAAAACCGAGTCGATAATCGTTGAAAGAGCAGGGCTGGTTTTTGGAAAAATCGACTGGAAAGAGGAGAGTAGCGGAGCGGGAGTATTTTGGCAGTACGTAAGCGGTGATTTGGTTCCGTCGTTCAACTCGTAACTTGACCCTCGCTTGACCCCGTTTGGACCCCGTGTAACTTGACCTACGTGGCCTGATTGACTTGCCGTCGCGCTCAGACCCTGGACCAAGCAGATCTATAATAGAGGTGAGTCTAGATGTGTACAAGGGATAACTATCGTTTTGATATGTATGCCATCATCGATGAGCCAGAATTATGATTGCTCACAGAAACCGGTAAGTCAAGCTTACGACACTTCTGGGCGGCTTCTGGGCGCTAGTTCTGCAAATCGACCTGCATGATAACGCTCCCCACTACACCCAAAGCTTTGTCACGCTGTTGTCCCCTGTCGCTTTTCGGTGAGTTTTTCTTCCAATCTTGACTCCTCCACTCCTCGCCTTCGCAGAAGCGAGACATGTCCATCGGCTGGCTTTCTGCATACTCGACATAGGCTTTCGAGATCTTGTCTCAATTGGCCATAGTGTTTCTATCCACCTCAAATTCGAGATCGCCACCCCAAAATGAATGCAACTCTCTCTCTGGGTTGATAGCCCCCGACTGCACAGGAACCGCCTTTTGGAATGTGTTTCTGTACGTAGTCATCATAAATACCTGCTGTGTCCATGTGCTTGCGTTTTGCAGTCCCTATGATCCTATTGCTGTGATCAGGTTCAGGATCTCCCAAGGAACACCCCACTGCGGAGATGCCCCATCCTTCACAGATAACGGTAGACGTCCCGTTTTCAAACTTGACGACGTTGACGCCGGTTCCGGGAGTGATCGGTTTGCCCGATCCCAGAGCTTTTCGGTTGGGGGAGGTCGAGATGCAAGGTACAGTAGAGTAGCACGTCTGACCAATGTAGGTTACCGTAGCGGCTGTTGGGTGGAAATGTAGACAAGTCGAGTGACATGGTGGCTTGGGGAAATTCAGATGATGTTAATCTATGTTATAGTCGCTGTCGCAATAGTGAGCGGGTATGCTTCAGCGGGAGATGGAAAGAAGATAATGCTTGTTGTATATAGTCTCTGAGGTATCTCTGTCGATGTTGTGAGTCCTCGCGAAAAGAGGTCACCTGGGAACTTCCCCCTCCAGTTACACTCATACCATGACTTCTATACATATTCTAATTTACTCGGTGAGTTGTTAGTTTGTTTACTGAGAATGGGTTAACACCTGTTACCCTTCATCATTATACTGCGGGAATGTCTCTTTCAGATCTATTATAAGAGAAAACGAGTGAATGGCCAGTAGCAGTGACATCTGGTCAGCAGTGAGCATGAAAAAGTCACCCCGAGTGTAAGGAGGTACTTTGATGGATGGTTTTCTCTTCAAGATACAGATCGTCAGGGTTGACAACTGAGGCCTATGATCGTACAAGAACACGGCTGACATTTCTTTCCCAAAAACTGACTGCAAAGCGGAGAGAAGAGTACACCTTCTGACCTCACGACGACGGTAAGAGATGAGTCATCTACGTCACTAGTCAGCTTTCGCGTTGACACATTGCACACTGCCATTGTATATGCATACATGCTATGATAACATTCTCTCCACTATCCTATCTCGTCAACTCTTGTGCTGGGAATCCTACTCCTAATACTGATCCACCCATTCGTCAGCTAGAGATGCTTTGGATTCATCCACAGTCTGGAGTTGTGCAAACTCGGCATATTTCCTCGACACCGTGTCTGGATCAGTCATGGTGTCTCTGTCAATCTTGAACGGGGTCGCTTCTACCCAGATGGAACAGATCTCCCCATCTGGATCCATAGCTCCTGATTGTACAGAAACTGCTTTTTTAAAGGTGTTCTTGTAGTCTTCATAGATACCGGCGGTCTCCATGGTATTGCGCGTGACTGTTCCTACGGCCCACTCGTTCTCGTCGGGATCTCCCGTGGAGCACCCAACGGCAGACACGGCGCACCCAGCGCAAAGAAAAGTAGACTTTCCGTCTTCAAACGTCACGAGCTGAACGGGGTCTCCAGGGAAAAGGGGTTTTCCCGACCCGACCCATTCACCCACCGAGCTTTTGGGTGCCGTCAGGTCAAGGTGCATGGGACAGTAGCACATGTGACCAGTGTAAGCGTTGCTAAAGTTTCCGTGGCGGCTGTTGGGCGGGAAAGTAGACAAGTCGAGCGACATGGTTGCTTGGAGAAGAAACTAAGATGCTGTTAATCTAGCTTAGCTGTTGCAGGTATGTTTGAGGGAGAGATGTGAAGCAAACAATGTATATATAGTTTCTGAGGTAGTCTATCGGTCTTCAGAGTCGTCAATAGAAGAAGAAGAGGCCGTCAGAGAACTTACGTCTGACTGTAGCCATACAACACCTTTATTACTTCAATACTTCTTTCAACCCCGACGCGACCGCGAACTCCGAGATGACTCCTGCTCCCTTGGCGCGGCGGAAGGCGTTTGCTCAGAATGTGTTTTGAACTTGAAATCCTTTTTCCTAGCACTGCAAAAAGACAATCTTTCATTTCATGAGAAACAAAGGAAAATCCGCATCTTTAGCTGGGCAGTACTGTAGATGGTCAGTAACAGTGACTTGTCATTGTTAAAAAACATCAGATGAGGAATGTATTCCCAAATAGAGACAGTTACGCAGACTGACAATACTTATACCCAAAATAAAGACCAATATGATAAAGACTGTGGTCCATAACGGTACAAGGACACGGCTAATCTTAGGAAAGATCGATTGGAAAGTGTCACACGTAGATATTCCCTGAAGTGGCATTGGCGCTGAGTTGTGTGGATGGTAGAAGGACGCGCGGTGTACATACTCAATTCATATCTCATTGTTCTACTCTTTCCTTACGCGATAATACCGAAAAGGTCTTTTCCCCTCCAAAATCACCTTTTCCCGTCCTCTCCCCTGCTGCGTCCCAGCAGGCCGTGACACAAAGACAGCCTCGATATGATTCAGTCGTTCAACGTCGAAGGCGGTCGGACCTGATGGTGAGAGAAGAGGATGCTCAGCAATGTCAACTCAGCTCTTTCGATGTTTTTTCATTGCGCGCTGTGCTGATCCTGCAAATGCATGGATGCTATAATACAAGTGCTTCTGGTACCGTTCTCACCATCACTTGCGCTCGGAATCGCTCCCCTAATCTTGCTCCCTCCATTCCTCAGCTAGAGATAGTCTGGACTCATCCACAGTCTGGAGTTGTGCAAACTCGGTAAACTTCCTCGACACCGTGTCTGGATCAGTCATGGTGTCTCTGTCAATCTTGAACGGGGTCGCTTCGACCCAGAACGGAAAGATCTCCCCCTCTGGAGTCATAGCTCCTGAATGTACAGAAACTGCTTTTTAAAAGGTGTTCTTGTAGTCTTCATAAATACCGGCGGTCTCCATGGTATTGCGCGTGACTGTTCCTAAGGCCGACTCGTTCTCGTCGGGATCTCCCGTGGAGCACCCAACGGCAGACACGGCGCATCCTCCGCAAAGAAAAGTAGATTTCCCGTCCTCAAACGTCACGAGCTGAACGGGGTCTCCAGGGAAAAGGGGTTTTCCCGACCCGACCCATTCACCCACCGAGCTTTTGGGTGCCGAGAGGTCAAGGTGCATGGGACAGTAGCACATGTGACCAGTGTAATCGTTGCTAAAGTTCCCGTAGCGGCTGTTGGGTGGGAATTGAGACAAGTCGAGGGACATTGCGGAACTGGGGGGGATTTGGATATTGATATAAGCGAGCGTCTGATATACTTTAGAAAATTTAAAGAAAACAATATTGCATTGATATATGCAGCAGCTCTGGGCATTGCTGGTAGGTCATCCGGAGTTGTGGGTCAGCATGGGAAAAGATTACCTGGGAACTTGATCTGGCTGCCCTCATACCCTGGGTTGGTAGCTTCAGCGCTTCTACCAAGTCCGACCGTGAATCTCAGTGACAATGACACTCCTTTCACGCTGCAAGCTGACAGACCGTCTCCTGAGAATGGTTCTGCACTTCACAACCTTCTTTATACTGCAAGGAGAGTCTTTCTCTACAGAATGATACTGTGAAGATGAAGCGATTCCATATAGATAGCTGGGCTCCGTAGATCGTCAGCGATGGCAGTAGTATGTGGTTCCAAAGCATGAGATACGTCGCTCCAGAGAATTGAAGATTGCTCGGATGCGTCATTATTCTTGCTCCGTACAGCTTACTAGCAATGACGTTCCACTTCCTACTGGACTAGTCCTGAGGGGCACTTCGCGTTGTTGTTCGACACACTGACCCATCCCAAATGTAGCTCGAATTCTCACTGCGCTGCTCTTGCCATCATCCCTGGCGAGAGTTGCCCCATCGATTCACCCATTGCTGAAATATGCTGAACCTGGATTGATCCACAGTTTTGGATCGGATAAAGTCAGAGTATTCTCTCAGTACCGTGGCTGTAGTAGACGTAGAGCTTTTGTCGACCATGAACACAGGGTTGCCTACAAACAATGGATACAGCTGTCCGTTGGGGTCTATGGCGGCAGTCTCCACTGATACCGTCCTTTGAAACGTGCTTTTGTAGTCTTCATAGATGCCCGCAGTTTGCATGCTCTTGCGTTTGACACTTCCTATCACCCTTTCGTTCTGTTGAGGCTCACGATTTCCAGCGGCAAACGCGACCGCAGAGGTCCCGCAGCGGCCATCCGCTGCAGAGGAACGTAGATGTGCCATCCTCAAACGTTATGAGATTGACGGCTTGACCTGGGTAGATAGGCTTGCCTGACCCGACCCATTCAGCTACAGAGCTCTTGGGTGCTGGGAGGTCAATGTGCATTGGGCAGTAGCACATATGGCCGGTGTATTCAGTGTTGGAGTTGCCATAGCCGCTGCTGGGCGGAAATTGGGATAGGTATTGGGACATGATGATCTGTACTTAGGTGGTATCACGGCCGATATTGACTGAAAATGTGTAAATGTGTATGATGATATGACAGAAGAGGTCGATTAAGCGCACGATAAACAGGAGACTTGCGACGCGACGAGTACCATGGGGTGAAGTCACGTACGTGGTGGTGTTAGTTCACACGAAAAGGGGTCTGGGAACGCAGCTCAATCTTTGTATTATACTACTTTTGACATCTTCCAAGCCCGACCACAAAAGGAAGGGCTTATTTTCTCTTGGAGTTCAGAGAGAGATCGCAGTTTACAACATCTGTCGACACGGCTGGTGGACATGATACGCTGTTTCTCCTTTCGCTCGCCGCCACACTGTACTTTTGTGGAACTTTTGCGACTTCTTCGGGTCTATTCTTGATGAAAGCATACCGAAAGCACACCATTGGTTGTGATCATCTCTCTCAGAATCGTTCATGCATTGTTTGTGAAATATTCGATCAGCGTTGTGTGTACATCCCCCTTGATCATCATCATGCCCGGCGACACGCTCCTGCGATCATGCTGCTATCGTCTTCAGCTTACTCTTACTCTCGGCCCCTCTCATGTTCACTGCTGTCGTATTCGCTGCTATCATATTCGCTTTCACTTGGCTGAAGAGCCTCCCATTCTTCCTCCCACGCCGTAGCTCTGCTTTCAGCGACTGAGTCGAGGGTGAGGCTTCCAATGAACTGCCGGAAGTCCGTTATTAGAGTTTCATTTGTATTGGTGTCTCTGTCAAACCGAAACTCATCGTCACCTTCCATTATCGGATAGAACTGTCCAGTCGGATCCAAGGCGCCAATGCGCACAGAGACCGTCTCTCCAAACGTTGTCTTGTATTCCTCATATATGCCGGCAGTCTCCATAGCCTCGCGTGTGATATGACCTATTACTTGTTCCCTAGCTTCACGCTCACATTCTTCCAGACCAAATCGGATGGCACTCCCTCCGCATTCGTTGTGAAGGATTGTGCTGGTGCCATCTTTGAAGGTAATAAGGCTGATAATATCCCCTTGATGAAGAGGCTCGCCCGATCCTACCCAGTCGGCTACGGAATCTTTTGGTGCCGAGAGGTCCAGGTGCATGGGACAGTAACACTCATGCCCAACATGATCATCTTGGTGATTACCTTGAGTGCTGTTAGGTGGAAATCTGGAAAAGTTGCTTGACATGATGATGGCAGTGATCCGGGAGGTGAGGAATCTTTGTGCTTCCGTGTATATCAATAGCGATACTTTACGTCTGGACACATTCAGCTATATATATAGCCTGGACTGGTGTTGTTGGCGGACTCAATGTGTCGTGTGTCATGGTGAAAGGACTATCGAAGCACGCACCACTTGGTGTGTAGCTCCGAGTGCTTATCGCGCGAAAGGTACCCGCGAGGTGACAGTGCTATATGCATACTAGTACCTGACTATTCAGGGGCCGACAGGCCGAGAGCACGGGACAATAGCACATGTGTATAACGTTATCATCTCGGGTGACGTGTCCGTGTCAGTTGCTGGGTAGAGAAGTGGACAGGTCGTCGCGCAACATGATGATGGTGATCTTTGGGCAATCATATAGATGTTAGTGTTTGGGTTTCGACAATCAGTATTTCAAGTCGTGCTACGTATCATCTTAGTAGGTGAAGAATCCCCGATGGCGTATCGTACGAGACAGAATGGGATATAACGCCTTCCTCAGAAGTTTTGGCGGACCAAATTGGGATAGGTGTTTTGAAAGGGGTCCGCGAATGCTTGTTGATATCCGCCAACCGCGAGCGAAATGTAGCTTATCCTCAGCGACAGTGTTCTTTACTGGGTCTATGTCACGTCATTTATAACGCTTGGCCTAATAAGACTCGCTCGTTGAGATATCCATATGGCTGCCGTGATGGCTGCCTTGCCATTTATCTATATGGAGATCTTCTTACAGCTGCAAGGATCGACTTCCATTGACGGAAAAGGATGCAGACCAAAAGATGCACCAGTCGCCGGTGGTGCCTTCTTAGCATTGGCACTCTACCAATGCAACACTTATAGCGTGAGGTGGAGCAGTCAAAATATGAATGAGCCTGCGAAAGAACCATGCATGGACTTCCATAATGTAAGCAAGATAGAAGCTGAGATGCAGTCGTATCTTCAGAATGCCCTACGGCGGGCTCAGAATCTGGCTACTCTGCAAGCAATTTGGGTCCCTGTTTGAATTGTCATATGTCTGCGATCCATCATGCATACCTCACAGTGCATTCGAACAGCGTAATGTCCATCACCACCCTTACTACTACTAATTCAACGACAAGACGGTCCTCTTATGCTGCCACCGTCCTCAGCTAATCACTCCACAGCTTCTTCTCCGCTGCTTTCATATCGCTGTTGTCCATCTAGAGAGGGATGAGATTCAGACCATTCTACCTCCCAAGCCGCGGCTCTGCTAATAGCGACCTGGTTGATGGGGGCGTCATCGACAAACGTTTGGTACTCTTCAAACACAGTAGTTTTCGTCTCGGCCATTGCTTCTCGGTCGATCTGGAACTCGGGGTTACCCTCCAGAACCGGATAGAAGTCTCCCGTCGGATCCAAGGTGCCAACGCGCGAAGAAACGACCCTCTCAAACGCTTTCTTGTAGTCTTCACAGATGCCCGCAGTCTCCATGGCCTCGCGTGTGACATGACCTAAGACTTCTTTGCCCGCTTCGGCTCTTCATCTAGGAGAGCAAAGGCAACTGAGCTGATACAGCAGAGGCTATTAACGACCGTCGAGGTTCCACCGTCAAAGGTAAACAGGTGGACTTTGTCTCCTTGATGGAGAGGCCAAGCCGTTCCGACCCATTCGGCTACAGAGCCCTTGGGTGCCGAGAGGTGGAGGTGCACGGGGCAGTAGCACAAGTGGCCACCTTGGTCATCTTGGTAGTTGCCTTGGCGACTGTTGGGCGGAAAAGTGGAGAGCTCGTCGGTTGACACAAATTCCCTGAAGTGGCATGGCGCTGAGTTGTGTGGATGGTTGAAGGACGCGCGGTGTACGTACTCAATTCATATCTTACTGTTCTACTCTTTCTCTATGCGATAATACCGAAAAGGTCTTTTCCCCTCTAAAAACACCTTTTCCAGTCCCTTCCCTGCTGCGTTTCAGCTAGGTGGTGACAGGTACTCTGGAAGCTGCGGACGGTGTGGTTGTGCGAATGCTTACAGAAACTGCAATATACTTCTAGGGTGTTAGGACGTCTTCGAAAGCAAAGTTCCATTTTACGATTCGTTGTCTTCGATGATCATACACGGTCTAAACATGGACTTGTCATTATTCTGAAGTTCCACCATATACTGCGCCTTAGATTTTCATCATTCCTTCCCTCATCCCCTAGCCCAGTTGGCTTTTGCATTGATCCAAATGTGTGCTTCAAATTCTATAGTACAAACTTATTACTGTCAAATGAGCTCCACCAAGCTGCGGTTTTGTGCTTTCATATTCATGGCCTTCCACGACTGCCGAAGTGGGGCCGAGAGGAGGCCGAGTATCAAAGGGGCGGCTGACATCATTGGTTCTGAGAGCCGTGTAATCAGTAAGGCCATGATCAGTGGATCCGTCGGCAGGCCATACTGTCTATGACGACTCATCTTTCCTGCCATGCGCCATTTCGCCCCCTTGCGACCCCATCGAGTTGTCGAGTCATCGTTGCTGAGTCGATGTTGAGTGATCGATAAGTCGAGTGAAGTGGTGACGTAATAACGCGCGAGCTTTCGGCTGTGTCCGACGGTACGCCGAGCCAACGCCGAGTGCGATTGAGGTGCGACCACATGGGCGCTTTCATTTTTATCTTTTCTTCTTTTCTCTCTTTCATTTCATTCCCTGAATCAAAAGAGCTCCAGCTCACCCCCCTAATTCATGTCCTACCCGTCCTGGGCGACAACCCTCGCCGATGAGCCGTGGTCCTGTGACGGCGTCTGGACAGGCATAGATTTCAGCCCCTGCTTCAAAGAGCGGTATGTATCACGCCAATGACTCGAGAGAATTGTGCTGACACACCTCAGATACTTACAAAATGCTCCTTACGCCTTGATCGCTCTATCCGTCCTCTACCTGCTCGCGACCCTCCCATCCCGCTTATCGTCCTCGCACAAGCCGCCCTTATCGGCGTCGACTCTTGTGTCTCCCACAAACCCCTCAGACCTTGCCAAGCTCGAGTCTACCGTCATTTTTGAGGCCCTTGCGACGAATCTCCTCCCCACGACACCCACGTCCAGCACCAACAAGCCAACCGAAAAGTTAGCCGAGGGTGAATCGGAGGCTATCATCGAGGACTTTCTGAGCGGGGCGAGCAAACGGAGAGATGTCTCCCGATGGCAAGGGGCGAGATTCTGGGTGGGATTGATTGGAGCCGTTGTGTGGTTTGAGGTGGAGCTCGCTAGGGCTATTGTGCAGGGGTCATGGGCGAGCATCGTCTTCCCGGCCTACATCTCAGTCATTGCGATTATCCCAGGCTCCCATATCACTCCCCTCGTGACTTTCCACGCCATCTTATCTCTTGTCCTTTTCCGATCACTCGTCATCTCTCCCGACCCCTCTACTCTTCACATCATCGCCTACGCCGTCGAGATCGTCTACTGGTTTGCCTTGCTGGGCTTGCCGTACCACGAGTCCCTCGACCGCCTCCTCTCTGGGGGCAAGTCTGCTCGCGGGGGTTCCAACGGCTCCTACGGTAATCAACTACCCAAGCATTGCGAAGAGCCTGCTTCAGCATTTTCCCGAGGCTCCTACAATTTCATGCTTCCTCTTCTCTTCAAGCACTATTTCAAACCTATCACTCTTGAAGAGATTCCCGCTATACGCGAGGATGATTCTTCTGCCGCGGCAATCGGAGGATTCAGGGCTTTCCAGGCGAGGAAGGATGGTGAATGGATCAAGAAGCACAAGCAGGGCGCAAGGAGGAAACATATAGGTGTGGATCTCCTGTGGTTTTTTACGCCGGACGTTCTCTGGCAAGTTGTGAGTTTTGATTACCTTACCCTTGTTTATCTATGCTGACACATCAACAGATGTATTCCATCCTATTCATCTTCTTCCAATACCTGCCCCCTACCGGACTTCGACTTCTTCTACAATTCGTCAAAGAACGCGAGACAAAACCCCAGCCTACACATGTCGCTGTCCTCTACGTCGGGATGATGGTCGTTGGCCAGTGCACATCTGTCATCTTCCTCGGCCAAGCTCTTGCTTTGGGTCGTAGGATTGGCGTGCGCATTCGAGCCATCATCGTCTCTGAAGTGTTTGTTAAAGCGCTGAGACGAAGGGATCTCGCCGGGGATGTCAAGAAGACCGAAACCAAGGAGGGCGACGAGAAGAAGTCGGACGTGGCGGGAGAAGGCAAAGTCGCGAATATGGTCTCTGTCGACGCGTTCACTACTGGTGAAGTCTGCGCGTACAGCTACTATGTCTTCTCATGCCCCATCGGGATCATTGTCAACTGCGTCCTCCTCTACCAGACCCTCGGTGTCGCCTCTATCGCCGGTATCGCCCTCCTCGTCCTCCTCATGCCAGTGCAGTATCTGGTTAGCAAACTCTACATGTACTGCCAGCGCATGTTCATGTCAGCTACCGATGCCAGGCTGGAAGGTGTGACAGAGGTCATCTCGCATGTCAAGCTTATCAAGTTCAATGCGTGGGAGGGCAAGTTTTACGAGAGGATGATGGATACGAGGGACAATGAGCTCAAGATGCTCAGGAAGAGGTTTGGCGCTACGATCCTTTTCCAAGTGCTCGTTTGGAGTACTCCAGTCATCGTCACTGGTGCTGCTTTTGCTGTCCACACGGCATGGCTCGGCAGGCCTCTTACCGCCGATACCGCCTTTGCCTCTCTTATACTTTTTAACATGCTCAAAGATCCCCTCGCTCTCAGCCAAGACATCATCACGCGTCTTATCCAGGCTTACACGTCTTGTACGCGTATCCAGGCGTACCTCGACGAGCCTGATACGCTCAAGTACCGCCAGCTCTCTGCACCTGGACCTGGGGATTCACAGATTGGGTTCAAGAATGCTACGCTAGGCTACTTGACGGTGGAGGAGGCGAGCAAGCTAGGTGACGACCAGGCGGATCCTTTCCAGCTTTCCAACCTCAACCTCTCTTTCCCCGTCGGGAAAGTCAGTCTTGTGTGCGGACCTGTCGGTTCGGGAAAGACTACTCTCATCCTCGGTCTTCTCGGTGAAACTCTCCTCCTTGATGGACAAGTCTTTATGCCCGACGATCACGCCAACCGAGACATCTGCCCTGTCGATCCTACCACAGGCCTCGTCGACTCTATCGCCTACTGCGCCCAAACAGCCTGGCTCGTTGGTGCGAGTATCCGCGAGAATATCGTCTTTGGCTCCAAGTGGGACAAGACGAGGTATGACGTGGTCGTCAAAGCTTGTGCGTTGGAGAGGGACTTTGAGATCTTTGAGCTTGGAGACGAGACGGAGGTTGGGGAGAAGGGGACGACTTGTTCGGGTGGGCAGAAGGCGAGGATTGCGTTGGCGAGGGCGTTTTACTCTTCGGCGAAGACGATTGTCTTGGACGACGTGTTGTCGGCGGTGGATGCGCATACGGCTCGGCATCTTTACAACCATGTCCTGCAGGGACCGCTGGTACAGGGAAGGACAGTCATTCTCGTCACGCATCAGGTCAGTTTGGTAGCGCCCGCTGCCGAGCTGGTGGTGTTGCTCGATAACGGCGGAGTGGCGGCTTCGGGTACGCCTTCTGAACTTCAGTCTTCAGGCCAGCTCGAGCTGCTTGATGAGGAGGGGAGTGAGAAGGATGTCAGTGCTAGCAACGCCGAGTCGTCGTCGTCTACCGCTGTCGAAGACGAAGCTGTCATCGAAGAGCAGCTCGACTCGCCTGCCGAAGAAGAACGGGCAGAGCAGAAGAAGCTCGTCGATGCCCACGCTTCGTTCGGTTCTCCTACACCCGCTCCTCTCGGCAAAGACGCAAAACAATCAAAGCAGCTCGTCGCTGCCGAGACGTCCTCGCAGGGTACTGTCGAAGGCAAGACGTATAGCCTGTACTTCAAGGCGATGGGCGGTCTGGCGCTATGGGCGGTGATGTTTGCGTTCTTCTTTGGAAGCCAATTCTTGCAGGTCGCGACGAATGCGTGGATCAAGGAATGGGCCAACGCAGACGATAGAGCGGTCTCGTCTACTTCTCCTGCCGCTTCTACAGTCCATCACCTGGTCGACCAATCCACCTTTGCCCTCTACCAATCCTTCTTCACCGTCCGCGACACTGCCCAATCAGCGTATACCGAAGTCTTTGAGAGGCAACACGGTACCGCGTACTATTTGTCGATCTACTGGTTGATCTCGATCTTCTACCTGGCTTCTATCGCGGGCAGAGTTGGAATCACGTTTGTCGGGGCGCTGAAGGCGAGTAGAGGGATGTATGGAAGGCTGCTTTCGAGGATCTTGGGAGCCAAGATGAGATTCTTTGATTCGACGCCATCGTAAGTTCCCTCATTCACCTTCTAGAGGGATGCTAATGTGTCATAGGGGCCGAATCATGAACCGTCTGAGTAAAGACATGTCATCCATCGACCAAGAGACAGCCGAGGTCTTGATGTATTTTGTTAACTCTTGTCTGTCCGCTGCTACCATCTTGGTGGTCGTCACCCTCTCTACCCCTGGTACGTCCAGCTTGTCCCGAAATGTACAGCACTCATTCCTAGCAGCATTCATTTTTGCCCTCGTCCTCATCTGCTTCCTGTACTGGGTCGTCGGCTCCCTTTACGTCACCACCAACCGCGAAATCAAGCGTATCGACTCTGTGACCCGCTCTCCAATCTTTATCAGCTTTTCCGAAGTCCTCGTCGGCATGTCTACCATTCGATCCTACGGCGACAGCGCTCGATTCATGCGTAAACTCTTCCACGAGCTCGATCAGAACACGAGGTGCTTCTGGTATCTCTGGCAGTGCAACCGTGTTTTGAACAACTGGTCGAACTATGTGGGAGCGCTGGTGACGATCTTTGCGTCGCTGTTTGCGTTGAAGAATGAAAAGATGACGGCGGGGGCTGTGGGTTTGAGTGTTGGTTATGCTCGTGAGTCGAAAAGATGCGTGGCTTGGGCGATACTGATGTTGTGTAGTGTCGTTCACCGAATATGTGCTTTGGGTTGTGCGTATGTACGCGGCGGTGGAGATGTCTATGAACAGCGTCGAGCGTGTCGGAGAGTGTGAGTCTTGAAGTGCTTCTTTCAAATACGCCACTGACGTCTTCTTAGATCTTGACCTGGAGGTGGAAGAGGAACCTGACGCCAAGGGACGTGAGCCTCCTGCCTACTGGCCGGCCAGTGACGGATCTATCGTTGTTGAGAACCTCACTTGTCGATACGCCCCCCAAGTGAGTCATTCTGATCTTGATAACCCAACGTCGACTGACATGGCCCCAGCTCGACCCTGTTCTCCGGGACGTTTCTTTCACGATAGGACCGAAGGAGAAGATTGGTGTTTGCGGCAGGACTGGTAGTGGAAAGAGTAGTACGTGTCGGCATTTGGTTTATTCGCTCAAAGCTGACCCGTCTGATAGCACTCGCATTGTCATTCTTCCGATTCCTGTTCCAAGAGTCGGGTCGAATCCTAATCGACGGCGAAGACATCTCCAAGCTCAGCCTCCACACTTTGCGATCACGCCTCACTATCCTTCCCCAAGGTATGTCCGACGTGGCCAATATCGTACGCCGCTGACCCCAGGACAGAGGCCCAACTCTTCTCCGGCACCGTCCGCGACAATCTGGACCCCTTCGACCAACACTCTGATTCCGACATCTGGGAAGCTCTGGCGCAATGCGGACTTGTCGGCAAATCTAGGTACCCCAGTCGAGTCGCCAGTCGTATCGGCTCCCGCGCCGATTTGACGTCTGTCGCACAAGCTACTGGGGGAGAGGCCGATTCACTCGCCAAGCCTGTGCTGAAGAAGAAGTTGGAAGACGTCAAGGATGGGCAGGGTGATGGGGAAGGAGAGGAAGAGGAGAGGGTGGTCATCAAGTCGCTTGAGGAGAATGTTGCCGTCGGAGGCAAGAATTTCAGTACGTCCCTCTACCCCTTTCTTGTATCCCAGCTGACATTGTGGCTAGGCCAAGGACAACGACAGCTTCTCGCCCTCGCCCGTGGTCTACTGAAACTCCGCAACTCGTCCTTCCTCATCATGGACGAGTCCACCGCCAACCTCGACCACGCTACGGACGCGACTATCCAGAATGTACTGAGGACGGCGTTGGAGGATGTGCAGATGTTGGTGATTGCGCATAGGCTGATGACTGTCTGTGGGCTTGACAAGTGCGTTCCTTCTTCATCCTCGTGATTCATAAGCTGACGATGAAGTAGGATCTTGGTCCTGGACCACGGTAAGGTCATGGAGTACGGTACGCCGTGGGAACTGTTGCAGAAAGAAGGCGGATTCTTCCGGGATCTGTGTAAGCAGAGTGGAGAGGAGGCGCAGTTGTGGGAGATGGCAAAGAGCGTGCATGATAAGAAAACGACGCGGATAGAATCACAAATGTAAATGGAATTGAAAGTGCATAATTGGGTGTTCTTAGAATCCGAGCTATATCTCTATCTGCAACATGCATCCAGATCACGAAAACCAATACATATAGCGAGAACGGAAGGCAACATGCTGTGAGATACACGAGATCTTGAAACAGCGAGCGAAGCGATGACGTCATCGATTTACTGCAGAACTCACGCAGAGCTCCAGCTTGGCTCCAGCTGCTCTCCTTCGGCTCTCCTTAACATTATTTATTGCCTTAACACCTTCTCAATCGATGGCCGAGTCACTTTACCCCTCTCGCGCTGGGGCACCTGCAACTTTCGCCTATCCTATCGCCTCGCCTATCGCCCCTCTCAACCCGCTATCGGACCCTCCACAGTCTCTGCGTCCCTTGTCCGATATGCATACTCCTACCTCCGATCCTCCTGGTGTCAGCTTGGCCCCCGACACCGCCGACAGTGGCGCCGAGGCCTTTCATATGCCTCCCGCCTCTGAGCTTGGTCACCCTGCCAATCGTGACAAGCCCTACCCTCTCACTCTTGTCCCGTTCGATATCGCAAACCCTCCCCAGCACGAAGAATTTCTGATGATCAGGCCCTACGACGACATCGTCTCTCGGTACAAGCTGAGGGACTACTGGGTCGAAGTGTACGAGGCGGGCCGAATCGGAGAGGGGGTAGAGTACGAGGACACATTCGTTCTTCCGTATCTGCGTAGTTTTTACCAAGAGCTCGAAGCTCTTAAATTTCTTAAAGCTCGCCGAGGCAAACTTCTACAGATCTTCCCGACAACTTTCACGACTTCGTTTCGGCTGGACCTGGACATTTACATTCGACCGGGAGATATGGTCAAAGATACGTTGGATGGCAATGACGTGGAAGCGAAAGAAGCAAGGAAGAGAAAAGGAAAAGAGGAGGTGAGTTGGCATGTACTTGTCTCGCAACACAGCTGATAGACATTAGCAGTCTGTCTCTATAGTAACCTCTACCACCGCCAAATCCCGTATGCCAGACGTTGGTTTGGTCGGACAATCATCAGGAGCAAAGATTTCGACAGGGCGTAGTGAACGAGAATTCATCCTCTACTCAATCAACCACATCAAATGGTCACCCATGGTCCAGAATGTGTCCGACCAGGCAGAGAAACGGCATTTGGACGACATCAACCTCCGCTGTGCCCTCCTAGATGCTCTTTTCCAGACTCTCTATCACCTCCACAACGCCTACCGAGTAGCCGGATGTCGCTTGGCGATTGCTTGGGCAAACGAGTTCTTCACTCGCATGGTCAATGTGACTGGCAAGTGTGGTCCGCAGAGAATCCTGGTTGAAGCTTCGCCCAAGTCCATGGCAATGTCATCAAAGAGGCTACCCAACTGCGCAGCAGACGGCCTGAACCTTGATGATCTCATCACCTTGGTTCATGATGACGATTGGGAGGCACCCAACTCTCTCATTCGAGATCACGACGACTGGCACTACGACGAAGAAGCCAAATACCGCCTGGACGCGACCATCCTGATGACTCTGGCTACCACTACTCATGCTACGACCCTTGGTGACGTCGCTGTTTCAGGTGGATCGAAGAGAGGAAGAGAGGTCGATCACGACGAGTACCAAGAGTCATCTTTGCCCTCCAAACGGTCGAGATATGCTAGGCAGGGTGTGGACGATGACAGCTTCGTTGGTGAGTACTTTGATTGGTCCTCTTCGTGTACGTTTTTGACTTTTACTTAGGGCCCGTTGATGACTCTGCCTACCTACCCACTCAATCTCAATCTGAGAACATTCTTCGACCCCCCTCACGTCCTGCTTCATCACCCGCTGTTGCCTCCTCCGCGTTGTCACCCAACAGAACGGTAGCCACGAACAGCGTGATCGATGAAGCCTCGCTCGAACTCGAATTTCCCTCTGAAGATTGGACGCATGGTGACTATGCCGGTGCTCTGGAAAAGACAGGGACGAAGGTGCTGCTGGTCGGCCCGCAAGAGATGGATGTGCTGCTGGCGCGGGCCGCCAGACAGGGATGGGCCGAGGCGCTCAAGGTCGAATAGCCTGCGCACTCTGAAGTCACATTGTGAATCTCTCGGGCTGTCCTCTACAACCCCTCTATCTGCCCCTTTGGCGTATCCACCGTTTCCCGTTCCCCCTCCCTGCCTCCCAGCTCTACAAAATATCAGTACGTCCTCTCCCCTGTCGCACACTCATACTGACATTCCTTAAGGGCAGGGTCAACGACAACTCCTCCCCGGGTCCTCGCCCGGGGTCTCCTAAAACTCCGCAACTCATGTTTTCTCATCATGGACGAGTCCACCGCCAACCTCGACCACGATACCGACTTGGCTATCCAGAATGTACTGCGGACGGCGTTGGAGGATGTGCAGATGTTGGTGATTGCGCATAGGTTGATGACCGTTTGCGGTCTTGACAAGTGCGCCCCTTCTTCATCCCCGTGATTCATAAGCTGACGATGAAGTAGGATTTTGGTCCTGGACCACGGTAAGGTCATGCAGTACGGTACGCCGTGGGAACTATCGCAGAAACAAGGCGGATTCTTCCGGGATCTGTGTAAACAGAGTGGAGAGGAGGCGCAGTTGCGGGAGATGGCAAAGAGCGTGCATGATAAAAAGACGGCGTAGATGGGATTGTGAGCACATCCTTGGGTTACTTTAGACTTTTCCAGCTACATATAACCTTGCACAATGCAGCCAGATCACGATAAAAAATCTACATACTGTGTTCTGAAATTCTTTTCCAGTCACATTTTACCGGCGGAGAAGGAGAAAAGAGATCGATGAGATTGGATCGCTTTTCGATTCATCCGTGCCCACACCCCACCCCCTCTCACTCCACTCGAGACTCTCCAAGAACAACTGTCAATGTCGACGGGTTCGGAGGTCACGTATCACTGGCGGTGACAAAGACGCAACAAAGACGGCGTGTTGATTGAAACATGTGTTTCAGTTTGCTTCCGTCGCCGACTCCTGGGCCTTGTGTGATTGTTGCATTTGGTGTTCAAGTTCTGTTTCCTCTATCACCTCTCTCTCATCCTCCCTCCGTCCCACTTCCTTGACGAGCCACATTGCAACGATGCCCCCCCGCAGAGCAAGACGCGGCCGTCCCCAAACAACGCCAACTGGGGCGCCTGACGCCGGCCCTAGCGACGCCCCTCCTATCGCCTCGACTGCAGCCCCTCCCAACCCGCTGCTGAACCTTCTACAGTCATTGGTCCCCTCTCCTTCCATTGATCCTTCTGGTGCCAGCTTGGCCGCCGACGCGGCCGACATCGCCAACGTCGCCGACAGTGGCACCTTGCTGCCCACCTCCGGGCTTGGTCACCCTGCCAATCGCGACAAGCCCTACCCTCTCACTCTTGTACCGTTCGACATCGCCCAACCTCCTCAGCATGAGACATCCTTGGTGATATTACCCTACGACGAGATCGACGTTCAGGATAAGCTTGGGGGGTTCTGGGTCGAAGAGTACGAGGCGGGCAATATCCAAGACGAAGCTAGATACGAAGACTTATTCGTTATTACCTATCTAAGGAGCTCCTGCCTTGACGTCGACGGTTTTCGCGCTCGCAGATCTCGCCGAGGCAATCACCACTATGTGCTATACCCAACGGTCTTCGTACGCTCGGTGCGGCTGGACCAGGGCTACTATATCGAAACAGATGATTACAAGACTCTGCCGGTGGTGAGGAGTGTCATTGCGAACGCCATAAGAAAAAAGGAAGCCAAAGCCAAGAGAAACGCAAAGAAAGACAACGAAGGGGTAAGCTCATCTCTTCCTCCACTTCAAGCTTGACTAACAGCCGTTAGCTGCCTGCCTCCTCTCAACTCACGTCGAAGACGCTTGGCGGGCTCACGCCAGACGTTGGCTTGGAAGGATCCTACTTCACACAGTCTCCAGAAGGAGGGTCTTCAGAGAGCTCTGCTCACCAACTTGTCAACAAGATCCTCTATTTTGTCGCCGAGATCAAGTGGGGAAAAATGGCTAGGCGCGACCTCGAAAATTGGCGGAAACTGGACCAAGCCATCCTCCAGTATGCTTGCCTGGAGGCCCTCTTCCAAGCGGTATACTACCTCCACATGGCGTTTACAGTGTCCAGAACTCGCATTGCTATCGCCTTGGCGAACGAGTTCTACACTCGCTTGGTGAACGTGACGGGAGAAGAAGGAGGTCCGCAGAGGATCCTAGTCGAAGCTCCGCCAGACGTTGTAGCGGCATCGAGAGAGCTGGAATCCCACGCAGACGGCATGAGCCCCAGTGATATTCTCAAGTTGGCCGAGGACAATGCGAGTTTTTGACACTGTAAACGCCATGTGGAGGTAGTAGTATACCGCTTGGAAGAGGGCCTCTAGGCTAGCATACTGGAGGATGGCTTGGTCCAGTTTTCGCCAATTTTCGAGGTCGCGTCTAGCCATTTTTGCCCATTTGATCTCGGGGAGAAAATGGAGGATACTCTTGACAAGATGGCGAGCAGAGCTCTCCAAAGATCCTCCTTCTGGAGACTGTTCGAAGTAGGATCCTTCCAAGCCAACGTTTGGCATGAGCCCGCCAAGCGTCTTCGACGTGATGTGAGAGGAGGCATTACCCATCCCCCCGGGCCGAACGAAAAACGCGGGCCGAACGAAACAAAAAATGCTCGGTCGGCACTCTCAAGACGATTTCTCCACAACGGCTCAATCTCCCAACCCCGGTATCATCAAATATGACAAATTCCCCCGCACAACGTCTAGGCTCATCTTCCTTTTCCAACTCTGCCGCATCTACTTCCCGCAGTGACAAGAAGAAGGCGGTAAACTTGTCCGACCTTGGTGTTTCCCCTAACTTCGTCTTCCTTGACCCGGGTAAAGAGGACGACGAATTCGCGATAGACAAGATGATTGTTCAGGTAGTGATGATCACTCCTGAAGGGATGGACGGCATTGTGGCGCAGGCGGCAAAGCAGGGATGGGCCACGGTCCTGAGGATTGGAGATAGGCATCAAGCAGATTGGGCAGAGGGAATGTCCCAACACATATGAGAATAGGGGACTCCGGGTTGGCGGTCTGGTGCAGCATACAGGATATTGTTGTAAGGTTTTATAGGTTTCATGGATAAGGAAGAAGAAGACATATGTAAAACTACTATGGAACACTGCCTCATTAGTAGTTGTCTATGAACATCGTCACTTGTTTTCGCGGCAGGATTGCCGTCGCGAGTCTCTCCACCTCCTCCCCCAACCATCTCCTGCCCACTTGCCCTTTTTCGCTCTGCTGCTTCCGCTCTTCCATGCACCGACCTTAGTAGTGTTCCCCTATGCTCTCGAAGACAATCTACTCGTAAACGCCCGTTGGTTCGGGTGCGGTGTTGGGCCTTTGAGCGAGAGGAGAGGGCGTTGTCGACATTGGCGCAAGCGACGGTCAACGAGGCAATGGGTGAAAGAGTATGAATATTGGGTCGATAGAAGGACAAAGTCTTGCATTGGTGGCTGAGGGCATTGTCAGGTGGGCAAAGGAAGCGGAGAAAAGACTTACATATTTCTCGTCACAACTCTTGCCAAACTCTTGCACAACTCGTCGACAACAGAAGTTAAGAAACGATGACGCCATCAATTTACTGCAGAGCTCAAGCCCTGCTCAAGCCCTGCTCAAGCCCTGCTCAAGCCCTGCTCAAGCCACATCGATTCCAACCATATTCCAACTGCCTTTTGACTGCCTTTTGACTGCCTTTTGACTGCCCTCCCCCGAAAATAATTCGTCCAACAAGCGTCGGCCTATCCTCAGCATCTTCTCACATGAATGGCGAGCCAAATTACGCCTCTCGCACTGGGCCACCTGCGCCTGTCACCTATCCTATCGCCACTCTCAATCCGCTATTGGCCTTTCCACAGTCACTAAGTCCCCGTTCCAACCCCCATACTCCTGCCTCTGATCCTCTCGATACCGGCTTGGCTGCCGACACCGCCGACAGTGGCACCGCCACCGGGGCTTGGAACGTGCTTCCCGCCTCCGAGCTTGGTCACCCTGCCAACCTCGACAAGCCCTACCCTCTCACTCTTGTCCCATTTGATATTGCAAACCCTCCCCAACACGAAGACTCTCTGGTGATATTACCCTACGACGAGATCGTCTTTGAGGATGAGCTGAGGGGATACTTGGTCGAAGAGTACAAGGCGGGGCGAATCGGAGAGGGAGTAGAGTACGAGGACACATTCGTTCTGCCGTATCTGCGTGGCTTTTACCTACGGCTCCAAGCTGTTAAGGGTCTTAAAGCTCGCCGAGGCGAACGTCTACAGATCTTCCCGACGACTTTCACGACTTCGGTTCGGCTGGACCTGGACATTTACATGCGACCGAAAGATACGGTCAAAGGTACGTCGGATGGTAATGATGTGGAAGCGAAGGAAGCAAGGAAGAGAAAAGGAAAAGAGGAGGTGAGTTGGCATGTACTTGTCTCGCAACACAGCTGATAGACATTAGCAGTCTGCCTCTATAGTAACCTCTACCGCCGCGAAATCCTATATGCCAGACGTTGGTTTAGTCGGCTATAACCTCGAGCAGATCGCAGAGAAAACATTTCGAAAGCCACCAAGAGAAGAGCCGTCTACGAAACGATCATCAGGAGCACAGATTTCGACAGGGCGTAGTGAACGAGATTTCATCCTCTACTCAATCAACCACATCAAATGGTCGCCCATGGTCCAGAATGTGCGCGACGAGGCAGAGAAACGGTATTTGGACGACATCAACCTCCGCTGTGCCCGCCTAGATGCTCTTTTCCAGACTCTCTATCACCTCCACAACGCCTATCGAGTAGCCGGATGTCGCTTGGCGATTGCTTGGGCAAACGAGTTCTTCACTCGCATGGTCAATGTGACTGGGAAGTGTGGTCCGCAGACAATCCTGGTTGAAGCTTCGCCCAAGTCCATGTCAATGTCATCAAAGAGGCTACCAAACCGCGCAGCAGACGGCCTGAACCTTGATGATCTCATCACCTTGGTTCATGATGACGATTGGGAGGCACCCAACTCTCTCATTCGAGATCACGACGACTGGCACTACGACGAAGAAGCCAAATACCGCCTGGACGCGACCATCCTGATGACTCTGGCTACCACTACTCATGCTACGACCCTTGGTGACGTCGCTGTTTCAGGTGGATCGAAGAGAGGAAGAGAGGTCGATCACGACGAGTACCAAGAGTCATCTTTGCCCTTCAAACGGTCGAGAGATGTTAGGCAGGGTGTGGACGATGACAGCTTTGTTGGTGAGTACTTTGATTGGTCCTCTTCGTGTACGTTTTTGACTTTTACTTAGGGCCCGTTGATGACTCTGCCTACCTACCCACTCAATCTCAATCTGAGAGCATTCTGCGACCCCCCTCACGTCCTGCTTCATCACCTTCTGTTCCCTCCTCTGCGTCGTCACCCAACAGAACGGACGACACGGACAGCGTGACCGATGAAGCCTTGCTCGAACTCGAATTTCCCTCTGAAGATTGGACGCACGGTGACTATGCCGGTGCTCTGGAAAAGACAGGGACGAAGGTGTTGCTAGTGGACCCGCAAGAGATGGATGTGCTGCTGGCGCGGGCCGCCAGACAGGGATGGGCCGAGGCGCTCAAGATGGAATAGCCTGCGCGCTCCTCAAGTTTCATTGCGAATCTCTTGGTTGTCATCTACAACCCCTCTCTCTGCCCCTTTGCCGTATCCACCGTTTCCCGATCCCCCTCCCTGCCTCCCAGCTCTAGAAAATAGCAGTACGTCGTCTCCCCTTGTCGCACACTCATACTGACATTCCTTAAGGCCAGGGTCAACGACGACTCCTCGCCGGGTCCTCGCCCGGGGTCTCCTAAAACTCCGCGACTCATCCTTCTTCTACAAACACAATTCCACCGCCAACCTCGAGCACGATACCGACGTGACTATCCAGAACGTACTGGGAACGGCGATGGAGGATGTGCAGATGGGAACGCCTGGGGAATTGACGCAGAAAGAAGGCGGATTCTTCCGGGATCTGTGTTAACAGAGCAGAGAAGAGGCGCAGTCGTGGGAGATGGCAAAGAGCGTGCATGATAATAAGACGGCGTAGATGGGGTCGTTCGGGGTTGAGGGTTTTTCTCAGCTATATTTGCAACATGCAGCCAGTTCACAATGGAAGCTGCAAGTAGTGTTGAACGCCGTTGAGGCGAAAACCGTTACATTCCTTGAAACCCTCTATATGATGTGTATGGAAGGCAAATATGCTCAATAAATTCTATGTTACATTTATCACCGGAAAAGAAGAAAACAAAAAGTATTGGTATTCGATGTTGAGATCTCGATCCCTTTTTAACACCCCCCCCCTACGCCCCTCTCTCACTCGCTCAGAACAAACCCTCGATATCACCAGTCTCGGGGTTCAAGTCGATATCATAGAACCCAGGCCTGGTCGTCAAACCCGGCATGGTCGACATATCCCCCACCAACGGATAAACAAAGCTCGCCCCCGCGCTCAACCTCACATTCCTAATCGGCAACGTGAACCCCGTCGGCACCCCCTTCTTACTCGGGTCGTCCGAAAGCGAAAGGGCAGTCTTGGCCATACAAATCGGCAGACCTCCGTACCCCTGGGCTTCATACCGCTCCACCTCCTTCTCAGCCTCTTCGCTGAGCTTGATACCGTCCGCGCCGTACATCTCTTTCGCGATGATCTCCATCTTTTTGACAAGCGGTTGGTTGAGGTCGTAGAGGAAATCGAACGTGGAGGGGGAGGCGCACGCGTCGATGACGGCGTTGGCGAGGTCGATGGCGCCGAGACCGCCCCGGGCCCAGTGGTCCGCGGGCACGGCGTAGTCGGCACCGACGTTGAGGGCGTACTTTTGGACGAGAGCCATTTCGGCGTCGGTATCGTTCCTACCCAACAAGTCAGCTTGTGTTTTTTTCACGCATAAGAAGAGTAGGGGGGGGGGACGTACGAGAACTTGTTGATAGCCACAACGACCTTCAAACCAAACTTCTTGGCATTCTCGATATGCTTGCCCAAGTTGGCACAACCCTTCTCCAAAAGCTCCAAGTTCTCCTCGACGTAGACGGCGTCGAGAGGTTTACCGGGGGTGACGGCAGGGCCTCCACCGTGCATCTTGAGTGCCCTGATAGTAGCCACGAGCACCACCGCATTCGGCTTCAACCCCGAGACACGGGTCTTGATATTACAGAATTTCTCCATCCCGATATCCGCGCCAAAGCCAGCCTCCGTGATCACATACCCGCTCCTACCCTCCTCATCGCCCTTCTCCACACCCGCGAGCTTCAAGGCGATCCGGTCGGCGATGATGGACGAGTTGCCGTGGGCGATATTGGCGAATGGCCCGGCGTGGACAAAGACGGGGGTACCTTCGAGGGTCTGCATGATGGTGGGTTTGATAGCGTCCTTCATCAAGACCGCCATGGCGCCGGCACAGCCAATGTCTTCGGCCGTGACGGGGTCGCCAGCCTTGGAGGACGCCACGACCATCCGGCCGAGCCTCTGGCGCATATCCGCCAAATCCTTGGACAAGGCGAGCACAGCCATGCACTCTGACGCCACGGCAATGTCGAACGCCGTCTCCCGCGTCAACCCCTTCTCGGTAGGCGCCTGCCCGACGGTGATCTTGCGCAGATACCTATCGTTCGTGTCGAGCACGCGGTTCCAGGTGAGGGTGGACGGGTCGATATCGAGCCGGGCGAATTTGGCGGCTTCGGCCTCGGTGAGGTCGTTGGGGTTGGTCTTGTCGATACCGAGCTTGTGCAGACGCGCCAACATGGGCTTGCTGAACGTCCTGACCCCCTTCTTGGCGGGGCAAAGACGGGTAAAGAGGCCCTTGTCGGTTTGGGTCGACTCGTGGAACATGCGCGCGTCGATAGCCGCCGCAAGCAAGTTGTTGGCAGCTGTGATGGCGTGGATATCGCCAGTCAAGTGCAAGTTGAACTCGGTCATGGGGATGACCTGCGAATAACCGCCGCCGGCGGCACCGCCCTTGATACCAAAGGTAGGGCCCTGGGAGGGCTGGCGGACACAGGCGATGGCGTTCTTTTGCAAGTGCGCGCCGAGGGCCTGGGCGAGCCCGATGGTGGTGGTGGATTTGCCTTCGCCGAGGGGGGTGGGGGTGATACCAGCGACGACAATGTACTTGCCGTCCAACCTATCCTTGAGACGGTCGAGAACAGACAACTCGATCTTGGCCTTGTATCGGCCGTACGACTCGACCTCGTCCGGGTGGACGCCGATTTCGTCGGCAATGTCGGCAACAGGCTTGGGGGTCTGCGCGACGGCGATCTCAATGTCGGAGGGGACGTTCTCCTTGAGCTCGAGAGCGAGGGGGGTGAGCTGCTTGGCGCGGCGGGAGGTGTAGGCGCGTTTAGCAGCTTGGAACGTATTGTTCATAAGCTCCGCGACCGTCATGGGCCCCACGCCCCCAGGGACGGGGGTGATGAACGAAGCGACCTTGGAGGCGGATTCGAAATGGACGTCGCCGACGAGACGCTGGCCAGACTTTTTGGACGCGTCGGGGATATAGTTTGTGCCGACGTCGATGACGATGGCACCTTCCTTGAGCCACTCGCCCTTGACGAATTCGGCCTGGCCGATGGCGGCGACGACGACGTCGGCGCGCTTGACGATGGACTCGATGTCTTGTGTCCTAGAGTGGCACTGGGTGACGGTAGCGTCCTTCTTACGGAGGAGGGCGCAGACGGGGGTACCGACAATGTCGGATCGGCCGAGGACGACGACGTTGGAGCCCGCGAGCTTGAAGCCGGTGGACTCGATGAGCTTGATAGCGCCCGCAGGGGTACAGGGCGTAAAGTACGGCTCCGAGATCCGGCTGGAGAGGAGACCGATGTTTTCGGGGTGGAAGCCGTCGACGTCCTTGGACACGTCGACCGCATCGACGACGCTCTTCTCCTCCTGCTTCCCCGCACCTTCGAGGGGGAGTTGGACGAGGATACCAGACACCTTTTCGTCCTGGTTGGCCTTCTTGACAGCTTCGAGCACGGCCCTGACACCAGACCCCTTGAGCGCACCAGACTCGGCGTCCGAGGGGATCTTGATGTGCTCGACCGTCATGCCGGACTCTTCGGCGGCCTTGAGCTTCATGCGGATGTAGGTCGCGGACGCGGGGTTGGACCCGAGCTGGAAGATGACGAGGTGGGGCTGGTGGAAGGTGGGGTTGGTCGCTTGGAGCTCGGCGATGGATTTGGAGATGGAGGTGCGGATGTTCCTGTGATGTGTTGGCTGGGTTGGGAGAGAAGAAGAAGAAGAAGGGACGTACTTTGCGATGGCAGTGCCGTCGATGATCTTTGCAGAGGCCGAAGCCATCTCGACGTCGGACATGGTGTGGAGGCGGGGGGTAGTTGAGAGCAGGCGGGGGGGACCGGCGGGGTGGATGGCGGGCAGGCGCAGTCGGGGGCGGGGTAGGCGTGCGAGGGGCAGGGGTGGGATGCGCCGGGGGAGGATGCGGGCGCGGGCGAGCATGGGTGTGCGTGTCCAACTGAGGTGCCCTTTTATTTATCGTGCAGCAGCGCGAAATTGGAAAACAGGTCGGACACCATCTTTTTCCATTTTTTCTTACCAGGCACGTGTAATTACCTTGTACTGGGCAGGCACCTCCTTATCGTTTTCCAATACGAGCGAGCCATTCCAGCTTTGTTGGAAGGGATCGCGTCAATCAGATCAATTGATCATCAAGCAGCAATCAAGTCGCTTGGGGGTATTGGGGAGGAAGAGTGGTGGGGAGGCAGCCGTGTTCTCTGCAACTTGCGAGTGGAAGATCTCGAGGTATGGACGTATGTACACGATCAATCATCCCCGGCGGTCTGCTTATCGTCGGATATCCCCGGGTACAAACATCTTCTAGACAGCGGTTTCTCGGCCTCCCGATGTGAACGTCAGATGACACAAGTCTCTCTTCCATACGAGTACTCACCCAGAAAAGTTTATGCCGCCCTGCCGGATTGCAGAAAGGGGAGTCGGGCGTTCGGGAGACAGCTCGGGCGGGGGTAGAGTGCCCACTCGCTTCACATGACAACGAGGCGGATTGGAATATGGATGGTGGATCGTGGAAATGCTCGGTCTCTTTTGCGGTCATTTGTGTCTCTACAAGACGGCGCCTTCTCTCCGGTCAATACGAGGCTGGAAGAGGATTGTCACCACGATGCTCTCCGGCATCATGCTGGCTAGTGCGACAAGAGTCATACAGGATTCGTCGTTGGTTTATTCCTCCCATACATCTCTATCTACGACATGGACGAGTGCGGTTTCAACCTGGGGGCCAAGTGCCTCGAGCGCAGGTGTCGCCGGGAAGCACCAACCCCAAAGAATGCACAGAAATCCCCCACCTCACCCACTAGCGACCACATGTCTGTCATCACCTTCATCGGCACTACCCTCCGCTCCCGCTCCCGTACGCACCTGTTGTCGTCTATCAAGGGGCAAAAACTCATGGAAACATGGTTTAGGGTGGACAAGGAGGTTGGAGCAGCTGGCCCAGCCAACGCCGACTCTGGTTTTCTCCAACACCTTTCATTCATGAAGAAAGTGGCCTTTTGGAGGGCCTTCGACCCCTCATACCCGCCCAGCTGCAGACAACGGTTCGTCATTCTTCTTCGTGTGCTCATCATGGATGGGCACGAGAGCTCACATTATGGTCGACTTCTCTCGAAAGCCTGCTGGGAGCGGAAACATCAACGTGCTCATATCTGCCAGGCCAAGACTCAGTGGCAAGTTCCAGCCAATTATTGGACGTAGATCTTTTCAATCAACCAAACTGAAGTTTGAGATTACCGCCCAGCACCAGCAGATGGACGAGTAACTCGCGAGCTTCCCAAGCAAGGCGGGGAGGCTAAGGGTATGTTTTTGGGCCTGGCATCAAGAGGCATGGACGATGCATCCTCCATCATGTCAACAGCAGGTACAAGTACATGCACTGGGTGGGGGTAGACGGACCAGCTTCATTGTTTCGTTGGAAGCGTCGGCAACCGCCAAAAGGATATCCCCGTCGTTGGGATCAAAGGAGGACCTTCGGGCGCGACCAACCTCTGGCTCTGTCGCTTCGCCCTCTTCTCCGCTGAGGATGGCGTGGTGAATAGGACGAATACGTACAAAACGAGCGGCTCAACCGTCAACCGTCAACCGCCGCGAGGTGACTGACTACCCGGAAGTGCCCTCCACTCTACGGTCTGTGGCCGTCGAAAGATGGTCGTCGGTGTCTTATGTCTATCGCTATGCGTTCGCCGCGTTAGGTTGACTCTTTCGTACTATATTCGTACGAGTACAAGCTTGAAAGTATGACGAAATCACCCTGAAACCATCCCATATGCTCTACGAGTACTGTACAGTGAGAGGCCTCTCTTCCCCATAGCCGTTGAGCTGCATGCACTTTGGCGAAAAGAAAAGGTCAATACTGGGCACTGGGCGGATCTCCACATATGTACATAGCGCTATCCAGAATTGACTGCCCCGCCGCCTGGCCGTCACGGTCGATACGGTCAGGGGTGTCCCGAGCGCTGTGCGTTCAGCATTGAGCTGCGTCGTATACTCGTAATGTATAAATTATCTTCAAGTGTCTGCCCCTATGGTAGCTCTAGTCATGTTCTAAGCCCAGGTAAGGGGAAGCTTGTCCGGCTTGACGTCTTTCCGCTTCGGGGAGGAGACTGCGACAGACAGGGGATGACGTTGAGAGCGGCGGAAAGGTGTGATTTCTCTTCCTGTTTGTCGTTCCGCTCACTCTTTTGTATATCGAAACACTACCTTCCAGTAGCACCTTGACTTCATTACAACATTCTCAGCATGTCCACCACATCCAACGCTGATGGCGATGCCGCCGACGCCAACGAAACGGTGGATACAAAGACGAAAAAGGCGTACAAGATCCACCCGTTCTACCGCTATGGCAATGTCCACTTTATCACCACAGATGATGTCCTTTTCTCTTGCCACCTCGACAGCCTCACAGAGATAAGGTGAGATCCTCAATCTTTCTTGAACAGCGAAACGACCAAAGCTAACGATCATCCAGCTCCTTCTTCCGCGACCTCAGCGAGATTCCGCAGCCCCCCGGCAAGAAAGCCACGACAACCCGAATGTCGGGCCAAGACCTCCACGATCAACTCGCGCAGCTATCAATCGAAGAACATGAAGACATCGCCAAACACACAGACGCAGCCGTCGTCTTTCCCGAATGCGGCTCGGAAGCGCTCGAGCCGTGGTTGAACCTTATTCTGCTTGCGGAGATGAGCAGTGTCAACCTCAATATCACGCTGGAAGGGTGTCAGCAGCTGTACGTGTTGGTGGACAAATATGGTTGTGGCGAACGGGTGGTCGAGAGTCTGCGCTCGCAGATTCTGAATTTGGTGGAAAAGCTTTCGGCGATAGACATATTCATCTTCGCCTCGCAAGTGGATGACAAGATACTGGGTAAGAAGGTACTTGAATTCATCACAAACGACAGTCTCTTTGAGAGAGGGTTTCATCCGCGGATTCAGAGGCTTAGCTGTCACTGGGGTCTGGCTGTGTACCAGGCAGTCTTCAAGGTGGAGCCAAACATCAAGCCCTCCATTTGGTGTTCTGCGTCACATGAGGCGAATCATCAAGGTCTGCAAGTCACGGGTGTCGATCCTCTGTGCTATATCAATGCATATGGTTGGAAGCTGGCTCTTTCGGTATCTTGGTTTGGCGACGTGAAGCTGTAATATAGATGATTCATCTTCCATGCACCGCTTACGAGTTGTTGTGGCCCTATATCATTACTGCAAAAATCAGTGCTACAAACTGGTAACGGTAACTGTCCATCTTTTTCACCCGATGACAAACTTGAAGGAAGGACGAGGCAACAATTCCCATCACGCAGCAGTCGTACTTGAGCACTGATCATGTGAATGGGAGTGCGAAATGTGGGATGACGTTGCGAGCGGCGGCAAGGTGTTATTCCTCTCCTCTTTCATCATTCCGCTCATTCTTTTGTATCTCTCAAAACAGTACGTTCCAGCAGCACCAGTCCCCTACCTTTACTGCAACATTCTCAGCATGCCCACCACATCCAACGCTGATGGTGATACCGCCAACGAAACGGTGGATACAAAGACGAAAAAGGAGTACAAGATCCACCCGTTCTACCGCTCTGGCAATGTCCACTTTATCACCACAGATGATGTGATTTTCTCTTGCGACATTGACCGCCTCGC